CCAAGCCAGACCAGACCAGCCGATCGATCGCAACGACAACGTCCAAGTCACCTCCAAAGCAACAGCAGCAGCAGCAGCCGCAGCCGCTGCAGCAGCAGCAACGGTCAAACACAACGACGATCGATCTTAACAGTCGCCGTCGCTGCGTTAGATGATGCAGCAGCCACAGCCACAGCGACAGAGCCCAGACCCCGTCACAGGCAAAGCCAGCCAACAGCCAAAGTGGGTGATGGGACACACACAGGGGACACATATGCAGACAGCAGCCAGCACAGTGGGACCAAAGCTGATCAACATATGTTAACATATGAGCGACGATAAACATATGTTTCTAGACAAACAAATACTAGAGAGCTTTCATCTTGAGCGCTACAACATATGTCAGCGTCGAATGTGTAGTTAGACAAGCAGTATTAGGGAGCTTTGGTATACATATGCCAACACATGTTATAGGTACAACTTTAGATATATATGTCTTGGTAAATGCCAAGCATAAAAGCGCTTTCAGCTGAAAGACGCAACATACATTAGCTTATACAATATATGTATTTAAAGATATAAAAATATTAATGAGCTTTCATTGCAAAAAGCTTCACCATTTATTAACTAAGAAAGCTTTTATCTAAAAAATGCAAGTAACATAATAGTAATATGTTTATGTACTATATATAATATATAGTATAAGTATGTGTTGTTGGAAGAACAAATATTAAAGAGCTTTTGCATAAATACATACAATATTTTATATTATTTGTAGTATTTATTATTTAAGTATTAGTGAGCTTTCATATTAAAATCTTTACAGCATTTAAGCACATTTAATGTATGTATATCCTTGTAGATTGATGAGTATTAATAAGTTTTCGTTTAAAAAGCTCCCAAAATATGTGAACCTATGTCTCATATATATGTCTTTTGTAAATACTAAAAGCTTAATGTTTGGTAAATGGTACCTATCCAAGAATACGACAGCTGCAACAGAAACTAAATTTATGATTAATCATCACTCGCTTTCTGCTTCCCTTAACACCAGCTGCAAACGCTTAAAGCTTTTAGACCTTAACCAAGATAGAGTATTCATATATCCATAGCATACTTTTGGGTAAAACTATTAAAATGAAAATTGAAGATATTTTGAAAATATATATTAGATATATGTATATAAAGAATTCTATACTAAATAGATAAGTAAATATATATATAAAGCAAAAATAATATAATATAAATATATTATAATTTATAAATATTTATAATTTACAACATATTTTAGGGATAATTTCCTATGTCAAGTGCCCATCAGAGCTCAGCCCACTGTAATTGCTGGCATTCGATGCGCAACGCCCCTGGACCCGCCCAACCACCCACCCGCCAAAGCAGCCACAGCCAGCGCTGCACGCTGCACGCTGCCCGCTACGCCCCACAGTGTCCACACGGCATGGACCCACGGCCCCTGACCGGACCGGACCGTATGGGGCAAGTCAACGGGCGGCCGATTCACCTGTCGCTGGGTTTTGTTTGCTTTACGCAGCGACTCAGCAGATGCAAATGGGTGGAGCAGCAGCCAGATAAAGCTGCACAGATGAAAGATCCAAGAGGAGAGAGTAGAGAGAAAAAGGCAGAGAGAGGAAGAGAGAAGAAGCCAGAGAGGGGGAGGGGAGAGAGGAGAGTGGAGGCTGCGACCTGGTCGCTGCTTTATGCGAATTCCTTGAATTTGATCATTTTGGTGGAAGCGCATTAGATATTTGGCATCTTGGCGTGCAGTCGCTGACACAGCAACAACAACAGCAACAGTTGCTCAAGTGACGGACATACAATGCACAAAACTTAAACATTAAATGCAGCTGCTGTTGTTGTCGTTGTAGTTGTTGTGGCTTTGGCAGAGGTCAGCGCACACACGTGACCCAGCTTGGCTTGTGTCTGTGTGTTGGTGTTGGTGTTGCTGTTGCTGTGTGTTGCATGATCGATGGAATTGCTATGGCAAAGCCTAGAAATAAAATGGATTGTAATTATTATGCTGTGCAGCATACGAGCGCCCAGTTCGAGGCCAGCAATGGGCAGCAGGCAGCAGGCAAACAGTTGGCTCACTTTTATTGTCAACCAATAAAATAGCCAAAGACGACGGGCTTACAACTTCGCATGGAATTGATTTGGCCCGCAGCGGCTATTAACAGCAACAAAGCAGCGACAAAAAAGAAAATAAATAAACCCTGAAGACGACGACGACGGCGACGGCGATGATGATGCAGCGCACAGACGAGGATGATGTTGTTCATACAAAAGACGAACAGTTGGACAGTTGGCACTGCAGCAGCAGCAGCGAAAACAGTTGACATCAGGTGCTGGGCGAATACAGTGCAGCTTGGATATGAGCAATGAGAGCAGCAGCAGCAGCAGCAGTAGCACAAGGTCTTTATTCAGAAAGCAGACAAGTTTCTTATTTCATAAGCTCAAATCGACTAAAATGCTTAAAAATTTATTAAAAATTAATTTTATATAAAAGTTTAAATAGTTTTTAAATCTGCTTTTTTTAAATATATATATTTTTAAAATTGTTCTTGGGTTCCACAGAATGCCATCTCTTTCGTAAGTTAATAAACCGCGGAATGTTCGAAATATTGGAAGAAAAATGAAAACTAATTACAATTTATTTTATTTTAAAGAAAAGGGGCATTTACAGAATATTCTATAATTTTTTAATATTATTAACACAAAGTCTAAATTTAGTTTAAGCATTCAGAGAGATTTGCATTTGATCTGAATAATTTAAAACTACAGAAATTTAATACAAACAAAATCAAAGTAAGTGTAAAAATCTCAAAACTTCTATGACAAATTAAATTAAATAAATCTATAATATATATATTTGTAAATATAACTTAAAGTTATTCGTTTGAAGTCCTATCATGAAGACATAAATTCATTAATATTTATTAACTTTGTCTGACTGTGAAACTTAAACATATTTGACCTAAGCGAAACTAGTTTGAAAGACAGCAAAATTTGGCTTTAGGTTAGATATAAAAAATTATGTATATATAATAATAAAAATTATTATTAATTATTATTATTATTATTATTAATTAAATTTTAAATTTGTATATTTTATTCTAGGTCCAGAATATTATTAAAAAAATATTGAGTCCTCTCTTTCGGAAACTTATTCGGTTCGCTTAGTTCTCGAGGAGTACTTGGTCAAGTTTGCAAAAGAGTTGTTTGACTGTACTTGAATAAATTCCAGCTTGCATTTTTGTAGCCTAAAATACACAACAGCGCCATACAACAACAACCACAGCAGCAGCAGCAGCAGCAGCAGCGGCAGCGGCAAGAGTGTGGCATGTAACAACATAAACAACCAAATAGTATTTGGCCTTTTGCACCTTTTTGGCATGAAACAACTTTGGCAGTCAGACAGTCAGGCGGGAAGGCAGTCAGACCCTAGCCTAGGCTCAAGCTCAGGCAATGTGGATGAGCTGCGGTAGCCCCAAGATCTTTATTTCGGTTCGAAGGATGCGACGGCGACGACAACGCCCCGAAAGGCACAATTAAAATTTCACGCTTTTGCGGTTAGCTGCCCAAAAGGAGAAAAAAACATACGCAGACCATTTTGGGATTGCAATTGCATAGTGCCAGAGGCGGTGGAGCCCGGTGAATATGTGTGGCGGCATTTTCGCTTTGAGGCAAAGTAGAGGGAGCAAGCGAACGCTTTGCAACACTTGCGAACAGAGCGTGCTTTGTGTGTGTGTGTGTGCCACGCGTGCAATTGGCCGCTGCTGCTGCGTTAGGGGAATAGAACAGCCGCCGCAGCGTCGATTGAGCTTCACTTGGCAAGTGTTAATGAGCAGCGTGCAGCGGCAGAGAGCAGCGGGCAACGGGCAACGGGCAACGGGCAACGGGCAACGGGCAGCGGGCAGAGAGAACGCGTGCTAATTACCAAGTGCCAGTTGCAAATGGCTGGCAACAGCTCAAAATGTCAAGCGAGTGACTCGGGCATAACAATTCAATTAAATATTTATCGATCAACAATCGAATGTCATCTATCGAACAGCTAACTGCGTGCTGAATATTAGAAACTGCAAGACTAAGCCTAAATCGATATCAAATCTGATAAATAGATCTAATCCACACATAACTAAGCAAGCAAGGCACTTTGAAATACGTACGAATGTTTTTGGTATTATAATTTATATATACATTTATTCTAATGATAATTTAACATAAAGCAATTATTTTAAGAGCTTTTTCAACTCGCTGAGCCCAAATCACTTCAAACAAACCGTTAAAATTTAAAAAATCTAGCAAATACTCAAACCCCAATAATAAGGCTACCAACTGGTTAGAAAAAGAATAATCGGTGCAAGTATTTAGTAAAGACTGCAATAATTTCAACAGTCTGGCAACGCTACACGCAAATGTTAAGCAACACTAAACGAGGGCTGTCCAACATAAACAATACTAATACTCGTAGCTTAGTTTTGCTTAGAAGTGTACAATTTTTAGCAAATACTAAGTAAAATCGTAAGTCTTTCTCCCCAATTACTGCGCATTTCGGAACATTTATTTACCAACTTTTACGATTTGCACACAATAACAATAATTTCAACAATATAACGAAGACTAAATACCCTATAATATATAGACATTAAAAATTATTTAATAAACGATATTTTTCGTAGGACAACTATTTAATATATTAATTTGAAAAGATATAATTATACACATAAATTTAATATAAATATTTATATATATTTAATAATGTATAACTGGCTTTTCAAAACGTCTCTCATATGTTGTTTCCTTGCTACATATGAAGTGTATATACTGTGTCTGTGACTGATCCGCGCTCTTCTATTGCTCTTTTTCCATCTCACGCTCTCCCAGTTTAAAATTACGTATATTCTGCGTCGGTCACACAAACTTAAAAGAGAAAGCAAAGCGTACAGAGGCAAGTTCGCAAAAATCGTAAGAGTACAAAGAGAGGAGTTTGTTACAGAGTGTTTCACGGTCTGATTTCAGTTCATTGTGAGCCGTCGAAGCGGCAAGACGTGAGTGTTTCTCATTTGTTGAAGACAGTTATTAAATAAATAGTTGTTCTTATCATTGACATGAAAGCTGCGAATTTTCGCTATTAAAATGGACAAACATAAATACATTGACAGCAATGACAATGTAATTTAGTTGTTTCTCAAAGCTACACATAAAACAAAAAACCAAAAAGTAACACAAAACAAAAAAGTGCAAATCAACAAGTTAAAAAAAACGAAACAGGTAAGTAAATCCAAGTGATCTGCGCGTAGGTCTCGTTGCCCCAATTTCTTAATGCCGACCAATTTTTCAACATAAAATGTGCTTCGACTTTTTGGTCATTTGTTTGTTTTTTTTTTTTTTTTTTGATTTAGCTATGACTAAAAGAAACCTCTGGCGGTTTTTTTTAGATTCGCCCTGCAATTATGTGTGTGTTGCCAAAAATAAAAAAGCAACTTCCATGACAGCGATTGTTTCTTTCTATTTTTTCACGACTTCTGTGCTTCTGTTCCGCAAAAAAAGCGGGCAAACACTTCCAGCACACTTGGCCTACAAATTCAAATTTATTGAACATGCAATTTAAGAAGCTATATTTCAAAGTAAAAAATAAATAATAATCAACCAATTTTAGTGTTAACAAATTTGTAACAAAGCAATATATTCTGAGCGAAGTAACCAAAAATATTTATATTTGAGTTGTTTTTAACTGCAAAATGAATTTGTGTTTTTTTTTTAATATTTTGTGCTATGTATATTTTGAATATAATTTTATAATTTTCAAATAAATATATGCATATGCATATTCATACATATTTCTCACATTTTTCTAAATTTCTTAATGAGCGATCTTTAGTTTTGGTTTAGTCAATATCCTTTCCAATTATAAAATGCCAATTCGAAAAAAGCTCATCAAATTTTTGTTGGCCTGTGTAATTGTTGTTAACGTGTCTTAATTAAAATTGTGTTTGCACTTTAAACACTCGCAGTGGTTAATAAATTATCGAGCGTGATATAATTAATAACAATAAAATAAATTTCATATTAAATATAAATGCGAAATTCTTTTTGAGCATTTTAATCGGATGAAATGTGCGACGCACGCTTGAAAAAACTTGATTAATGGCAACAAAAATTGTTGATATCAATTAAAAGTATATTAAATATACTAACTAATTAAATAACATTGTAAAGAATCCAAGCGCTCAGCATACCTCATGAGACACATTTTTTTTTTCATTCTTTTTTTCTTCATCTTTAATTCTTGTTGTGTTTTTTTGTTTTGTTGCTGTTTCAGTGACTCGCGCAGCACAGTTGCTGTTGTGTGTTGTATTATGTGTCGATTCGAAAAAAAAGATAACTTATCACGGTTACCATATGCCAAACCGATCAGCGTGATAAGTCGTCCAAAAGCACACGCAAACACCCATATATTTTAGCAAGGTTCTGCCATGGCATACCCGAGAATACCCTTTAATATAGACGTTGACAGGAAAACGTCAAGCTGGCCAAATGCCTGTAGCCAAACATGCCCGTGCCCTCTGCCACCACAGGGTAGTCGCAGCCAAAGCCGTGCAGACACAATTGCTGCGTAATAAAAAAAACAACACTTTATATATACACTATATATACATATATAAGTATGTGTGCATGTGTTTAATGAGTTGAAATTGACTAAGCCAAGAAATAGCTGCAACTAGACATAACTGGACTGTGTCAGTGTCACGCCCCGCCCCGCCCTGCCAGCCACCTGGCAACAACGAAATTTTTTAAATTCAACTCGCATTTACTAATTTCATTTTATCTTTTACTCTGCTTGCTGTTTTTTCTGTGTGTGTGGTTAGAGCTTGGACGCTTTCAGGATCTCAGAGCGACATAACCTACATCAATATCAAATTTACATAACACAAGCTCATTTGGCCAGATACCAGATTGCACCATGGCCAAGCTGGATCTCATTCGACTGTGGTGCGTGGGATTTTTGCTGCTAGCCTACCTGGCGGCACAGAGGAACGCATCAGGTGAGAATTATTCAGTGTTTATAGCTGTTTTCTAATATGCACATGGCAGCCAGCGAAATTGGCTACAAAGGCAAGAGACACAAAGCATTTTAATCCAAAAATGAACTCATTTATAAACTCATCAGGTGACTCATCGATCTTTTGTGATGCTACTGCCACTTTTTATGGTATTTTCTTTTTTACGTCGAGCAATCTGCACGACAAACACGAAATCTCTATATACATATTGCGACCTTATTACGCGCCAACAAATTCTCAAGATTCCGAAAAAATTTCATAAAAGAAAACAACAACAAACCGCCTCTCATACGTCATGCGTCACAGTGGGCAGCCAATCATAGCCATTACAGTTGATGACGTGAAACCAGCCAGCCGAACTAGCCCAGCAGAGCAAACTTGTTTCTATATATACATATTATAGATATCTGTATATATATTTATAGATCGCGGTTGTTGCTGTTTTTTGCTATACTTTGCTTGCAGACCATGCCAACTTTGCTACAGGCTCGAAGATGGGGATCATGTCGAATATATCCCATATATTCTTGAGGTCTATCAATAATTTTCCAACTGTAAAACCTAGCCTCTTTTTGAGAACTATTAATACCTTGGTAGCTACAGATAAGATCTCACTATCTAATCTAGCTGCTAGTTTCATATGCCTCAGACAACCCAAATGTTATAATGTCTGTCTATATGCAAACTTTAGATCTGTAAACTTCAAACTTTCAGATAAAGTCTGGCCATCTGGAATGTACATATCATAAAGGACTTTTTCTTGTATATTAACTAAACTTGTTGCTTAATAGTTTTATTCTGTTTGCTAGACATAAACTGTATATGGACTATATAAAGATAATACCAACATTTGACACAATAGTTCAAATCGATAGAAAAACTAGTTTTTCACATGCTTTCTTTATATTTAAGCGATCTTAACTATGCCAAATCTGCTCTATATATATATATATATATATATATATATATATATATATATATATATCATCTATGTATCTATATATATCACATGTATATGATTACAACATTGGGGCATTATGAACTCTTTATGATTCCAGCGCAGTCGAGTCTGTAGCAGGGTATATAAATGCCGTGACGCAGTTTATGCTTTAGTTTTGTTTATATTTTGGTTTTCGGTTTTTGTGTTATTTTTTTTTCATTTCATTTTTTTTTTTCTTTCACCTACAAACACATGTTTCTGTTATTGAATTTTTCTCTCTGTGTTGTTTTTGTATATTTTTGTTGTTCTGTTTCGTTGAGATTTACTAGTTCAGAAAGCGAAAAGAGTATATAGGTTTTGATTAGAAGCTGGTGATAGTGGGAAGTATTTGTATTTTATATAAATTATGAATCACATTAGCTATATTTAGTTAGAGACTTACATTAGCATATCTCATCGACTATATAGGCTATATGGCGCTGTAGTTAGCCTAGCCTATTGGTAACCCTACCCATAGGCAAGGCAATTTTGACTGCTCCCTTTTTGGAATGTGAGATACTGCCAAAAAAAACGGTATTTTTCCCTTTTATAGATCTACGCTTAGAGTTCACGCGTATTGCCCCACTGGAGCGTGGCAAATCGATGTTGCAATAAATTGAACCTGTTTTCGGAACGCGAACGAGTATTATGCAGTCAGTTGGGGTGTGACGACAAAGTTCTTCAATTCTTTTTTTTTGTTGTTTTTTTTCTGTATATTTTTGTTGTTGGGGTTTTTGTTTTTGTGGCTTTTTAAAACAATTTCATTGATAATTTAGATAGCGTGCGTTCGTTGGTTTATTTGTTTCTGTTTCTGTTGCTGTTTCATTTTATTTTTGTTTAACTTTGCTGGGCAGTGCCTCAACACGAGTCCAATTTGTTTATTTGTACATTATGCGAGAGTTGCCCTTGAGTCTGATAAATTGGAGGGCGCCCAAGGTACGTTGCGTACTTTACCTGTTCATTACACCTGTTACGTGACGCTTGCCATGGCGGCGGCGTCGGCGGCGGCGGCGTCGGCGGCGGCTACGGCTGCTGCTGCTGCTACTTCTGTAACCCAATTTGCCTAGCAGCCAATCGAGATAATGAGCATTGCTAAGCATCATAACAGCGACTAGAATCAGTAAACAAACACTCAAAAATCGAATATATATAGTTGAAATAAACATTATGGAAATTGTGAAAGAGCTTAGAATAATTGCATAATGAACTTAGATCGACGTAAATTAGGAAATGTTTAGAAAAGTTATTTAGATAATGTTGAAAGCGAAGATAGATAAGAAAATATTGGAAAATCTTGATAGAGTATCTTATATAAGAGAAAAACTTATAGAGAATAATTTGGATCAAGTCGTATAGGAGTAAAACATAAAGATAATGGGAAAAGAGTGGAAGAGTAGGCTGAAGTTTAAAATAACAGAGAAAACTTGAAGGAAAAAGATTAAAATAGTTAAATAATCTAGAATAGAAAATTTTTATTAGCTAAAGTTTTAGAAGAGAGAAACAGCAGTGAATGAAATATAGAAAAGCATAGAAAATATTGAAGGAGATTCAGACTTGGCATAAAATGTCTCTATTAACACTTGTATAAGAGGAAAATATAAGTATAACTGAAAGAAAATGGGGAAATATATGAAAATTTGAGGGAATAAAAATATAAAAAACTCAATGAAAGAATTTCAGCAGGGAAACATACAGAGAACAAAAATTAACATTAAAAAAAGATTATTCAGTAAATATAATGAAAATCATTAAGAGATATATTTATCAAATATATAAGATATAGCTTTAAAAAATATATATAAAGAAAAACCAAAATAAAACTTAGTTGACCTAGTTAAAAACTCGAGCAACTTCAAGTCCCAGAGCGCATTCTCTTGGGGGCTATTCCAATATGTATCCAACTCTATACAAAACATATATACTTTAGGCTAACTATAACAAAGAACATGACTCCATTTCGTCAACATTTCGGGTAAATTCTAATAAAAAATAATGACATAGAGCAACCCAAGAGAATAAGAGCGAACGACAACCACTAAGACGCAACTTTCACCTCGAACCCGGGCTAAAATCAATAAATGATAAAGGGGCAAATGACTTCCGCAAATGGAGCAGTCACCAGGTAGCACGAAGACGAATACAACGTAATAAAAATGCTATATAGACAGGGGGCAAACTAGCAGTCAGGTAATGCCAAGGCTGGCAAGGAAACAATTTGCATATCCAACCACCAAAAAGCAGAAAGACCTATTTGCAGAGCGTTGCAGTGGTGGATGTGGCTAAAGGCAAACAAATTGCTCGAGTCAACAATTTGCATAGCGTAAAAGCCAAACGTCAAAGCCAATTTGGCTGTCTCAAGCTCGGCAACTAACAAGGTCAGAAATGTGCCACAATTAGTGCAAGCGGACACAAAAAACGCTCTTCCAAAGAAACGATATATAACCGAGGTAAAAGTGTGCCAGAGAGCGAGTCATATACATACATATGTCCATGTATAGTTAACAATCGTCTAGCAAATCAGACAAAACACTAAAAGCACATTCCTCGCCTGCTCATAAACAAAAGCGAAAGGTTTTCAATGGACTGAAGTGAGAAAACAAAAAAAAGGGGAACAACCCACGCAGCATTATAGACTGTAACAACTGTCCATCATCGCAAATTTATATAGACAATTCCCTCTGGATTTTTGTATACAGATAAGCTTTAAATAACTAAAGACAAAACTCAAAATGGACTTCGCATGACTCTTCGATAGACTCTTTGCTTAATTGTGGTTGCTCATCAGCTGCTGTTAGGGTAATCAAAAAAATTGCTAGAGCTATGCAGAAAGAGAGAGAGAGAAAGAGAGGGGGGAATTTACGCCAAAGACAGAGCACAAGTTCACCTGGCTAGCTGACTCAATGTGTGCACTAAAGCCAATGATGGCTGAGTCAATTGTAGTCTTGGTGTCGTGAGATAAGCAAACAAGGGAGAAGCTGCGCCGGCAGGCATAAGACAATCCATGAACAAAAACGCAACTCTGATTTTATATATATTAGCATATATTTATATACATATATGTGTATAGCTACAGTTAATATAGTTATCAGAAACGGCTGCAGTCCAACTGGGCAGACAGACACCTACGACTTCAGTACAGCTGTACGAAGTTCGTCGATGGCAGCTGATAAGAAAAACTACAATTGCAGCGCTATAAATAAGATCTGCACACCATTACGAACAGCCATTCAAAAGTGTCAAAATATGTGTGATTTAGCCATGAAATCTACTGAAATTAATATGAAATTTTTGTTTTTTTCTCACTTTTTATACCATTTGAAATCACAATGTTTCACTTTAAGCAATCGCCTATGCTTTTTCCAGAGATGTGCATGCAGCTGTATATATATATATATATATTTATTTATTGTAATAATACAAAACATTTAATTACATAAAACTTGAATATGTACTCCATTGACATCTCTTCATATATTATAAATGATATAGTTTTGTGTTTTTTTGATATAGAATTTAATTTGCTGCCACTTCAAAAAAATGCGTAGTTTGTAGCTTAAAAAATTATTAATCTATGTCAAAATTTGATCAAGATAGCTGGCGGGAGCTACGTAAATAGTTTATGTTGAAGCATGCAGGCAGTCGGAATGGCAGAAGGCAAACGGATGTGCAAATACACATATATATATACATATATATATATATATATATGTATTTACATATCACAAGTGCATACAGACATAATGATATGCTTGACAAAGAACAACAAAAAAAGAGCTGATCCAACAACTTAAAGGAGGAGAACACGCGTCGACGCACGTGATAAGCGAAAACTGGGCGAAAATTGTATATTTTTTGAGCTTTATTATTGCGCCTTAAAATATTGCATTATAATGACCAAACAAACTTAGATATATATATATATATATATACATTTTCTATTCTGCAGCTACATCTGCCTGTGCTGCGCAGGTGCCGCTGCTGATATAACACATTGGAATTCATTAGCCAAACATTTCTTTGGCTTTAAGAAAGAAAATACTTAAATAAAAGCAAAGCAGAGCTAAGCAAATATTCGCTTGTTTTTGTCGTCGCAACAAATAAAAATGCCTTTGCCCATTCAGCTCTGTGGCTCTCGCTGTTATCTGTGGCTATATGTTAGGCGCTTGAGATACTTCAGATAATGGCTAAACAACATTCTATAACAATATAAATTTGACTGGCTATAAATAAACAGCTAAGCTACGCCCTGATATTAGCCATGTCTGCCCTAAAAGGCCAAAGAATTTCGCGCTGTGTACTTTCCGACAACTGCATCCAGCTCGAGATGTCGCTGTGTCCACAAATCACAACATTCTTTACATTTCATTTCCTTATTTTAAATACATATATATGTGTGTGTGTATGTATGTGTGTGCGCATACTATAGTCATGACTTTGACCATGATATCTGGCGAAACAGACAAGCTTCTTATGCAAAAATACATTCTTCAAGCGTTTGCTTCTATGGGTAAAGATGATATGATAGTGTATTAAGTGATTTGGTATGATTCGCGTAAAACTTCTTTTTTATAGAAATATATACTAAATAAGAACTAATCTATAGAAACTTTATGATTCAAGTTTCAGTTTGAGTTTTAGTTTTATATAATAAGGTATATATATAGATGATATAGATTCAATTTCATCACATATTTTTCATATAAGAACTCCAAGTTTGATTAATATATGCTATACAGTGAGATCAGCTATAGTGACTCCAATTGTTCTATCCACCCATGCTTATAGGTACTTAATAAATTGCATAGTTATAAACTGTTTTACAAATAGGAAAACCCCCAGTTTTTACTCGGATAAACCTTTAAACATTCCAGCCCCAACGGCCGGCTAATGCCATAGGCTTTCCATAGCTGTTGCTACACGTGACTTTGTTTTGCGCGCAAGATAGCTTAGATAAATATCATCCAAACAACATTCCACAGTGCAAAAACAAAAAGCAAGTGAAACCCAGGCACAAAAATGTTTAAGAAAAAAGCAGAAATATTTGCATTTGTTAGTTCAGAGTTCTTCAATCATCTATTGTTTAGCAATTGCAGCATTTCCTTGACATTCCGCAAGATTTCACAAATTTCATTTTATACTTATCGTGAGTGTGTAAATATATACCAGAATGCATATATATTTATATATCGTATATGTGTAAACATATACCAGTGAACTAACTGAACTGTTCAAATAGTTGGGCCATACATGTACAGATTTAAGACTATAAATGGCATATATATTATATAAAAAGTAATTTCATATACGAAGTCAATTTCACAATTGCACTAAACTTTACTTTTTATACTTTTTATAGTTTTTTTTTAAGACCCCATTCAACTACAGTGTCTATATATAGTATATATATTCCAAATAGTATTTATAGTATCTATAGTATCTATAGTATCTATAGTATCTATAGTATCTATAGTATATATAGTATCTATAGTATCTATAGTATCTATAGAATCTATAGTATCTATAGTATCTATAGTATCTAAAGTATCCATAGTATCTATAGTATCAACAATATGTGTAGCATCTATAGTATCTATAGATAAAGCTAAAAGATATCAAAGCTGGTCCAATTGTTAACTTTTGATTATAATGCGACGCAACTGAAAATGCATTTCAAGGTGGCTTTACCCACCACTTACCAGGCCAGATATATGTGCATATAGATATATATTATAGATATTGTAATAGAAATTTATCAAGAATATCTGCGCTTACACAATAAATGTGAATTCCTTAGAAAGATAACTTCGACAGCTGTCCCTAATTTAAAAGAACTGAGAACATAACATAGCTCTGCCCAAATATAAATATATTCATGTGTGTACATATGTAGCTTTGCTGCATAAAGTAGCAGTGACTGAAGGAATGCCCTTAATGTATGGTTATATGTATATATATCATATAAATACATATATACATATATAAATAAATGCATAAAATATCATAATATCTGCTATAGCAGTATAAGAAGTAGTTTGCACTTAAACAGTGAAAGTAGTAGAAGGAATATCCCTAATGCTTAGTGAACTTTGCTATAGCCAACACGAAATCAGCTGTCTTTAAAAGTTAGATTAGATATTCGAAAAGATAATGCACATACATATATTATAAAAGGTATACTAAAAAAAACTTTAGCTCTACAAAAATCTATTTCCAATTACGTTTTATTATTTTGAGGTTGTTGTTGGCTTCCAACTTTATCTGCCTTGCACTACGTCATTTCTTAATTTGTATAGCTTTATTAGCCTAAATACCGTTGACAAGATTCAGTTTCAGTTGCTTCTAATCTAAGCAGTATTTGCAGTTAAGTAACTAAGTCTATGTCCGTCGTTCGCGCTTTTATCAAAACAAGAAATGTCTTATCGAAATAGAAACGCATTCCGAACTGCATTAGTCATTAATATTTGCTCTTGCTGGCAGATCATTAGCGAATTAATAGCTCCGATTGAAATTAGCATGCGTCACGGCCAGACATAGTTTGATTTAGTGTTTTCAGACGTCTCTCTCGGTCAATTAAGGTCGAAACCAGGGGTTTATGGTGCCAGCCAGCCCCGCAAAACAATGCCCAATTAAGTGGAAAAACATCTGCGTAGGTGCGACAGACACTATTCCCCATTCACAATTCACAATGCTCAACTTACAGTTGGCAAAACGTTTTCCCTGCAGTCAATAATGATTAACAAATTTGCCTTTTCTATAATTAGATCAATGATATAGTGCCATTAGCCAATAATAAATTGCAATCTCACTTTTCTGTCGCTGCCACCTCTTGATTCGAACAATGTGCCCAAAATATATATATTTATTGTGTCTGAGTGTTGGCAATCTTTAAAAATGATTTCAAGAATATGCAAACAGAACAAACAGAAAAAGTTGTCTGTGGTTCGGTTTGCAATGCGATACAATTTCCTGCAGCCAACAGCCGACATCATGTTCTAAACTTGCCCGATAACCCAATCAGTAACTAGCTAAAGGCTTAGCTCGATTGACTATATGAATCAGTTTCCTGCCTTGAGAGCTGTTCCTCTCTAGTGGGGGAATAGTCATGCCAAGGCATTGACTCATCGAGTTCTTAAGATCTAAGAGCTCAGATCTACGTTAACAGGGTATTTGAATTGCGTATCGGTTACGTTCGACTTGACTTCATTGATTACATGTAGCGATGATATTTAACGAAATTAAATGAATCGTTTATAAAGCCAAAGTCAACACATGTCCAGATATCTCAGTGCTGTGCTGTTCGCACTGTTCATGTCTAATATACATAAATCATTTCTGTCCGCTATTAAGTAAAGCAAAATTCTTTTTAATCTTTGGCTGTGTGATTTAATTAATTGTTGAAGTGACAAACTATTAACACAAATAATGTGCGATGAGACAGGAACTGAACTGAAAACTTGGCACAACTAAATACGCATAAATTATAAAGAGAGACAGGGAGAGATAGAGTGGGAGAGAGAGAGCGAAGAGATGTGGATGTAAGCGACGAGCAAATACTCTGCATTAAGAGCCAATTTGAGCTAATGAAAGACTATTAAAAAGAATTTATTTGTAGAACATATATATAATCACATATATATATAAATAAAAAAATTTTTGGAAAAATCGTAAATTTCTTATATTATCTGAGGAAGTCATTTAAAGGGCAACGCGCAAATTCGCCCACGCTGAATCATACGCACTGTTGTACTTATATATATATACATATAGATGTATGTATGTATGTGCATATCAAGAGGAAGCTTAGTCTATCACTCGGTCAGCTTGTACATTATGTTGGCCATCAAGTATTGAGGTCACTGGCCGGACAATCTAGACCAGAATCTCAGCAGCAAAAGCAAAAGGCATTTTAATGGGTCTCCTCCATACGTACATTATTACTCACACATAAATATATATATATATATATATATATATAGTGAGAGAAAGACAGAGAGATATAGGGAGAGAGGGAGAGCGGTTACGTGTATCTTCACATCTGCCAGAAATGGAATACGCTTAATCCCAGCGGGCCCATTAAAATGAAATAAATAAATACATTCGTTTGCAACAACATAAACAGATACTCTAAATAATAATATTATTTTGCGCATCTGTTTGCCGGTCTCATATATCATATATCACATTTACGGGCATTAATCAGACGCTTTGCGCCGCTTTGCCTCATAATTTAATTGTAATTGTGCAATATGAGCAAAATATAACTAAACAATTACCAGTCCAGTCCAAAGTTCAGAGCCCGATGCCGGCATACAAAATAGCGAAACGCAACCAGACAGACAATGGCACCGTGGTGCACAAGCGTAAAGTTCACGACAAATCCCTTAGATTTGTATGATTGCATATTACAGAATATATTCGATCATATAGAAAATATGGTTAAGTCTAATTTGAAATACAAAGTTAAATATAGCTTTATATTTTGCTAAACTAAAATATTAATTTATCATAATGAAACTTTATCTAAAATTTACAAACAATTTTTTCTCATATTTTTAGCATCTCTAAGAAGTATTGAAGATGACGATGAAAAGCTCAATAAAACTGGTAAGTTATTAGTTAGAGAACACAACAAAAAGTGCTTAAACGGCAACTAAGAGCTAGACGGAACAACTGCTTCCGCTTTCAAAATTCCCTGTTTCCTGTATATGAAAACTAAAGATTTCTGTTTACCTTAAAGAAATTCATAGCATTTCAAATCTGACATACTATACCCTATCATCTGTAGCTCAAAAGATAAGTTCCGTAAATTATAATTCCATTTTTGCCTCCTTTTTCGTGCAAAGTTTCCACTGTATGGCATTATTCAGAATCTTAAGGGAGTGCGTACCCCGCTATCGCAAGAGTAAAAACAAGTTAACAGCGCTTGTTTTGACGCATAATTAATAATAGGAATGCTTTTTGGCTACTAGTCGTACCATTATACGTTTTTTGTTTTTGTTTTTTATAATGTATGTACTTCTGTATATTATAATTGATCTATAATTAAGATAAACTTAAATGCTGCCGACTGTCGTGCGACCGAGTGCATAAAAAATATGCTTTGTTTACGCAATAGTCAGCGAACAACCTTATATAAGCCGTAAACACACAGACGCACACCTATCTGTAATGTGTGTGTGCTTCAGTTAGAACAGGAAAAAAAATAAGAGCTTAATTTGTAATGCTTTAATGGTTTGTGCTAAGCATGAATTCAAGGACAATAAATACGGAATATCATCGGGGCTACGAGCCACTAATTGATCGCCAGGCGGAACCGAATAGCGTTCTTTTACTCTGATTGATCAATCACACACACATGTATATATAATATATATGTATAAGGTGGTATATATTCATATATGCAGGGGGATTTTCTAATCAGTTTGTTTGCCTTTAAAGAAGTGTGGCAACAGCTAAATCAAACAAATATCAACTCGAGCGAAGACTCTTACATTTCGAGTGACTTTTCTTGAGTTATACGTAGTATTTGCTTTATAAATATGCTCATTAAATGAGCTTTGACTGTTATTAAACTATAAATGATATAACAAAGCGTTGTAGGCCAAATCACGGTCAAGGCTCGTGAACCTGATTTTCATATAACATTTTAAATATTTATAATAATTTTAATTGAATATTTGGCATTCCCCATTTGGGCTATAGTGTATAGAACCCTTTGGAATATTTATTTTATATATACATATATTCTTTTTAAGACTTATTGGACTAGTGGAAGTAGCACTGTGCGTACTTTAGTCCACCGTAGAAGAAACCAGTTTCTGGTTAACTTGCAGCAATTGGCTGATAGCTCAGATGAAAGCAGCCTTAGGGTAGGGTATCTTTGAGTCAATCACTGCCAACTAGAACACTTTTACTTGCTATACACTTAGACGACATTTTTATACATCGGATCTACTTAGATGAATGTTAGAATATTTAATATATTCGAACTGATTCATTTAAACTAGTTTATTTGAACCAGTTCTTTTTAGCTGGTTTATTTGAACTTGTTCATTTGAACTAGTTCATTTGAACTGGTTTATTTGAATTTGTTCATTTGAACTGGTACTTTTGCACTTGTTCATTTAAAGTAGTGCATTTGAACTGGTTCTTTTGAACAAGTTCATTTGAACTGGTTCATTTGAACAAGTTCATTTGAACTGCTTCATTTGGACTAGTTCATTTAAACTAGTTTATTTGAACCAGTTCATTTGAACTAGTTCATTTGAACTTGTTCAATTGAACTAGTTCAATTGAACTAGTTCATTTGAACTTGTTCAATTAACTAGTTCATTTAAACTAGTTTATTTTAACTAATTCATTTGATTTTGTTCATTTGAACTAATTCATTTAAACTAGTAAACTAGTTCATTTGACTATATATTAAGCTATATCTGCTTTAAAGCAAAGCTACTTACTATATATATTCACATATATATATATATGTATGTATGTATATATGTATATAGGTATATGTAAATGCGCTTATTTTTACTACAGCTGTAATTACTGTGAAGCTCAGTCATTGCTTATACGTAAATCAATTTCATAATTTGAAAGCATTGCAAATGAACTTTTAAAGTCCCACAAATTTATAATAATATACGATAATTGTGCACAAATTTACGAAACGTGATTGACGTGTGTTGAGGGAAAATTAAACAACAAAAAACATACATATGTACATATATATATACATATATATATATATATATATATATATTTACATATATTTTGACAGGCTGAGCATCATTTGGGTTCTTAGGCGCATGCGCAGTTAGATATTTGAGCTTTAAGGCTACCAGGTCTCATCTGTAGACTGGGAACTACAATTACTTCATCAGTTTGGGAATGTTTGTTGTTGTTGCTTTGGTTGCTTTTGTTGCTGCTGTGGCTGTCAACCACAAGTTGTAACGGCGACATCAACCCGTTTCTCCTCACGACCTCAAAGCAATGTTGTAGTTAGTTAAGATACGACAGCGACCTCCTCTTCTTGTTTCCACTATTTCATTTTAGTTTTTTTTTGCCCCTCCCTCGCTCTCTCCTCCCTCTGCTTTTTTTTATATATTTTATTTGTGTTTTAAGTAACTTTGCATGTCAGGCTGCGAGACAGACAGTGGCGGCGCGTCAACAATCTTGCCAGCTAATTGTACTAAAATTTATTTATTTTTTTTTAATGCTGATGACGCTAGAGGTTTACGTAGCGCTGTAGCTTATTTCATCTGGAAACTGGAAAAACAGACTCAACGAATTGCACTTTTGCATGCAACCTTCGACTGTAGATCAATCAAAAAAAAACGAAAATAAAATAACGAAATATGAAATGTGAGTGTGTGTGCGTGTGTGTTGTTTAACAACAAAACAAGGAAGCTGACGGAGAGTATGGTGACACATATAGATACCCTGTGACAGGTAGCAGCACCACCAAAACGGATCTTACCCTCCCTGCAAGTGAGGCATATACCCTGTAAAGCAATATGAGCTGGTATGCCTACTTTATGTAGATATGTATGTATGTCTATTTTCAAATCAATGTCAAGGCCATGGCCTGGCATATGCCGTCTTAACTATCCTTTATGAAAGAGTGAAGGGTATCAATATAAAGAAAGCAAAAAGTGAGAGTTCATTTCACATGTTATCTAAATTCTTATCTTCTGATAAGAGTTTAAACGTCAAGTTCGAACAAACTAAATCTAACCAAAAATACAGCTGAGACATCAATAAAGTATGCCTCCTCCATATGACATATGACACAGGTCTAACATATGACTTCTCTTGAGTCTTGAGCTGCAGCATGACATATTGTTTGTGGGCCATCTCAATGCTAAGCCACTTTGCCTGTAACTATGTATGGACTGCCTGCCAATCCGTTCCCCATTCATGAAAAAAGGTTAGAATTCACACATCATCAGACATCTCCGGCAGACCCCGCTTGATCCAGCTGAATGTGATAGGGTATCTGAAAAAAAAACTAACAAGTGACGTAATTAGCACTTCTGGTATTCGTACATTTCGCAGATTCGTTATCGCGGATGCCACCTCCCGCATCGCATGGCATCGCATCGCGTTCGCTAATGAGAGTAGCGGAGCGACCCACTTGTAAAGACGGATATGTGCCTAGTTAATTTGCATTAAATGTAAGACCTTTGGACGTGTCGGCAGTGTGTTTGCTTTTATTTAACTGGTTTAACTGCGTATCTTGGCACTTTTCTTCTGTTTTTTTTTCTTTGCGTTTTTTTTTTTTTTGTATTTTTGCTGACCAATCGGGTCAATAAACCTCAAGCCAAATGAAAATAATAATAAATAAAAAACTAAGAAGAAGCCAGCAAGTGCTGAGCCCACATTAAGTCACATTGTATAACGCTTTCCCAGCACAATTCTCTTGGCTTCAGTATGAATGATCCAAAACAAGAACAAAAACTGGAAGGAGAAACATCTCCAATATCAACATCATCCTCAAGCCAGGCATTGATATGCCCTAGAATTCCACTTAGATCTTAAACAGATCACGCAAAGTGTCGTGACTTATGTGCGCCCTTCTATGCGCTTCGTAATAAATACTGTATGTCTCTGTGTGTGTGTGTGTATGTGTGTGTTTCTATATAGATCCGTCTTCTCTGATAGCGTTAGTTATATCTATTTTAAATTATGTTCAATTGAGTGCGCTGCGCTTCACCTATACGCGGCATATATGACGTCAATTTCATAAAGAACGAAAAACATATATATATATATATCATATATAGCATATATATCTTAATCAATAGCCTCGCTAATATTTAGGAAAGTTTCCTTATCAATTAATTGCTTAAAGGGCACACGCTATAATAATAATAATAGTAACAATAATAATAATAATACGATTGAAACCCGAAACGTGATATGGCATATTGAAAATTATTGATTCAATGAAAAGAGATCGCGATATCGGTCGTTAGATCGCTGGCTCGATCCGATCGATTGATCGAAGAAATTCTTGCCCAAAAAACACAAAATCAAAAACAAAAATATTTCTTGTTGCTGCTGCTGTTGTTGTTGTTGTTGGCTGCCATTCACATTTCACTTGGCAGCGCCAACTATGCCCTGCACAGCCCCCTTCGAGTTACTAATTCAATGATAAAATGTCAAAAATCAATAACAATAAATAAACGATAAACGAGAGTGTGCCACTGTACTTTGTATCCAGCAAAAGAGATACGAAACTTTTTAGGGGCTGTCCCTGACACTCGGCAATGCGTCTCGCGGTCTCGTCAAATGCCGATCCACAATCTATTGCTAATCAAATTGCAATTTTTATAAATTTACCTAAAACCTCTATTGAAAAATGCGGCGTCATATTAAATACAATCAGCACAGAATTTCACATATATATTTATATACATTTATACCATTTGACTCGATAAGAACTGAGTAAACAATTTTCGTATTATCCAAGTTAAAATTAAAGATGAAATATCATAGATTTGATTATGCAGACCTTGAAAACCTTTCACACACTACTATACTATATCTGTGGCTAAGTTAAGCCACAATCCATTTGGATGAGTCATTAGCCAGGTAGCACATTGGCATGCCTAATAAGTTATACAATTTGCGTTCCACATTCGTTCCACTCGCCGTACTTTATCAGGCCGATCAACAAACCGTGTTTTTCTTTTTATCAGGCAAAAAAGAGTTTTTAGAATCCACGTGAAGCTCACATACCGCTTCAGACCCGCACACCCAATCAAAGCAGATAACAAAATTTCGTTTGTGAACTTTTAAGGTCAGTTACCTGACCTTAGCCAATTGTGAAACTCATTGAAGTCACATGGCATCCAACTGCAACACCAATTGGACTTTTTTTTTAAATTTACCTTTGGCTAATCTTTTTTGTATTCTTTAATTACAGATCTCGGCTCGGACACGGTGCCATGCTCTACGATTGAATGGGCGAAATCGTCTGATTGCCCCAAAGATAGCAAACAGATATCCAGTTTTAAGTTCGTGGGACGGCAAAAACCATGGTGCCACGAACGCAGTTGCAAGTGCAACGAATGCCCGCGGAAACCCACTTGCAGTCCGGGTCAGGTGCTCCATGAACTGAGCACAGGCAACGGACAGCCGGGCACGTGTTGCTCCAAATACGAATGCGGCCCCATACCAGAATGTGTTAAGGGCAGCCCCACCATTTATTGGAGTAATAGTTGCACCAAATGCTCCAGCTGCCATGAAATGTGCACCTCAGAGTGCATACAGCACGACAGTTCACCCGAAAACTGTCTCTCCAGCGATGGTCAGATGAAGTCGATCAACGAAACCTGGCTTCAGGGAAATGGCTGCGAGACTTGCACCTGCTTCGATGTCATAGGACGAATTTGCGAAAGTGTTTTCTGCGAACCTCCAGAATGCTCCAATCCAAAGAAAGGGCCAAACGATTGCTGTGCCATTTGTACAGAGTCGGATATCATTACCACAGAGGCAATTCCTCACATAGAAAGCGACCCAACTACTGGGAGCAAGTCACCTGCATGGGACAGCAGCCCAACTACTGAGCGCAGTTCAACAGCGAAGCCAAGCTCAACTCCTGAGAGCAGCCCAACTACTGAGAGCAGCCCAACTACTGAGAGCAGCTCAACTACTGAGAGCAGCTCAACTAGTGAGAGCAGGTCAACTGCAAAGGGCAGCCCAACTACTGAGAGTAGTCCAAGTGCGGCCCCTGAGATCAGCTCAACTGCTGATACCACCTCAACTCCTGAGAGTAGCCCAATTCCTGAGAGCAGCGCAACTACTGAGAGCAGCTCAACTGATGAAATGACACTCAATGAGGACTCGCAAGAGCTGAACAGTGAGGAGACATTTGAAAATGAAACTGAACAGCCGGAAGACGGAGAGACGATGGGCGTGGAAATTACCATTAAACCTTATATAGATAGCTCAGAGCGGAACAGCAGCAGCACAGCTAACACCATGGAGTATACAACACTCTCGGCCTCAACCACGCAGCAACCAAGTCCTTTGTTCACATCGGCACCGGCCGCACAGACGCCTGAGTCGACCAGCTGGCATCGTGAGTCAACCATCGATGATGCTGAGTATCATTATCCGAACAATTCTGATGATGCAGTGCGTTCAAACAAGCAGATACCTCAATGGAAATCACTCATCTTCATCTTCGTAGGGGCTGTGGTAGTTTCGGCCCTTATTTGGCCATGTTACAAACGCTGTAAGAAAGGCAAATCGCTGTACACCTCGGTGCCGTGCTCGGAAGCAAAACTGGCCGATAAACACACAAGCGCACAACTAACTAATATACTGATTGAGCAGCCATCGATGGAGAAACGACTAAACGAGACTGTAGAATAATTCAATTTCATTCCCATATACATACATATATTCATAGAAGTAGTATAAATATATACTAATTTATATTAGTTTTAACTGCAAACGACGTTAAATTTGTTAAGTTTGTCAAGAAGGCTCCGTCTAGACAATGCTCCAACAAAAGCAGCTATTTATGTATTATTTCATCAACACAAAGCACTCAAAATTAAGAAAGGCATTCTAACTAACATTCTAAAAGTAAATTATATTATCGATCTGTATAAGCTACAAGTTCATGCATATATATTTATCTATATACGTTAAGAAATAACTATGTTATATGAGGTCAGACCCCCATTTAGCCAACTTTTAAGTGGGCTCTGCGTAGTAGAATATACACAATCTAATACAGTTATTTCTTAACTTAACAATTCATTGTGATAAAACTGTATTAGAAAACATCTAAAATATATATAAAGAAAAAACTAAAATAATTGATATACCAAAAAAAGTAGAATAAGAAACATTTCTAGCATCTCTCCCCCAAATACGTTAAAAGCAAATAAAACGAAAAACTGAACAAATTAAGCGTTTGATTTATGACAAGGCAAGTGGGTGCCGTTTACTCTCCATTTACGCGGACGTTGGCACTGCTGTCAATCCATCCAAATGTTGGACAATGCTGCGCAATACCTGCGCCGTGCTGGAATCTGCTAGCTCGTTCAATACCGATGCGGTGCTGCCTGCCAAAAGGCCGACCCGCGGATCGATGGGCAGGGTGCCCAAATGCGGCACTTGAGCTAACTGCGCCAGTTCCGCGCCGCCATTCGATGAAAAGATGTTCGTGCACTCGGTGCAGTGCGGACAAACAAAACTGTGAAAAGTACAGAAATTTTAATAAGACAAGAGCTTCATGAATGCAATTCAGAAGGGCTAAGTCAGACAGGTAAGCTTTAAGCTGCAGTAATTGCAATTGCAACTTGCAATTCACCTCACTTAAAGCTCTGTCTGTCTCCCTCTATTCATCTTTACTCATTTACCCGCTCATATTCTCCACAATGCCCAACAGCTTCATGCCGGTCTTTTTGCAAAAGGTTATTTCTTTGCGCACATCATCCAAGGCAACGCCCTGTGGTGTTGTTACAATGATTGCGCCATTGCAAGGCACCTCGCGCATGCACTCCATAACTGTGATGTGCTCGTCTGAGGTGCCAGGCGGCGTGTCAATTATCAAATAGTCAAGCTCCTCCCATTTCACATCGGTAAGAAACTGCTTGATCATCATGGTTTTTTTAGGTCCACGCCAAATGACGGGATCACTGCGATTCTTGAGCAAGAAGCCAATGGACATGACAGCCAGAGTTTTACTCTCATCTGTATAAATAGGCACCCAACCATCGTCGCACTGATAAATATCACTGCCCTCAAGGCCCAGCAAATATGGCACACTAGGACCGCACAGATCTATGTCCAGCAGGCCGACCTATCAATAAAAACATGATTTTCAAATGCAATGTGAGAGATGGTAATATATTGTATAATTACTTTATGGCCTGTTGCTCGCAAAGCTAACGCCAATTGCGTGCTAACTGTTGATTTGCCCACGCCACCCTTGCCCGAGAGCACGACAATAACGTTTTTTACTTTGTCCAGCATTATTATTTTACAATAAACTAAATACTTAGACCGAACACAAGTGTCACAGCTGATGTCCAGGGCTGCAAAGACAAATGAGCTGCATACCAGCCGCAGGAGAGCACATACTTTAACAACTTAGACAACTGCCGGCAGAGTTAAACGTACAACTAAATATATTAATAATAAATAAATAAAATTAATTTATATTAAGCCAGAGATTTCTTTATAAAAAAAACAAATAAGATCAATTTTTTGTGAGCTGCATACGTAACTTACAGCGAACACGTCACCTGGCAACGCTGGCACATATGGCAACGCTGTTTGTGACGGCACAACAAATCAGAGCATGTAGTTGCTGCCCGGCAAGTGTCAGATTAGGTTTCTTTGCTATCATGCTCTTCTAGGCGTCGCGCAGCATGCTTATTAATTAACAACAGGGCAACATTGACGCCAAAATCATAAGATAAAACTTTTATCAATTGTATTTAACAATTGATATAAACATTAAGCATTGCTGCTGGCTACCGAGGCGCTAAAACTGAATCAGCTCGGACAACGGAGCATCCCATAAACTGTGGAGCGAATGTTGCGCAACCCTTTGGTTCGTCCGCGTGCTAACATAACAACATTATCACCACAATCACGCCATCAGAGCCGCACTCTACGCTGATAATTAAATTTACTGTGGCAGAGACATGGTAAAACGTTCCAGTGCAGTTGGCACGCCAACATCCGGCGATGGGCAACAAGGGCAGGAGTGGGGCAACTCCGGTGACGAAAAAAGTGCCGCATCAACAAAATACATATCTGGTGCGGCCAGTGCACCAGCCACGCCCACCAAACGCAACGACAATGGCAAAAATCGAAAGGAGGAAATCGCCCAGACTTTTGTCATTGTCAACGAACGGCCCGTGGATGATATTTCGTTGGACTTCTTTTACAAACCCCACACCATCACGCTGCTGGCCGTCTCGGTGCTGGCGGTCATGTATTTTGCCTTCGTAAGGTAAGTGCAGCTCAGCTATAGGAGATTAGTGCGCCCAGCGCGCACATTTATCGATCTTTCTATTTCCGTCGGTCAAGCTATGCCCGACTAAGCATCAGCATTTCGCGTATTAACTTGGTCAACCGGCCGTCAAAAAGCAATTGTTGCGCCTGGCGACATGTGTCAGCCTTGGTTGACTTTTTAAGCTTTTTTCGAAATGTACAAAACAGAGAAAAAAAACAACGCATGATTAGAATATAGAGATGAACGCGTGAGACGCACAGCAGAACAGGGAGCAGGCATGCTGAACACGAGTTCATTATGCATAGCCGATGCCTGCGAATAAGTATCCGAAAATAGTGTACAAAATTTAAAAAAAAATTATATTTATAAAATCTGTATGTAGGATTGACAAAGTTTACTTATTTTAACATTTAATTGGTGGTTTTTTCTCTCAATTATTAATTTATGCAAATATTTCTTAACTTTTAATGTATTGCAAAATAACTTTTAAAGACCCCATCCTAAATAGTATCAATTGCTGTAATCAGTTAATTTTCGTGCTGCTCGTGTAAGACGGTTGGTTCGATCACCTTGGGTCAAGTGCTCATCTCTAAATTCGAACAGATTGAAATTGAACATGCGTTGCCAAATGTGTCGTTGTCGTCCACGCGGACATTGAAGAGCCTGCTCCCCATGGTTCCGTAACAAATCTCGTTTTTATCAACAAAACTTGCCGAATCGTTTCGATTTCAAACAAAAGGTCACTTAACCTAATACAATGAAAAAGATAACAAAAACAAAATAAGGTCAAAGTCCGGCACTGATTAAGACCAGTGAAATGAAAATCATTACAAAACTATAATTCACTAAGCAGACAAACGCAATTTAATTACACTTGTAGGAACGAGGCAAACATAGATGATAATCTTTGGTCCGGCCTGTTGTGCGTTGTGTTCTTCTTTCTTATTATTTCGGTCATCGCATTCCCCAATGGACCTTTTACACGCCCCCATCCAGCAGTATGGCGCATCCTGTTTGGCTGCTCTGTCCTGTATTTACTCATGCTGCAGTTTCTTATGTTCCAAAACTATCCAACAATACGAAATATTTTCTATTGGCTCGATCCAAAGCTGAAGAACTTTCACATAGACATGGAGAAGGTGAGTAACGACCATCCGAGCATCCGAGACTATTACTAAAACTGCATTTTCTTTCAGGAATATGGTGTAAATTGTTCGGACATTAGCTGGGAACGGGTCAAAGGTCATTTGGATGTATTCGCTTGGGGTCATTTTCTGGGCTGGGCCTTTAAGGCCATACTTATTCGCCACATGGGCATACTGTGGGCCATCTCGGTGATGTGGGAGATAACAGAGATCACATTTGCCCATCTACTGCCCAACTTCATTGAATGCTGGTGGGATGCACTCATCTTAGATGTGATCATCTGCAATGGCCTTGGTATTTGGGTCGGTCTCAAGATCTGCCAAATACTCGAAATGCGCGAATACAAATGGGCTAGTATTAAGGATATATCCACGACTACGGGCAAAATTAAGCGTGCCATGTTACAATTTACGCCGGAGAGCTGGTCGGCCATACGTTGGCTGGATCCCAAGTCAACGGCAATGCGCTTTGCTGCCGTGATGCAGCTGGTGATATTTTGGCAGGTCACCGAACTGAATACGTTCTTTTTGAAGCATATTTTTGAGATGCCACCAGATCATTTTATTGTGATTGGAAGATTAATATTTATAGGACTCTTTGTGGCGCCCTCAGTTAGGTAAGTAAATGCTTTTATAATTAGTTAGTATTATATGTTAATGGATTTTGCACAATTTCAGGCAATACTATGTGTACGTTACCGACACGCGCTGCAAACGCGTCGGCACCCAGTGTTGGGTTTACGGCGCCATTATGGTCTCCGAGGCTATTCTGTGTATTAAGAATGGCAAGGAGTTATTTGAGCGCACGCAAGCTATCAACATTGTGATATGGCTGACCGTGCAGGTGCTTATATCGGTGTCATTCGTCTACGTGGCTGTCATATGGCAGGTGAGTTCGACACCAAATAAAAATGTGAATCAAAGAATAATATAAACAACAATTTCTACTCTACGCAGCAACGTCTACTAAAGAAGTCTTCACAGACCACACCAACTCTTAGTAAAAAACCAGGAGACAGTCCACAAGGCACCCCGGCGAAAGGTAAGCACTGCCTACCTTTAAATTAGCACTGTTTAGCACACTCTTTTGTTGTATATGTATTTGCGTTTATTCATTTGGTTCTCTGCTCTATGTGTGCCACTACAATTCATTTCACTCTCACTTCGACCTTTCTTTTACTCTCTTTGGAATTGCATTCTACGTGTGCCACGATTTAAATCCTTTGATGGACCTGGCACAGCGCACTACGATATTAAAATCAAAATTGTCTAAAACTTTATTTCACTATCCGTTTCAATTTTCATTTCGTTTGTTTCTTTTTTGTTTTTCTAGGTAATTTGTCGCCAACGAAAGAGAAGAAAATCAAATGAGGCCATTTTAGCAACACCAAAAAGGAGTAAAAAACAAGAGAAGAAAAGAAAATGAATTAGCAGGCAATTCTTTAAAACTATATGTGTGTACATACAATTTATGCAAACTGTACTGATTAAATTAAATTTATATTGTGTATATGTATGTATAATTGATATTAGATTTGTTAATAAGCAAATAACAGAATGAATGAAGGAGAATAAGAACATCTAAACTCTAAAACTAGATTAATACATTTTTTAACATTGCCCATTTAAGAAACTTTTCTTAAGAGCTGTATAAGTAAATCATTATTAATAATACAAATTACATTGTTTTCAAAAAATACATATATATATATAGATATATATAATTGTAAAGTACTGTACAAAACACTAGACTAAACCTCAAAGCATGCCGAAACGGTGCTACGAACTGCATCTCGTGCGTAGGGTATATAAGAGAGGGAATACCAGGTCATGGCCAGGGATTGAATGATTATGAATATAAGCGTGAGTCCGGCTTTTTTTAACTAAAAAATAACAAAATAAAGACAATTTCAAATTTCAAATCAATAAAGATGAATCAAAAAAATTAATAAATAATAATCTACCACAATAGCTGAGACGAACGTCATGACAATTGAGACGATGACGATGCTGGTGGCTATCAATCGTGTATCGGCGAACATTTTCTTGACCTGTTTCAAGGGTCCCATGAGGAAGCACGTGCTGCAGCAGAAAACAAATATATATAAACATATATACAGCAATTAGCCAACAAATGCAAATTGAGCAACTCACCTGGCCATTGATATGATGTTGCCCAGAGTATAGAATACAGCAAAGACTACAATGCCACGATGTAAAAACAGAGCAATGGAGCCGAGAAATGACAATAATATGCCCAAAACAAAACATACACAAAACGCTTTGATACGCGTGCTCCAGCTTAATGTTGACATATCATTAATCTGTGTAGTTTAATAATAAATCCATTGATAAAGCGGTTGAGTCACAGATCGATCATTGATCGTAGCAAGTGGAATGCAATTCAGAGAAATGTTATTCCAGCCGTGGTAACGTAGAAAATCAAATGACGCATGATCGTAAGCATATTAAGTCAATATAAATAAATAAATTAATATGGTTTCACCTGGGTAATGATGCTGCTTTCTTCCTCCGGTGTGCGGTCATCACCGCTAAGAACACGACGTAGCTTATCCATTATTTCAGTTCTTTAAAAGTTAATATATATTTGCAGGTAAAGAAAAATTTAATTCTAAAAGTCAAATTAAATTCTGCTTATCGAACTAATTTATTAGAATACATAAGAAAAATACACGATCGGAATGTCTGATTAGAGTAGGTCCATGAACAGATAGTATCGATATTTCTATAACAATAACTCTACGCGGTGTTCAACACTGCTTGGCATTTGATTTATTTGTAATGAAATTTCTGGCAACTCTATCAGCTGTTGCCATGCTTTGCACTTGGGTACGTAACATAACAAAAGTTTCGAAGACCACAAAATGTTACCAATTTAGTGACCAAATAAGATATATTCGTGCCCTTAAAAGAGTACAAAGTGATCTCATCGTGCCAGTGGAACAATCAAATGTAGCCCATCATGATAATCCAGTCGAAAAGAAGCTCACCGAGCAGAATGAAAAACAAAGCGCTGTTGCATTCGATTTCGGCAGCCGGGAGGCGCACGTGCCCACCTTTAATCTAGCGGCCCATGTGAACAACTCTACAACATTGCAGCAGTTGCTTAGTTTGGGCGTGGATCTGCACAGCATTGAGCGGCGCAAAGGCTTGGGCCAGTACGTGCTGCGTCTGGACTTTGAGGAAAACGTAAAACCCTACTTAACATTTCTGGCAGACCAGGGGATATCACCAGACAGCTTTGGCAAAATGATCACAAAAAATCCACTGATATTCAAGGCGGATCTAGATGATTTGCAAACTCGTATTGACTACATGAAGAGTAAACGCTTCTCAGTTGAGGCACTGCAGCGCATCTTCACAAAAAACCCATATTGGCTAATGTTCTCAACCAAACGTATTGATCGACGATTGGGTTATTTTCAAAAAGAGTTTTACCTAAGCGGCCATGATCTACGATTGCTGGCTACCAAGGAGCCACGTCTAATAACATACAACATGGAACATATACGTAAATCCGTATTCACACTACGCGAAGAAATGGGCTTCAGTAACAAAGAGCTGCAATCGTTAATTGTCCACACGCCACGTCTGATGATGATCCGTAAGAGAATCTTATATAATTGCTCGCATCTCAATAAATTAATTGTATTTCTTTTTAGCTCCTGATGATCTTGTCGAGCGCTTTAGCTATGTGCATAATGATATGGGATTGAGTCATGCACAAATCATACAATGTCCTGAGCTTCTCGCTTCTCGAGAGTTTCGTTTGCGGGAACGACATGAATTCCTTAAGCTTTTAGGACGCGCTCAGTACGATCCACAAAAGGACTTGTACATTTCACCTAGTGAAATTGTGCGGGGCAACAATTTTTATTTTGTAAGAAACGTTGCTAAAAGTGATTTGGAAACTTTTGATTTGTTTTTGAAAACACGATAATTAAACTTTGTGCGCGCAAAATCAATAACAGGGCTACACTTTTAACTATCTGGCAACGCTGTACTAAGTTCGGTATTCCTCTTCGCATTTAATTTCTGTTTTCGTCTTGTCGCATATTTTTGTTGTGCTTGTGGGCAGTCATCTTCGTGTTTTTCAACGAACAGTTTGTGTTTTCGCTGCATCCAGCAGCTTTAGCAGAACTACGCATTAGGTTTTTGCAGTGTGCGTAAAAGAAAAATTGTGTATTATACTTAAACTAAAAGAAAGAGCATATTATAAATTAAACATAGAAACTTAGAGCAGACGACAGCTGTTACATTTAGCTTAAAGCACAAACAAGCAACAGTGCAGACGGAACAGGAACTAAAAAATAAAACGCATATTCTCACGCATACACGAGAGACGACACATATAATACGCAGACCCACTCACACACACAAGTGCAATACAAGGGCCGCTCTGGCAAAAAGTTTAGTTTAATCTGCATAAATTTATTTGTACGCCACAAAAACAGCAAACACGTTATCTTTAGACGACGTGTTTAGTACAAATATAAAAAAAAAAACAACAAAAGAATTTCAACTGCTGAACGAACGTAGCATACTATAAATAACAGAGAAAAACAAAATGTCTACGACACCAAAATCGACAGAAGATTTGCTGGGTGGTAAGTTTGCGATCACACACATACACAAATACATGCACACACATCAAAGTATTTGTGCATGCATGCGTGTGTGTGTTGGTATTTGTCAATAATAATAATAATAACAATGCAGTGCTTCTCGTATGACGCGTTGTTGTTATTATTGTTTGTGTCTAGTTAAAAATAGATGTTGCTTTTGATTTGTTTGTGTGCGTTTGAATACATTTATGTCAGTATGTCTGTTTATGTGTATGTGTTAGTGTAACTGTAACCACGTCTCCATTGCACTTGCCCATATACTATTTCAAGGCTCCACTTTGTTATTGTCAGTCTTGTTTTGTTTTGCTTACAAATGTGTGTGCATGTGCGTGAAAGTGTGTGTGCACACGTATCTCTCGCTTGCGCAGCAGCCGCCTGTCAGGCGATGACAACAACAAAGACTCGCCAACTTCGCCGCAAACAGAAAGCAGACAAAGAAGTAGTATATGGCAGCAGTACGAATTAGCGCCCATTCATATATACATACGTGTACTTCATGTATGTTATATTTACAGTTCCATTTTATATTTATCTTATTTTGGCAAATTGACGTCACGCGGCTTCTTTTCGTGTATATGTGTGTTTGCTTGTATGCAAAATTTCGTTTAAAAGCAATTGTTGGGGGCATTTGCCTTTGATTTGGCACTTGTTCTAGTTTTTTTGCAAAGTCCAGAAATTGCGACTTTAGCCTAGCCTATTTTTGCTACGTCGCTTGGGGTTCATTATCAAAAACGTGTGAGTGTGTTTTTATATATATGCATATATAGCTTATTTACCGACATAAATATATATGCAGAAGTGTGTATATGTGATAAAAGCAAGCGAATCTGAGCGCCAATACCTATAAGCAGTCAACAAAAGGCGGTTCATTGGGCTGTACGCTTGACAGCCTCGGATCAGGGTTTAACAGCTGCGCATGATGCACACACTCACAGGGAGTCACGGATACACTTTTAAAGCGAAAGAGATAGAGACTGCAAGAGAGTCGAGCGCTTTGCCTACGTGCTGTGAGTCAGCAAGCCATGTTTGTTTTGTTTTGCTACCCTTATTACACACTCAAATGGTTGTTGCTGGCTTTACCATTTCGCCGCAGAACCTGTTTATGGGTCAGCTTTGTTATTGTTTGGATTTTTATTTACCTGCAGACTACTAAGACGAATTGTTGGTTACCTGTTAATTTTGCTTTTCGCAATTTTGTGAAAGTCTGGCTGCGAATGCTCAGTATAGTTTTGACCGTTCGTGCATTGAGATGATTGGTCTGCCACGTGAGTGTACATGCCTTTTAGACCGTGGCGTAATTGATTGGCAACCGTAGAACAGTTATGTCGATTATCAGCAACTGCTGTCACACAGTCCCATGTAATTTGCACGCTGTTCTAATTGCAATCTTCGTCGATCGTCGCCTGTTTTAGTTGAAAATGAAATTTCGTTGATAGCCAGCAGACACAACAAAAAGCATGCATGTGTAATACACTGAAACGGAAATTGTGTTTTTGTTTGCGTTATCAATGGGGGCGCACGTTCGTATACAAACACCTCACAAAAACACACACAAAAACAGATATATACGTGTATATATAAACTGCAAAAACAAACAAAAACATTGGAGGTGGCTGTTTTGGTAGTTCTGTTTACGCTGTTAAACTTAACAGCACTGTTAACATACAGCGCAGTGCTATCAAAAGCCAAAAACAGCCGATAAGCAGAAAAAAGAAATAAAAAAAATGGGGCCACGACATCTGCCCACGCGCTGTTAAACTTTAGCACAGCAATGACAATCAAAATAAAAAGCCAAAACAAGTCAACTATCAACTATCTGAAGAAGAGAGCAATGAATTGCCGGATAACAAGCCAAAACAAGCTGAAAAAACAGCCAGTTTTGCTGCGAAATTCTGTTATACAAATTAAATCTATTATACGATTCAACAGCCAATTCAATCCATACGCAACTCTTTGAAAACAAATGACGCTCTTAATTGAAAACAATGCTGTTAACGCTTAAATTACAAAAAAACATTCATGTATTAATAATATCGTTGAATATTGCTAAATGCCAAATGCTCAATTTAATATCAGCATCACCATGAATAACATTCGGACTGTTTTTTGGTTTCAGAATCTTGGATCGAACTGAGCACAACAGCTGCCATGGCTGGTATTAAGAGTCCCGACAGAATTACACCTTTGCCATTTGCCAGTGGGGAGGAATATTTACGTTTGCTGCGCGAAGCACAGCGCGAATCAAATCAATCCAGTCGTGTCGTGTCCCTGGCCAGTTCGCGTCGTGACACGCCGCACGACAGCCCCAAGAGTCCGCCAAACAGTCCGCAATCGGAGCTGTGCCCGGACGATGAGTTGCGAAATGTGTATATCAATTATTGGACTAAGGTGAGTGAAGAAGATAAAGATTAACTGACCTTGTCATTGGCACTTGAACTAATTATATATGCACAAACCAAAACAGAATGGCGATAAACAAAACACCGATAATGGAGATTGGCTGCAGAACTGGAATCGCGGCAACGATGAGCAGCCACCGAAGTAAGCCACTTTGTTGTTTAAAGTTATTTTATTGATTTTCAATGCCTCTTCTGTTTTTATTTGTTCCGCTGCAGAAATTGGAAATTTGAGCGCTCCAATGATGATGATGATGATGAGAAGAAGAAGAGCTCGGGTTACTCTATACGCTTAAAGCGTCTAGGCGCCAACTCGTTGTTCTCCCGCGAAATTTTATACTCATTGCTGGTCACTAATGTACTCTCGTTGCTGCTGGGCGCTGGCTTTGGGTAACATATGCAGATAGCTTGTACTAGCAAGTGGCATTAAAATTGACAACGGTTTCCCTTTCTATTTATAGCTTATGGCTGAGCAAGCGCGGAATACTCTTAACCCGCGTGGTCATTGACTGAAAGACACCGTAAACAATAAAACGTTTTAATCAACAATATGCACATCATAACCATTTACCGACAGGCGAACGGAAAGCAGAAAGAACCGAACATTAAACGTTCCATTTCAATGAAGAAGCAGTGTCAACAACCAGCCAAACGTATTCCAGCCCATACAACACAACACAAAGAAACAATCTACGGCACATTATATTCATCAAATACATCTAATGATAGTAGAATACATAAGCATAACTATGTAATATGTAAGCAACAAGCTAACGGCTAGGCAAAGGGGTTCAACTGATTTTTTTATATACACATCAATTTTATACAGTTTTATATAAGAAAACAATAGCTTCATAAACACAACTAAACTCAAAAGAACGAGAACAGCGATCTAAAATATTAATGAATGTCCTTTCAAACTATTTATCGTGCGATCAGAGTTTAGACAACTATACAATCATCATTCGCCAAAAATGCATTCTGCGAACTTTGACTTTACATATATACGTATATATACCCACATATATATTCATATAGACATATTATAGCTGAATCATATAGGAAGAAACATATGTATATCAATCATATTTTGTCCTTTTATTTTCTAGCATAGAAGAGTGAAACGTGAAAACTGAAAAGTTCGGTATGCACCTGCAGCTAACCCGAAATAAAAATGCATACACACATACACATTAGGTTTAAGCTATGAATGTAACCGTTTTTATATTAAAAATATTTTTCAAAATCTATTTAAAAGCAACAACTCAAAATGCATTTTCGTTATTTCAAATTGAAATGGTGCGACGAATGATAAAGAAAGAAAAACAAATATATATATATATATTAATAATATATTTATGTATATATGTTCGATTTGTGTTGATTCACTTAAACGTCAACAAATGAGTAATTAACAATTATTTGCCACTTTCGTCATATCTATAAGAAATTTTGTTTACTTCTGAATATAAAATAACATTTCACTAGTTATCAGCCGATGTTATGATGAAATACGTTTTAATGATAAAATAGATTAGACGTTCGTGAATTTGTAATTGCGTTTTAAATAGATGTACTTCCATACATATCACATATATAGCTTGTAGAATTTGTATAGAGACTGATCAGTAAACGAAAGTTAAATGGTCCAATTAAAACTCCATTAATCTGGCAATTCAGTTAGCTGCAGCCAAGTCCTTAGGGACTTCCGTACCGTGTGCTTGTAAGTCCCGCCATAAAAAAGGTTTTTAATGTTGCATAGCATTTAATAGGTATTAAGTAATGACTAAATACTTAGGTGATTAACACAGTTTCAAAACTAATACATAAGTATATGGCAATTGATGCCAAAATGGGTTAACGCGTTAATATCAGACAACTGCTCAGAGAGTTGTTTTCTATTTAATAATAGTTTTTAATTTTTTTTGTTTCAATTTGCTGACAAAATGAACGTGGAAAGAGCGATCGCCAGGTGAACGCCTTTGATTTCTTGCTAGTTGACAGCCATTGCAAAGGTGAATCGTGGCAAATGGTTTGCCAACTTAAGTACAGCACATGGGAATATATGACTATGTTTTATATCATTTTATATATATATATATAGACGTGGTTATCTAACGTTTATATTACTATGTTTGAGCCTGTTTCGTAGACATCGAGAGAGCGAGAGAAGGTGAAAAAACATTGTTTCGACTAAATTGATGTGCCTTGGGTGCAATTTGAGCCTCAGCCTGGGCTAATCCTTGCCAGCATCGGCTGCATTTTGTGCGGTGGGTGAGGCGGCATCCTCTGTGGCAACTGGCGGTGGTGTTGGGGTGCGCAATGCTCGCTCAAAATCGGCCACCAGCTCATCATCCTCGGGACACTCATGCAGTTCGTCGCTCTGCCAATTATCCAGCGCTGCATCCACATCGTATTGCGGCGATTGCAAGGACTCGCCAGTCACATCCACCAAACGTGTGCGCAATCTATTCGAGATTTGCTCTAGCTCCGTAAACTTACGTTTGATTGCCTGGCCCAGCTGCAGGTGACGCAGCTCCAGCGACTGCTCAAACTGATCGATGGCATTGTCCACGTTCGAAGAGCCGGAACTAGGTGTCAGCGGTTGCACATGCACCTCCAAGCCACCCGTTACACGGCCATTGAAGTCGACTATGTTGTGCCAGCCACTGGGCAAGCTTGCGCCTGCCCTGCTTTGGTTGAGATTCAAGGCAGCAAATCCAATAATGGCATCCTCGAGGGGCGTCGGCTCTGTGCCCGCGCTTAGTGCCGTCTTCTTCCACACTTTCAGAATGAAAAGTTTCTGCGGCTACAAGTGAAAACGTTTTAAAAATTTTAAACAAATGCAGCCAGCTTAACAGCGTTGCCAGATCGCCAGGGTTGCAACGGTTATTTGAATTTGAATTCCACTCACATTGCTTAGGTAATCGGCGCTCACTTCAACCTGGAACTTGCTGTGCCATTGCGGCGTCGTCGAGTGCTCCGCTATGGGCGTGGCATAGACCAAGCCCTCGTGCGATTTGTAAGTCTGCGCATCGGTGCAGCCCAGTGCCTGGAAGGTAACATAGGTGCTGGGCGGCTCGTTGGGTGGAAAACGTTTTGCGGCCGCCTGGCGCTTGGCCTGCTGCTTCTTGCCACTTTTGCCATAGCCCGGATTCAAAGGCAGTCCAGCCGCGCCTACGATTTGTAGGTTGAAGCTAAACGGATTCCCAGTGGCGGGGGCAACGGGCACGGTCTTTGGCACAGCAACGGATGAAGTGCCCAGCGCATTTTGGAGCATGTCCAGCAGATCTGTGGTGCGTCTCAGCGGCTGCTGATTGTTTTCCAAATCGAAGCCTCGCAGCTGCTTCAATTGAGCTATTTGGGATTCACTGCCAATAGCTAGCAGCACCTTCAGCTCGCCCAGCTGCTTCTGTGACTCGGCATGGAGAATGGGCGTCCAGCCATCAATGGAAATGACAGGCAACTGAGCAGGAGAAAGAATGAGACAATGGATATAGATTCATAGATATATATAAGTTGAGCTCTTACCTTGCCCTTGCAAAGATGATTGGTAATGGAGGCATCTCTGTACGCTATATAGAATTGATGAAGTGGCAGATGGACCTGCCCGCCCAGTGGGCGTAGCTCCATCAGCAGCTGCTGTCGCTCCATGCTGTGCAGGAACTTCTCATCGTTGATGATGGCGAACTGTTCCTGCAGCTGGAAGGCGCCTTGGGGATTCGATTGCACGCTGAGCGGCTGGGATTGCCAGAAGGGCTGCAGCACCAGCTCCTTGCAGCTGGTGGCATCTGTTGCTGATAATTGACGCGTCTCGCCGGCAAAGATATAGCCACGCAGCAGACGCACTTTGGTCGTCTCGGCCATGAAATTGACAATATCCAAGGAAGCTTTGTTGTTGTTGTTGGCGGCTAATGGAGGTGTTGCAAGACCCTTTGAATTACCCTGCTCGCTGTTGTTCTGGTTCTTGCCTGTAGAGAAAGCGAGAGAGTAAGAGATCAACGAGATTTCACTATATGTCGATCGAGTATAGCTAGCCCAGCTGCACCTTGAACTCCCCGCTGCCATGTGCTCAATATATACGTATATATAAACTGAATCAGCACTGTGGAACACGTCGTTATCGCTTGCGTAAAGCCATTCAAAGCTAAATGACGGCATCTAGCAACGATTCAAAGCGCATGGAAGCGGGAATTAACGATTAGACCATGTGCGCATCTCGTGTGCCAAAGCACAAAGCACTTGGTGGATTGTGCAATGGGGCAGGGAGCGAGAAAGCACAGTGGAATGAAAGCTATTTCATGAATTGGCCTTGATTAAGATTACATGAATTGAACTTAAAAAAAAACTGTACGAATTTATTTAAACTTAGCTCAAAAAGACGATTTTAATAGTTAAATTCACTGATCCTTATAGATCTTTTTGATATTTTCGTATGACCAAGAGCTCAATTTAATTTAATGTTTAACTAATTATTCATAAGAACTTAATTATATCTAAAAACTTCTCATATACAAAAATTTACAGCTACTCGTAATTTACATAGCTCGATCGACGCTAATAACAGTTTTATGTTACGCATGCAAGCTTTAACAGCATTACACTCTGTTACATAACACTTGCGTGTCATTAGCGCCATCTACACATTTTTTTGCTAGCTGATAAAATTTTGCGCGCGCCTAGGCAACATAACGAAATTCATAAGCTTTCAACCCACTGTGCCGCAACTTAAAATATAAATAAGCAGACAATGAAAAGTATATATATATAAATAAATATTGTCATGATCTGTGTGGCCAAAAGGTAAATGAATATGTTTTTGGGGGGTAATTAAACATAAAAAGACGAGAGAAATGTTTGGTTTTTGGTCTTTTGCAAATAAACTGAAAATATTTATTGATTTAATCATGATGGGCAGCACTTTTATAACGGCAACCAATTCATAATAGAGCCGTAACAGAAGCCACAGCAGAATTGTGGTGTTGCTGCTGCTGTTGCAGTAGATGTGTAGATGTTGTTGTTGGTGTTGTTGTTGCTGTTGTAGTAGCTGTTGTTGTTGTTGTTGTTGTTGTAGTTGTTGATAGCGCCCACGCAAAGTTAGTCATATATATTCACCTGCAGCCGCTGCACCGTGGTTGCTGTTGTCGTTACTGTTGCTATTGTTGTTGTTGCTTTCAACTGGCCCATTGGTTAAGGTCTTGTACATTATCAATTGCTGATCAGTACGCAAACTGATCTTCAGATACAGACTGGCCAGGTGAAGATCACGACGCTGAATGGTAATGCATTTGCATTGCTCCAATATCGATTGCTGGTAAAGTTCGGCCAGTGGGAGTTGGCCCATACCGAGCATCTCGTTGAGGCAGGTGCCTGGTTCGCGCCACCAAATCGTGAAATGAATGCTGCCCATTTCCTTATCATTAATTTCCATGCCAGGCAACTGTACCTGTCGCTGCTGCGTCTGGCCGAAGCGTGTGCATTGGGTTAGACTTTGGAATTTCTCCGATTCGAATTGCATGATGTGGAACATGGGACCACGCGGCACCGAGCCAATCAACTCGTCGGACAGCTGGCATTCGACAGTGAAAATGGGTCGCACCTCGCTCTGGAGCAGCTCCATGCGCTTGGTGCCCTCCGCCTGGAGTGTCAACGCTTCCAAGTGCAGCTGCAAGGTATTCACCTGCTTGAACAGCTCCGGCGTTGCCTGATCTTGTGGCACATTGCTAGATAGCTCCTGTTCCGGCAGTACCTGCTCCGGCCACAGTTGCTCAACCTTGTTGAGATGTTGCTGCTGCTGCTGTTTCATCTTTAACTGTTCCATATTTGGTTCAGCGGCGGTGGCAAACAACGCCACCAGATCGGCATCCAATTTTTTCATGGCCTCCATTAGCTCAACTTTGGCTGGTGCAGCAACAGCAGATGCAATCGACTTGGCTGTACCTGAAATATATTAATATATTCAATTATGACAAATGTGCAATACGAGCGCGAAATATTTCCAAAAGCTTTACAATTTCTTTCGAGAAGTTTTTTGTTTCGGGAAGCGACCTCGTGTCCGATCGCCGCAACGTGGATTTCTACAATGACGGCAGAGCCGAGAGTAACTGCTGTAGATATGATGGGCCGGCAACAGTCGGCGTTAATCGCAGTTTATGCTTTGCTCCTCCAATTCCTCACACACGCTTACGCTCTCTCGCTCTAACGCTCTGACAACAGCCAACGAAAGCTCACCGATGTTCCTATACCCTCAAAAGCTATCAAAAACTGTTCCTCAATGGCATTGAGCATACAAGCACATGCATAACTGTATTTTGGAAGTTACTTACATACTTTACTGTGCCATTCATTTTACTACCAGTAGAAAATATATAACTTCAAATTTACTTTTTTTCCAAATTAAATATTTTTCATTTTAAAGAATTTAAAGAAAAACAACTAGATCTTTAAGAATTTATGAATTCATTATGAACTAATGACTCAAACATATCAACTTAACATCGATTTTTTTTAAAGTGTATTTCCAGTTTAGCAACACAATTGAACTCGAATTTCGCATTTGGTTTGACATTCGGTGAGTTCAACGACAAATGGAAATTTTTGTTCGATTTTTGTCTATGTAAGATCTCAACAGATATACTATAACTAACATATGCGCCGTTGATATAGGAAAATGGACTACGTAGTTTAAAATTTGGAGTATTTTAATTGGTAATCAGTTATATTAAAGCAAAATATTACATATTTTTTTCAAATTTATTTTTGCATAGCAACAGAGCGAGATAAGCGTCCGGGTTCATTGACATAGCTAGATGAGATTCTATAATACCAGACGTTACCAGATAATAGCAAATACTACTAATTATACCTGATTAAAACCCATAGAAATTCGCATGGAACGAATTAGTCAGCAAAGGGCACTTGAAAAATGAAAGCCAAAATACTTGTGTAATGATTTATCAAGGCCTTGTCCTATTGATTATAGCTTAGTATGCTACAAATAAGTATATATGCATGGATGTATGTATAGGATTACCTAAGCGATATTCTGTTTTATATCAGTGTACGTAACAGCTGTTTTTCTACTTGTTTTTCAAGAGAAATTAACACTCAAAGTAGACAACTCTTTGAAAACATGTCCACTCGGTATTTGCATTTCATTTGGAAATACTACACCCTGGTAGGCACATATAATACATTCGATACCCTTACTAACCGATTCTCTATCCATGTGGCTTTTATTCACCATTTGCCTGGAATACAGAATGTTGTTCTGCTTCTTTTTATCTCAGTAGAAAAAGCACAGCCGGCGGACTGGCGAAGACTGTCACAACAACAAATAAAAATCAGGCATGAAATTGAGCATAAGAAAGAGAGAGAGATAAGGCATTGTGGTGTGAGTGTGTGTTCCAGCTCTGACTGAACAGGAGCGGATTTTTCAAGTCAAAGGTAAAGATTTTGTACACATTTTGCGTGTGAGATTTGAATAGCCTTCTGTTCGTTATATATTTATTACATTGCTGATTCACCAATTAATAAATAAGAAATTATTCATTTCTGACATTTACAGCTACAGCATGCTTTTTGATGGCGCAGCAAAAATTCTGAGCGCTGCAGCTTACGGGTTAAGCAATATTTATGTCGCCTCTCTGTCTCTCTTCGTTAAGTATTCATATGTGAGGGTATGTGTGAGAGAGCCTGCACGTGTTTTTCATATAACACTATTTCTGGGGTTTTGGTGCTTCGTTTTCGCTTGTTTATTCGTATTCTCGAATTGCTTCGGCTGGCGCGCCGCAATGGAAAGTTTTACGGCTATCCGAAAACTAGGAGACACTGCAAACTTAACGCTGAAAGCTATTTGAGGCAATGCAATTGTTGTTAATAAATAAAATTTGGCAAAGATTTAATTGCCAAGGCGAAGGCTAAACAAACAAAAAGTCGCGACGCCCCTTACGTAAGAATCAACAAACTGTTAATAGCTACTTAGTATAGCCACATATGATATTTATATACTATATACATATATTTTTATATATAAACCTATGCTAAAGTGTAAAAATAAATAACATAAAAAACAGCAAATATCCAAAATAAACAGAATCTATGCGTCGGCAGAGACGAGGCGACGGCAACGAACTCAAGAGCATCATCGTAGCAGTAGTAGCAGAGATTAAAAAAGTGAGAGAGCGCATACCCGCAAGAGAAAGGAAAAGCTTTGGTTGTATATGTGCACTCACCTGAAATGCGCTCGCCCGGCTGCGGTTGAGAACAGTTGTTGACGGTCAACTGATGATCCTGAAGCAGCGCAGTTGGCAGCGATGTCGGCGGTGGCAACGGCAGTGGTGGCGGCACTGTTGCAGCCCCCACCCGAACGGCTTTATTGGCGCTTGCAGCGGCAGCGGCAAATAACATTTTAAAGCGCAATCGGATCTCACCGACTTTCAGCTGCTGTTGCTGTTGCACTTGACCCGACGTGCCACGACTCTCGACGTGACGATATAAAGCATAAATTTTGGTTTTATATTCGAAATTGCAACCGTCGACGTTGTTTGCTGCGTATTTGCGCTGCAGCGGCGCCGGCAGCTGCAAACGTGCTGCTCCTGATACTGTCTCCTCTGCTGCTGCTGCTGCTGCGGGCGGCTGCCGCGAAGGTAGTTCGTGGGCGTGGTCCTTGACGTCGCTACTGGCCACAAGCTCAATAGATGGACACTCGCACAAATAGTCTAAGAATAGCGCGAGGCTTTCACGGCGCACACAAAAGCGTAATTTATGATGACAATAATGAGGTTGACGGATATAATAATTATGCTGCTGCCTTGTCTTCCTCTTTCCTCGTTGTTGACTTTTGATTTTATGCTCGTCAGCGCAGAGCTTTTTGATGCCTCTGTCGCTGCTGCTGCTGCAAGCGTCACAGCTGATGCTGACGCTTGCTGCTGCTGCTGCTGTTTCCTGCTGCTCACCCCAGCAGATGATTTTTGCTGTTACAGCACCAACACCCAACAACACCCCCGCACCGTGTTGGTGAAATGACGAGGCTTTCGGTTTCCCAGGGCTTTCGTTTAGGGACACTGACGTTTGCGCTTTGATCGATTTATCTGTTATGAAATTGATGCGGCTCACTTCGATTGCCGAGTATGAAAATCTATTTTTCTCCGAATTGGTTACTTCATTTTTATTGCAATATTTATACTCATTCAAAGGTAGTGTATATCCAGCTTTCATAATTGTCTAACTGCACTTGCCATTTTTGTGCTAGCGCGCCGCATCACACACATACACTTAAGCACACACCTTTACACTCACTGATATGCACACAAATACCGATTTTCGGACTAAGCGCGTGCACTTTTTCACTGGTACTTTGCCTTAAAGAAGTTGGCACTTAAATTGAATTTTCAGCCGCTTCGGTTGTGCGGATTTTCCGCGTCGCGCAGCATGCACAGGCGTAAGGTTGAAGGAAAACTGCAAAAGCTTTTGCCGCTAGGAAATAAGAATTACCTCAAAAATGTTTGCAAGTGTTGCCTGCATCTGTCGAAATGTCGCTTTGTTTTGATTTTCTTTAGGGTTGCGCAGCGAAATCAACATCTGGCAGCACCATTCTAAGTATTGCATAATGTTGCCGCACATCAAACAGTGCTGGTAAACGTGGATGTTTACAGTTTAAAAATAAAAATATCGTACATAAATAACGATGTATATATTTGACAGTATATACAGAGTCCATTGTGTTTAGTTTTCGTTTAATTTGTAGACAATTTATTTTTACTGATAGACGCACTAAGAATTTCCAATTCACAACGTTTAAGCAAACAAACGCATTTCATCGCGTGCTTCAATTGTTTTTGGCGGCGACGGAGTCTCAAATTCGCCCAACTCCGCATCGTAGTACAGAGCAGCGCGATACGGACGCAGCTCCCAGGGTACCTGATCCTCCATATTCGTTAGCTGCACGCCCAAATCTTCTAACGTTGGCACGCCGGGTATCACCTTATCAGTGACAAACTCACGCTCAACGCGATCCAGATGCAGTCCACCAATTGGAGCACCAGGGCAAATCAAGTTGGTGAGTTTGACTTTCAACTTGAAAGTTGGGTCCCATCGCAAATCATAGCGGTGGTAGCCCCAGCCTTTCTGATCTTTGCGCATCAGGCGATGGAACCAGTCCACCAATTCGCTCAACTGATAGCGCTTGGGTCTAAAAGTTTGACAGATAACTTATAAATTGAATTAAATAGTGCATACGGAGCTTACCCCACAGCCTGGTAGATGCGGCCAGCGGTGTCTGGATCCTTGGCAGCATTCACAATAGCCTGCGCCACATCCGAAACAAAAACGGGCTGCTTTACAGTACGCTCACCCTTATGCCACAATGGCATAGAGCGGAATTGACGGCGCCAGATGTGTGCATAGTAGCGCAAGAACCGATCCTCGGAACCATAGATGTCTGCTGGACGTATGATGGTGGCATTGGGGAAGGCATCGCGCACCATCAGCTCGCCTTCGTACTTGGTCTTCAACCACTGGCTGCCGCCGGAGATGTAATGACCCTTGGGATTGGCCTCAACGTTCAAAGAAGAGAGATGTATAAAACGCTCCACGCCGGCATCACGGCAAATGCTATAAAAAAAATTAATTAGTTAAAGTTACATTATATGGATCTGCTCACCTAGCCAGACGCGCAGGACCATGGATATTGACATCCTTGAACTTGTAGTTCTTGGTCTCGTAGTCTCGACCCACCAAATTGATGACCACATTCGAGTGCTTCACTGCCTCGCGTATAGAGGCCGGATCGCCCAGATTGTAGAAATGGAACAGCACTTGACCCAAGTCACCGCAAACCTTTAGGCGAATCGCATCGGAATCATCACCGCGATATGGCAATATCATTTGAGAGCCCGACTTGCCCAGTTTATTGCACACATAGCGGCCCACAAATCCGGTGGCTCCGAACACTGTGGCCACAATCCCGTTAAAGCTGCTGCGTCCACCAGTGCCGCGTTTCATCGCAGCCACATTTGTAGACTTCAGCGGACGTGGTCCATCTGTATTGGGCGGAGCCGAAGCAGCGCTGTAGCTGCGAAGGCATATTACACCAACGATACCGCTGCCATGATGCTCTGCAAAATAAAAATGTATATTAATATCGGCAAAACTGCAACGGACATTACATAATTTTTGCTAGGAAAACATATAACTTAGTTTCTTAGGTACTTACTGGCCAGCTGCATGTTCCTAGTTAGTACAATGGCAGCCATTGTTTAGTGGCGCACTATACACCAACTAGCAAAAGTGAATTTGTAATTATTTAAAAACTTTTCCACGCAGTTTCTAGTCTGCTAGTTGGGAGAATGAAAACACAGCCTTAGATGTCAGCAGCAGGCCAGTGTGACCGCTTTTCTGACATCAAGATTCCGTGATTAATCGATTGGCCGATAACAATTGTACGCTGCGTTGCCAGATCTCTTGTAAAGCTTTATTAATTTTAAATTTAGCGGTTACTTCTGAATATATATAAAAATATGTAAGGCTTTGGGTGCAATGTTGCAAAACTTCATTGCATTTTTGACAACTTTTATTACACAAGTAGCTGCACTTTGACTACTCTAACCGCACGCCTATTTTATCTTATGTGCGTGCTTATTGCATATTCCATAGCCAATTGCCTTTGATATGGCTCTGAAAGAATTGTAAAGTCATTTGGTAAATACAACGGACAGTTGCCGTTTGACTGTCGTAGCGACGACAATATTGTATTTGTGTCAAATCAAAAGCGTGTAAACCGCAAAGAATTAGTTTATAAATATATATTTTCATACATATTCGCTTATCGACAGTGAAACTACGATAAGAAATACAATAAACGAGCAACTTGGTATTTGAACTAAAATCTGGTTTCAGCGCCGTAATAAATGCGCTCCTTGCAACAAATAGTGAGCAAACTAAAAACAAGTGATAAGAATTGACGCCAACGCGATTACAAAAAATTAACATATGCTTAAAGTTTATGCGGCCACTTCGTACGAAAAATCCTCTTACTTAAAAAGCTAATGATCTTTTTGATTTCACATTTCACGATAAGCTGCACGTATAAACGCTAATCAACATCAAACGCAACATAAATTTGCCAGGCAGAAAAAACAACGATCAGACACAACCTGCACGCGCCTGCACGTTCACCCTCTTCCTTTTCCGTCTCTCTTTCTCTCATTCTCGCACTAAATCCCTATCTGTCTTTCATTGTTCCACCCACTGATAAAGCTCGTATACCTAACGCACGCACTCAACAGCCTACACCCCCAAGTGTGCGCTCACGCTCTCCCTCTCGCTCTCTCTCTCACTAGTTGGCTTGCTTGCTATTTAGTGCTATGCTCTCACTTTCAATTGCTCGCTTGCCTGTATCTGCCTGGCTGCCTGCTTGATTTGTATTTATTTCGGTACATTTTCTGCTTTCCATGCCATTATCATCTTTGTTGTTGCGGCTGATCTGCGTTCGTTGTTTGAGGCCAGCGTTTCATTAGAGTTTGAGCCGCCCAGCCGTCAACGTCGTGTGAGCGCATTCGGCAAATATTGCAAATTATTACCAACAGGTGTCGCCGCGTGCGTGTGATAATTAGCGCGCTCGAAAAACAACAAATTTGAATTCCAAAACTAAAGAAATATAAAACGAGTATAAAAACAATATATATAATATATATATATATATATATATATTGCGGTAACGGTGCAAATTGTGAAGTGCTAAAAATAGATATTTAATATTTGTACGTATCAAGCTTGTGACTTTTTATACATATTTATTTTATATGCGTTCGCTTCTATTAATATGTAGAGCAATGTAGCCCAAGCATGTCTACCAAACTACTTTGTTTATAAACTTTTTACTTTGCGCCCGCCAAAAAGCAAATGTCGAAAGCAAACGTAAAACCATAAAATATTTTATTCAAGAAAAAAAAGGCTTTTTCGATAAGAATCTGGGGGGCTTGTGCCCTGTGGTTGGCAAACAAAATATTCCATAATAGAACTGGATCGTTCTCTATCTACGCACCTGCAGATTTCGATCAAGTCACAAGTGATTCGTTAGCAAATATGAATGGAGGCATTTAGCAAGTGATTATATCGAGGCGCTTGGCACCAAAAATACTAAATCTAAACTTTTGCACAGTAAAAATATCAACTCTGCGTCATATGCAAAGATTTCCCAAAATTGATGTTAATTCGCGACTATATTTGTCTAGACTCTATATATATATATCTATATCTACACACATATACAGGTGCGAGTGAGGGCTTCGGGCTTTGGGCTTTGGGCCGCGCGATTCAATGCAAATGATGAAACAAACCTTGAAATCAAAAATGGCCTCTAGTCAACAACTAACTGTTCTTGATTGTTGTTTATATTTAAATGCGGTAAAAATTGAAATTCCTTATGCAATTTGTATAGAACAATTTACCAGCTCATTAACTATAATTTAATAGCTAATGCAATTGGCCCATTAATCTTTCAATTATTTTAGTTTTTCAATTGTATTTTGTTTTATTATTTATGGAGAAAGTGTTTTTTCATTATTAATTTTTTGTTTTATTGATAAAGGCGCAGATCTCACGTTGCTTGTAAAATTTATATATATATATAATTACATTTCATTGTTATCAGTTACGGGAAAATGCATTAAATCTGTTTTACGACATAACAGGTGCAGTAGTTATTTACAAAAGGTATTTTATATAAGTGTCAACATCAACTGCATTACAAAAATCGAAGCTAGATATATGTATATATAAATAAGCTATGCTAACATATTGCCTGAAGCCCATTCTCATACTTGAGCTCCATTTTGTATCGACGAAAGTTACCTCAGATCAGTGCAGTGCGCTGCCTAATACTCTTCCTTTCCCTTTTAAGCTGCCAAAGCGGCAAACATTGATTAAAAACTGTATATTTTTGGCAATGCCACGCCCTCATTAGCATATCATATCAATGTATAGGTTTATATATAGAGCAGGGCAAAAATGCTTCAAGTGCACAGCTGGGCAAGCCCAGCTCTAATGGCCCATATAAATATATAATTTATATATATATAAATATATTATAAATAAATATATATATATATCAACTTTTCTTTGTTTCTAACTATGCAAGACCTATAAAGTTAGCCCTTCAGCTGACGCCCATTTTGAAGCCATTTTGAATGTAATTCTTAACTTCTTTTATAGCTGACAGCCTAATTTATATTAGCTATAAGTTAAGTTAGCAATCACTAACTAAGTTTATGTCTGCGAGAGAAAAACTCTTAGAGAACTCGCTGAGTCATCAATTAGAACGTCTAAAACTCTTATGTCATTTGTGCTGAGACTTTCAAATCTATAGCAAATGCTCTTGGGTGAATCCACGACGTAAATCCATCTTCTAAATGCGGCACTTCGCGTGTCAATTAGATCAATAAAACGAGTCACTTCATCAATTCTGCAGTGTGTTGCATACTAAGTGGCATTTCTGTTGTTGCTGCTTTACTTTTTCTTTTGATTTAGGCTCTTCAGAGTGGTATATATTTATTAAAGCTGTAAGCTGTATGCATATATATATTTGTATATTTGTTTATATATATGTTTTTTATCATTTGGTCATCAACTGCAGTTTGTTTTCGTTAACTTTGAGCAGAGGCAAACGCTTGCATACAAAGCGGATTTTTGCATTGGCAAAAACAAATAAACAAAAAATAATTTAACAGAAAATTGAATTTGATTTGAAAATGTCGACATTCGTGGCCTGTTTGCAATTGAATTGAATTGAATTGAATTTGAGCCAAGTTAACGTATTCAAATACTGTCCATATACCTGTATATCTATACGATTTTGACCAGTTTGAACACGTTGGCAAGGTCGACTGCCTTACGCACTTGGAATTTCAGATTGATGGCACATATCATTTACTATATATCTTAGCTTCAATTAAACAATAACCGTCAACAATTATGTTTATTGATTATTATTGCAGCTGCCAGAAAGGAAAAACATGTTAAGAGTAAATTTATAAATAAAGAAGAAAAAAACAGAAAACAGAAAACTATTTCTGAAGTTCTCCATTTAAGCGTGAAATGTAATTTGTTTAACAAGTGCCGCCTGCTACTAGTATTACTTTTTTCTTGTTTGTTTGTTTGTTACTCGCAAGTGGAGCACTTTTTCGCCGAGCTCTCAGCCTGCGCGCTCAATGAAAACGAAATCTAATTGAGGAAATGAACGTTTAGCATCCAGTCAAACATCCACTAGGGAGCCACGAGTACGTGCACGGATCGTACTCATGCCAAGCTCTGCATTGACTGCCAATTCTATTATCATATGCATTTGCTCTCAATACTCGTTCATATAGTAAGCAGAGTATATTAGCTTCTAATGCTTCTCTGTCTGAAAGTAGAGAGACCTGAAATTGGGAATGTATTTGCATATATATAGTAGTCGGAAGTTGGGTCTGGGTATTTGCATCTATATAGTAGACTCTTGGAAGACTCTAAAGTTTCAACTTTTGAGCCTACGAACGAGTATTGTGCAGTCAGTCAAGTCTTCAGCTCAACGCATGTTCACACTTGTTTTTTCATTGGGTGGGTGGGTGTGTATGGCTTTGGATGGATTGCCCGAGGCGTCACTGAGTACTTTGCAATCGATTTGGAGGCTAATTAATGGAAGACAATAGATAGAGCTTGATCTAATCAATGCCTAAATAGACCCACGCGCGGCGTTTAAAATGCAATCAGCTGCTTGGCCATGACAGCTGAAAGAGGTTGGGTAGCTAGCTCTATATATATATATAGAGGGGCTTACGTAGCACTCAATAGCTGCGAGCTGCTCAGAATATGTAATTGTTACACATATAGTGAGGGTACAGCTTTAAGAATGTGACATCGATTTTAATAGAAGATAACGTCAATGACATTGTATCTGTGTGAATCAGGCATATAAATATATATAGGCAAAAATACTCTAAGTCCAACTTAATAAAAAGACGCATGAACAAGAGATATATGAGTTAAGCTAATTAGACTAATTAAATATAGCTGTAAACAGTAGGAAATTTTGTATAAATATTTATGTGGGGCCAGCATATATTAGTGATCGTTTTCACGGTTTATCCGGTCAATTAAAAGCGCGTATGTGACTCCGTTTCACAAAGGGTTAACCTTCGCTTACAATCGAGGCGCTGCCAGCTGTCACGTACTATTACCTCAATGTCAGGTAATCGAAAGGGGCTTTAGCATCTGCATTTGCATGCCAAAGGCAGGCCTGCGCCCAGCTGCCCAAACCTGGACGTAAGGCTCATCATTAGCATACGCACACACACATGCATGCCATATGGGCCATCCCACTTTACCTTTCTACTCGCACATGCCTAATAGCAGGCGGTTCAATAGACGTTTGCACTTGACACCATTTGGCCCGATCGAACGCGTAGTTATCGGCTTTGAAGTACTGTAATTTGCCTTTATTACAGGTAATTAGCCATTGGGTAAATAGCTTATGAAGGAATTGATGGGCTTAGATCTGTATACTTTTCCTTTGTGTATTTTTAATAAATATACGTTATTCATAGACTTGTTCTCTAGGAATCTAATTTTATGTCTGTCTCTCTGGGTATATATCTCTCCTGCTTTTTCTCTAGGTTTCACTGCTTCCCTCTCTCTCTCGCTCTTTCGTCCTGCTTCTTTTTGAATCACATTTACTGTCTCTTACTCTCTTCTCTCATTCTTTCTCTCTCTCTTTCTGTCTAGCTCTATGTGACCATATTTCGTTTTTTCTTTCTCTCTGCCTATTTTTCTTTGCTTCACAGTTTCTCTTCTTCAGTGACTTTATCTATGTCTCTCTCTCTCTCTCTCTTTAATCTTTCTGTCTAGCTCTCACTCTCTCTATTTTGCTCTACACCAAACCCTATCTAACCGCAATTTAAACACCGCAATCTCCCTTCTATGCGCTTTTCATAAAATGACTTTGACTAAAAATAAATATATTAAAAATAAAAAGGTTTGTTATTAGTTATAATAGTGACTTGTGTGCTCGTTACATAGCTAATTACCGAACCCTTTTGAATATATTTATATTTCTCTTTATGGAGTAACTGCCAATTGATAGGATCAATAAGACGATCTAGTTTCACGATCGTCAAACCAAAGTTCGTTGACAATTTTATGATTGACGCGAGTTACAGCCTCGTCGCCTCGTCGCCTCGTCGTCTCGTCGTCTCGTCGCTTCCGCGTTACGTTCCTTGTTTAAGCAACTAATTAACAAGATTTGTATCTTATCGATCTACATTACAGTTCGAGTTCGAGTTGAAGTTCACGGCGCAAACCTGGCTAAAACCTCAGCAAACATGCCCATCAAAGAGGTCTTACAACGCTGTCGGCCTATACCGCTCTACGTGGTGCTGATGCTATCCATCTGCTACTTTATGCTCCAACTGGTCCTCAGCCATTTGACGCACGCTTTGACTCTGCTCATGGCTTCCTATCACATGTTGTGCAACATTTTGGCACTAGGCGGCTGTGTTATAACGATTAAGGTAAGTGGACCAACTACATATCAACGACATCTATATATACATTTCCTCTTTGTGGACTGGGGAAGCCAACAAGTTTTCAAACTGATAAGCAAATCGAAGTTTGACCAACCAAAAAATAAAATTGAAATAACAAACCAGATGCAGTGCATTTAACTGAACATTTCATATTGGCTGTGTGTGGAACAGGTTTCACATCTCAGTAGATGGGACTTGATATCTTATGCTTTGTTTACTTTTAAAGCTGTGTAAATATTCGAAATATTTCGGATACGCACAAGCCAAAGGATAAAAATAACAGCTTCAAGTTTTGATCGCGTATTTGGCATATAAGTATTAGACTTATCTTTGGCATAGACCTGAAAACATAGTTTGCTGTGGTTTGGTCAGGTCCGTCTGGCCCCTGTGTGTGGCTTATCACTTATCAGTAAATTGTGGTTTAATGACGCCCCAGTACACAGCAGATAGTAACTGTTGTTAACAGCTTGTCACGAAAACTCTGCCTAACTAGCTAGCAAACTAATTTGGCTGTGTCTGACAGGGATTATGATAGGCTCTTTTCTGATAACGCATACAAAATGATAAATAAATTGGATTTAACACACGAAGCCCTGTTGTTATATACTATGTATATGCATAGTATATACAGGGTAATGTACTAGATTGTCGTATACAGATTGTGTTATATACCATTATGCTAAACTGTACTACTGTACTACTAATGCACTAAATTACTAGTTATACTATTCTAAGCAGTACGACTCTAAGCTGTACTACTCTGCTAAGCTGTACTTTTATACGAGACTGTTCTACTACAGTACGCTGTTCTACAACTGTACTACTATTGCAATCTGTACTTCACTAAGCTACACAAGCTATGAACTATACTGCTATACTAAACTGTGCTACTATAAACTGTTTCACTATGACAAACTGTCTTATCAAACTGTACTACTATTGCAAGGCTTACTACTGTATAACACTAATACTTTACTGCTTTAGTATTATATTTATATATTATACATGTTTCCCTCTTTCTCTCTGTCTCTCGCTCTCTCTTTCTGTTCTCTTCTCTAGCTGTCCCAGACCCTGATTAGCCCTCAAGGCAGTTCTTCGTAAGCTCACTTTAGGTATTTAACCTATGCAAATTACCCGAAATGAAATCAAAAATATTTTAAGTAGGTGCAAATCTATGCAAACTCGTATGTGGTCATCATTTTTTACCACATACGTTTGGGATGTGTGCCAAGCACGTTTTGCAAAAAAGAAGCAAAAGTCGCTAGAGCAAAAAACTCAAAAATAGTAGTTTAAATGTAAAGCCTACGCATAACATTTTTGGCCAGATATCGCTAGCCCATAAGCCAGACACAGTTGGGTAGCTCGCACTTATGTAATTGACTGACAGAAAGAGACCTTTGGCTGCGTTAAGCGAAGCGTTAAAATAGTTGACAACGGGTAACTGAACAGGTGCCGTATTTAATGAACTGAATGAGCGGTTCTATAGATCTAATTTAAGCTTTTTTGTTGGGGTTTGCTATAGATGCAGCTCGCAAGTCATGGTGACAGCACTTAAAGCTGATTGAAATGTTTAACCCTAGCTAATAATCTCTTCTCTGTCTCTTGTGGCTCCACAGCACAGCAAGCAGCATGAGACGGCGCCCACAGCGCCCAAGGCTGCGCCCATTATGGATACTTGCTCCTCGGATGACAAGATCGCCGTGGTGCTCACTCTCAGTGAGACGGAGGAGCAGCAGCTGGCCAAGCGGGAGTCGCGCGAGTTGAAGCTGCGCAACACCTTTGGCTGGGCACGCATCGATATACTCACCATGCTGATTGTGTTCATCATATTGGCCTCGTTGTCCTTTTCGCTCATTGTGGAGGCGCTGCAGACGCTGGTCCACATCGACCACCAGGATACGATGCATCTGCCCATACCCGTGATGATGCTTGGCTGTGTGGGTCTCATCCTGAATGGACTGACATATCTGCTGATAGGCGGCTACAGCTTGCATCAAGGCAGCTTTCTGCACTTGACGCCGGGCGGCAACGTTGTACTGGAGCGTTCCATGTCCAGTCATTCAGATTTGGCATTGAAGCCCATGCAGCGCACACTGAGCAAGTCGCACAACGACCGCCAGCTGCGCCAAGAGCTGCAAGCGGAGGTGGGCAGCATTTACCTCACAACCAAGCGACAGGGCGCTGTGGAGATGCTGCGCGATGTGTCCAGCACGCTCTTTGTCATCGTCTGTGCGGCCATTGTCTATGTGGCTGAGGATGAACAGCATACGGCCAAGTTCATAGATCCCGTTTTGTCTATATTCTCTTGTGTGCTGTTGGTCTCGCTGAGTTATCCATATAGTAAGTATAACAGTTGTAGCTATGTTGTGCAGCTTATGAAAGAGACTCTTAGCAGTATAACAGTTATAGACGTCAACAGCTCTGTTATGTTAACTAACATTTTGCCATCTCTCTTATCGTTTACAGTGAAAGAATCCTGCCTTATTTTACTGCAAACAATACCCGGCTCCATTGATCTGGAGATCTTTGAGCGTACGCTGGTTAATAAATTTCCCGAGATTGTTAGCTATCATGATCTGCACATCTGGCAGCTGGCCGCGCACAGCTATGTGGCCACCATACACATTCAGTTCCAGAATCCCAAGCTCTATCTTAAGATCATCGAGCAAGTGCGTGCCTATTTCCATGAGCACGGCATCGCTGAGGTGACCATCCAACCCGAATTCTATCCGACGACCAATATAAATGCCTCAGCCTCCTTGGAGTGCCTTATGCAATGCCAGGCAGCCGAGTGCATTGAAAAGGTTTGCTGTCGCGATTCTCGCTCCGATTTGCGTGAGGTGAGCAGCAGTCCAGATGCCAGCAGACCACCCAAGGCCAAGTCCTGCGCTGAACTGAGCACAGTTGTTGTCGCGAAGCCCAAGGAGCTTAACGTGGCGCACCTCATGCAGGGAGAACAGAACGAAGCGTTGTCCTCAAGTCCATCTAGCTTATCGCTGCCTGTAGAGGCAAGCACAACTGATGCCAAAAGCTTTTGATCGTCCATAATTATTATATAGTCATAGCGATTTTACGATTTTAACTAGACTTTAAGCTCATTCTAACGATTACTACTGCATTTAGACTATTTGAATTTCCCAATATATTTAAGACTTGTGTTAAGTTAGCTGCGCCTGGCATTTTCAAAATTTTTATATAGAGAGAGATATAGCATTAGTGCAGTATTTGCCATATACATTTTGAAAACAATCATTTTTTTAACGTGAGACGCTTAACTAGTTTTAAAAGACAACTTTAAGATATATATGTTTATGTATAGAGTATAATGTTGCTTTTAGGTTGATATATAATATATGTATTTGTACATTTGAATTTAACATTGTCTATATATTTATAAAAAAATAATTCTATAGTAGATTGGTTTAAGTGTTTTAGTTAGTCATTTCCAATATCGCTTGCGTGCGGAGCCTGAATAATGGAACAAAGTCCACATAGGATCCACACACCAGCACACATACAAAGACAATAGGTAAACAATAAATAGATTTCCATTCTATTATTTGCCACAGCAACGATACTGCGTATCAGACAGGTCAATATGATAAGGCTTGATACAGTCAAAAGGGATTTCACGCTTCTTTCGTACCGCCACCCAGCAGATACTCGAGCGTAAAGAGCCGTATGACGAGTGCTAAATTGTTTGTGGTCGCATAATCGATCACATTTTCGTTATCGTCTGTTGTGTGCCATACACTGGGAAAGGGCATTGGTATTAAATGTAGAACGGGCACGTTGCGACGCAGGAAGGGTATATGATCGTCCTCCACCTGGCTGTTCCGCAATGCCTGCGGCTGAAAATATCTTGAAGGATCGTGTTGCACCACTCCGCTGTTCACATAGCGTTCGAAGAGATGCTGCTTGGAGACTCGCGTTTCCAAATCTACAAGACGCATGTACCATTGCTCAGTATTGGAAAAGAAGCTGAAGAAGGCGGGATCCGGTGCACCCAGCAAATCAAGCAGCACCAACATGTCAATGCGGTCCAATTTACCCTCCTTATGCCAACGTTTTGCCAAATGCCGTGCACCATATATCGAGTCGGTGGGACCCCATTGATGAAACGCTTCCTCACCATCGAAAAACAAGAGCATTAAACTAAGTTTAGAGTTTTGAAATGGCTTAAGCTTCTCCTGCAGCACCTTGGCTAAATTCAATAGCATGGCACAGGGCACAGCGGAGTCCGTGGCGCCCACAAACTCCTTGTCCCCAGGCATATACTTGCTATCATAATGACACGCCAGCACCAAGAAACGTTCGGCTTGGGGATTCAGTGTCGCTATAATGTTACTAAAGTGCAAATTGCCCAAAATGGGCGCCGTGTCATGAAAGTTGTCGAGCTCCACATGCCAATCCAAGTCCCGCAGACTCTGCACGATATATTGACGCACGATTCCATGATTTGGAGTGCCCACAACGCGAGGTATCAATATATTTTTAATAGCTTCTTTCAAATGTAGGCCGTCCGACAGATTGCTATACTCCAGCAAATGGGAATCCGAGAGTTGACTGGGGTTGTAGATGGTCTGAAAGAGACAAGAAATAAACACTTGTATTAACATCTGCCAGCTGTTAAGGTGATTTTGCAGCTGATACCTTATTGCGGCCAACGAAATAATCTGACGATGATGATGTGGCTATACTTGCCCGCGTAAGCAGAGCAGCGATTAAAGCCGTATATACGCAACTAAGCCATAAACAATGCGAATATCGAGACAGCGGCATCTTATTTGCAATTGATACGTGGTAAGAACTTTTGTTTCTATACGTCTTACAGGTGGTCGAAGACACTGTGCTATCTAATGTACCATATGGCTACTGGCATAGATTTTTTATAGTATGTGGTCTACAGTTAAGTGAAGTGAAGGCGTTCAACTTCATATTCACACTAAGCATTTTACCATATTTCATAAAAACCGTTTACTAAACGGCTAAAGAAATCAGAAACAAACAAAAACTTTGGCGTTGCCACATGACTGCCGCTTTGTTAACAGTGATTGAAATTACCATCCGCTCTCTGTTAACATTTAACAGAATTCACCACAGCTGTTAACAGAATATACATTCTCATCTCTATCGTGTAAAATTTTTTTCATTTCATGGCAAATATTAAAACATGTCAAAATAAAACATAGCAAACACAACTTATAAAAATCGCATAATCACAATTTGAATAAGGATCTGCCGTTTTATTGTTATCATATGTTAGCTATGTCTGTTACTCACCACATCGCTGCGCTCGAATTTAACGCCCAAGTTGTAAACATATTTGGTTTCTTTATTCATCAGTTTTTTGATAACGTTCGTCCAGCCATAGTTGCGCACAATATTCTTACCCCAACCGTATAAGCCCCGCATATTTTTATCTATGTATATTTTTAATACAGAATATGTGAAACAAAGCTAGAACAACAGATTGATTGACAGACCCAAATGGACTTACATGTTTGCGCGTGTTTTGTTATCGAGAATTATGCAATTAAATGTATAAGCACGGCACATGTACACTTTAATAGACCAACTTTCACTCACACCACGGAGCCTCAAATAACGAGGCCTAGTTTTTTCGTTTATATAGTATTTAATTAGTTTACTTATCACTAATGCTTATAACAAACGAACGCAGCGAAAACATAAAACATTGTAATTGGAAATGATACATATGGAACAGTCGGAGTTGTTGAAACCAGTTAGTCTTCTTTGGATGATTTCGAACCACCAAAATAGGCCCGATATATATATACGCCCAATGAAACGTGCAGTGCAGCAACAGCGCCAACTGCAGCGGCAATGTTCACTTTAATATCTGACATGGTGAAGAAGCGCTCCAGAACGAAGCCTTTGAGCACGAAAAATGTCACCACGGGAAGGAATACGATCAGAGAGCAGTAGAAGAGGACCACCTTAAAGGCGCTGTAGTCCTGATAGTCCTAAAAATTGGTTTTATGCAAAATAAATGAATACAGCCGGCAAAACGGGGTCAGGTGTTTACATACATGTGAGCGCTGTTTGGCTAGTTTTTGTTGGCCTCCATCTGTTGCACCGCTAGTGGCCTTCTTGCTTTTGTTGCTCATCTTTGGAAAATACTCGAATTGGATTAGTTCGACTAATCAAAATATTTTTAATATTTGTTGTCTTGTTCGTTGACGTACTAATCACATGATACTTTAGGCAGCTTATCGACCGGTATCTCCAGTAATCGATTATTTTCGACTAGGTGGCAACGTACCGGAATTTAAGCAGTCAAGGTTTATGTTAAATATATGACTGATTAATAACTAGATATCATATTAAAATAAGAAACAAAATCTCCGAACATTCTCAACAAAATAATTGTTGAGCAACTAATTGTGAATAAAATATCGATACGCATTTAATACATTATATACACAACCAGTGCAGCGTGAATATATCGATTTATCGATTCCTATCACCAATTGTATTTATTTTTAACAATTGGCGTCAGCGTCTGTTTCGTTTGGTGCTTGCGTGCGCGCGTGTGTTAATTAAACTTGTATTTGTTTTTTCCACCATTTTGCTAATGCTGCTATTTTGAAGTAATTAACTCACTAAGAGTGACTCGCTGCAGTTGTATAGACGCCGCCGGCAGCGGCGCACGTACAGTCGAATAGCGAGCGTCGTTCAATACACAACGCGTTTGTTGTTTGCTTTTGGATTCGTGCATTAATGTGTGCGTGTGTGTATGTGTGTGCTTAATACAATATATTCTTGGTAAATTTCCACTGCGCACCGATAGCATCAGCGATGGTATTGACAAATTTTGAGTGCTGGGCACATGGTGAATCTGCGTCTGTCAATTTCGAAACTGGACCGCCGGCGCGCCATTCACCTGTGGTGGACCCATTCAACGCACGTGTCGTCTCACACATTGCAACCGCATCGAATGGGTACTATGGCTATGCCATTGTAAACAATGCAGTTGCCGCTTCGGACGACAACAATAACAGCTGCAGCAACAACAACGTGCAGGCAATGCAAATGCAAGTGAACGACAACATTGGGAATGACACTACGCACGCCGCTGCCGCAACAGCCCGCTGCAAGAAGCGCTGCTTTGCAATGGGACACGAAAAGTTGGACATGGAGATGGACAACTTGGCGGCCGTCAAGCGATGCCGTTTTGATGATGCCGATCTGGTAGCTCAGTATTGCAACGGTAATTATGCGCATAAATCAAATTATAAATTAAAAGCTTACATTTAATGTATAATATATTTTTGCGGTTGGCCTTGAGCTTTTCACACCGCACGGCAACTAAAAATGTGCGCTCTTTTTGACTGCCGCATGCGATGGAAATCATTTCATAAACTGTGTTACAAAATTCGATTTTGTAACTTGTTGGCAACGCTTTCGTGGGCCTATATGTAGTTTTTGCGTCTCTTATTTTTCTGGGTCATCCTTATCAGAAATTGAATTTATTTACTGTTATCTAAAGAGATTCTTATTTGACAATAGGGCCTCAACTGTGATACCCTCTTTATTTTGTAATGTTTAGTATTTCAATTTAAAATATATTATGCAACCCAGTCGTATGAGCATATGTATATGCGTGTATATAAGCACAGTCATACATCAATGCACGTAGTTCAAATATTTAGTAAAAATCTTAATCGCATCTTTTATAGGGTATTTAGAGTGTTCGTAATGTAATAAAAGAAGATTTGCCTATTCATTTTTTAATATTCGAATATAATTAACGCTTCGTTGATAAAGCAAAGCAAGCAATGCTGTCAACCTACTTTAAAAACTTAAAAAAGTGCATCAACAATAACCTTAAGCGATAAGCCGACTCATAGTTGCTCGCTGGTATTATGCATACACATACATTGTATATACATTTACGATATTACATTTATGATATTATTGGTCAGATGAGTTCTAGCTTATCAGGGAAATTTTCCAACAAAAAACGATAATATTGTTATACATACATATATATGGATAGATAATGACATGGATAAATATACTCGTAATAAAGTATATTTACCTATCAAAATTTGTATATAAATATTATTTGTACAGTTGAGCTTATAATATTTCAGTTATCGCTGTTCTGACCTCATTGTAAATGTGTACAAACCATTAAATTGGCAATGACCAATCATAAAATACCCTGCATAAAGAGAATTATAAACAAACTTTAAAATATTGAATGTCGTAAATAGTTTGAATTCTTTTCCAATATAGTACAACCCAGTTCATATTTTGTAAGTACAGGGTATATAATTAAAAAGGAAATTTCAAGTTATCGCTGACTGCTCGACCCCATCGACAAGCTATGATCTATATTTATTTATAACGTTCGTTTTTAAACCCCGCTATCAGCTATTCTAGATTTAAACAATTTTTAATTTAATTGTACAACTCGGTTATCGCTTACAGTTAGCTAAACAACATGCTTAATAGGCGATCTTTACCTGTTATCGCTGACAACAGCGCAAACAGAGCTTAACTAAGGCAGGGGGAAAGGGAGGTGGTGGGCCGATAACCGATGGCGGCATTGCTTGTCGCCGTCGCCGTCGCCATTGACGTTGACGTCGACTTCGCTGTCAACGCTGCTTACATTATTTACCGGCTATTTATAAATGAACCGTAATTGGGACATATCGGCGCGAACAGCGACGCCGACTGCACAGCTAACGTCAGCATTTGGAAAATTCTGAAAACGCAATTCCAAATTAATAAATTAAAGTGAATGTAGAGTTTTTAACATTTTCCATTTATATATACATATAAATTGTCTTATACATACTAATGTATGTTTCTTTTAACAGACTTCTTTTCGCTGCCTGCCACACAAATGATTGGCACGCAGGCCTGCCTAATGGACTACGATAATGACGTGCAACAGCAGCATCCGCAGCAGCAGACGCAACAGCAGCAGCCGCAGCATCAGCAGTCAGCGCAGCAGCAGCAGCAGCAGATGTTGCATCCACGCATACATCAACATTATCAAGGTCATTTGCATCGCGCTAACCGTGATGTGAGTCGTTGCATGATGTCGCACATGATCTAGAAACATGCATATAGCCAATGTGTATATATTTATATGTATATCTAAACCTATATGTAAATATATATATGTATATATATATATGCGTGTGTACAATATTTGTATATAGCACACAGACTCACAAACACAAACACAACATGCAACAGTTCACCGACACGTCTCTCTGTCTGTCACCACAAAAGAAAAAAATATTTCCATTTGCCGCCGAATTTGCTAAAATTAAATGTATATCCAAAAATTTGCATATTACTCATACACAAAAACACATACAAACGCAGACACACATATACACACACAGCCACACACATACACAATCTCTGAAAGCAGTCGGCGTGCCAACATCGCGTATACTTAATGAAAAAATCAAATAAGCAATAGAAATGAGCCAAAGCAATTGTTAAAAATATCCACATTTAAATGGCAAACGTATCAACTAATCAATCAATCAATAATATATGTATATATATATATATGTATATGTATATATATATATGTATATATATCAAGTGAATTGTTTTATATCGCCACATTGTACAAATAACAACAAAGAAAGTGAAGAAATAATTGTATTAGTACTCGCAACGAAACGGTTTTAAATCTTTTATGTACTTAAATTAAAAAGAACATTTTATAATTTAATTATTACCACACACGTTGCAATCAAATTTACTAACACTTAAGCAATATTCTAGTTAAGCCTAATCTAGTTGTAAGTTCAATTGGCACAAGCTTTGCAAGCAAAAAGCCTTTCACAAAGTGTGTGCCCAACACATTGAATTCGATCTGTAGCTGCGCTACTACGAAATGTCATGGTGTGCAGTTTATAGTTTCTTTACTCAAAACGTAAATCGTTTTTCTCTTAAAGTCAATTTATATCATGTCCTTCAAATTTGGCTTATCTTTATTGATATCACAATTATTATGTTATGTTTGCTCAAAGTATTTCGATACTCATCATGTTTTTTTTACGTTTCTAAAACTAATTTCTTTTCGCGAAAATTCGAGACCCACAAAGAAGTCCCCGGTCATTTTTCTATTTGTTTTTTACATTTCTCAAACTCGTTGCGCCGATAAAGAACTCTGCGTTCAATTTTCCTCTCTTAAGTCGTATCATTACGATTGTTTTTTCTCAACATCTCTTATAATTTATGAAAGCCGCTTAGTCCTATAAAGAACTCGCCTTCTAATTCCTCTTCTCTTATTATTTATTTCTCGAAGTCTTTTCCAATCCGATACAAAATTCGCCATCTAAATGTCCTTCTTAGGAGATCAAAACTGTAGTATTCCAGAAATCTCCAAGCTTTATTAGCTTATACAAAATTCTTACGTTTTCATACTCTTTCTAGTTTCGATTAAAGTTTAAGTCGAAATGGATGGGTGCAAACTTATTACCGCTATAACTATGAAACAAATTTAGAACTTATACTCTGAATTTATTCGTTAGCAACTTGTGAAAGTTTATGTATTCCAACCAGTATCGATAAGGCTTCGAATAGAATTGAATTTTGTATCGTTATGATTATGGTTATTTACTCTTCTTTTTTTATCTTATCTTTAATCTTTTTGAATTGGTACTACGAATATTCTGTTTCAATTGCTATTTCTCTAGGCCTTTAAAAAATTCGTGTCCTCTACTAGAGCTATATCATTAGTTGATGTTTTGCAATTTATGCTTGCAATCCAAAATTTCCATTTTGGTTAGTAGAAATTTCTTATTGCTTCGTTTATTTAGACCTATAAAGAATTCTCTTTCATTTTCATGAATATTTTCTTATCTTATCTATCCAGTACCAATTGAAATCGACTTATATTTTTATTGACAAAATCTTTTATATTCTGAAAAAGCGATTCCATGTTCCTCTTTTTATATCATTAAAAAATTGCCGAGCCTGTGAACTTGATAATTGTACTCTGTGTATCATAATGTGAACGACATTTAGTTTATCTACTCAAATTCATTCTAATAGATGACTGTTCATCTCTTAAGATTTCGAAGACATTTTTACTATAAACTCGAAATCCAAATGCTAATAATTTCTGTAATTAGTTTAAGACAAATCAGACTTGAATTGTACACAAAAACACTTTGTGAAAGGTTTAGCTAAATAAAAAAAATCTTCGGAGTTGGGAAAACCAAAAACAAAAAATAAAAATAAAAATGGAAAATAAAACTGATAGAAGAAAACACTCTTTGCTCTCTGCTCGTTTACAGACGGCCAACGACATCAACCACAAAAATTATGCAATACCTTAGAGTCCCTAAATGATAAACTAGAGGCTAAAAGTGAATCCAAACAGACAGATGAGGCAGCCGATTTGTATATAGCCACACATGGCGGTTGTCTTCATCACTTCAATGATGCGGCCGAAGAGTTTGAGATCTAACCTTAATTGTTGTGTGAATCACTATATATGTATACCTATATAGTAGCTTAACTAACCATAATGCATTGTATAACGTAGTCTAAGTAGATAGTAAGACTTTGAACATAACACGAACTGGATTCTAATGCAAGTCCCAAATGCAAACGGTGCTTACATTTATTTAAATGAAGTGTAATAAAAGCTTTAAGCCCAAAAACAAATATAATCAACATGAAACATTTAAGTCTGTATTTTCTGGTTGAATATCAAAATGAAATCTGAATATTTTCTATGTATTTGAGTTACCTTCTATAAGCTAGTTTTGTGGCAATGTAGGTAACAGGTGGAAGTAGGCATGGCAGATCATTATATATATTACTAAGCAGGCTGACAATGTGAGTCCATATAGCCATGTACGTCCGCCTCAAAAGCCACTAAAGCATTGTATATATGTATATGTATGTATATTCCTGTATACAATACGTAGTTCGAGTTTATTATATTTTTTTTCGATAACTCATCGCTTTTTCTTAGCGATCATTTCAAGTTGGGCACTTGCGGCACCAAAAAATTGAAAGGGTTTAGGTGGTCACTCGGCAGAGCTTCAGCTGAAGACTTGGTTTCGCGACTTTTAACATTTCATTCATGATTGTACCTGTAACTGAGACAGCTATCAAAATTATTCTTACTTTATTCTTCCCTTTCAACGTGTACTTCCCCCAACTGATTCGAAATCTTAAGCTTTTATTTTCAATAGATTGTGACCGCAGTCAGTTCGTATACCAAAGTCATGGTGTATATCATCTATATTTTGCCATTGTGTAGATAATGAATTGAACAAATTGTACATTGAAATGCTTTTAAATGCCATTAGAATCTGATTTGATTGCGTGGAATACTATGTAGTTGCAGATGCTGCTCTTAAATCGTAAGCGTTTGACGCTCTCCGTTGTCCACATTGATGTAGTTCTCCTGCACGTCCTTGACCATGAAGTCGACCAGATTGTTCAAGTCGTACTTGTGCTGCCAGTGCCAGTCGCGACGCGCATCCGAATCGTCGAACACCTGCGGCCAGGAATCGGCTATGGACTGCCGGCTGTCCGGCTTGTAGGTCACGTGCAAATGGGGCACGTGCTTGCTCAGCTTATCCACCAGCTCCTCGGGCGTAAAGGACATGGCCGTGACATTGTAGACGCGTCGCTTCAGCTGTTCGTTGGGCGCACGCATGAACTCGAGCAGAGCGCTGTGAAGGACAAATAAGGACTGAGGATAATAAGAAAAGTTTTAGATCTACACTTACCGCAGACAATCCTCAATGTACATCATGGGCAGACGTGTGTCTGGCCTCAGGTAGCAGGTGTATTTGCCATGCCGCAACGCCTCATGGAAGACGGCAACTGCGTAATCTGCAAGCAGAGTAAAAGTGAGGTTAGGTTAGCACTTAAGAGCACATTTTATGAAAAGTGCCGATCCAATTTTAATGTTATAGATTCAACTAAAGATCTAGTCTTATTATCGAATTATCATAGCATTGCCTAGAAACCATTTTCATTCACTAACTGCGGTAATTCAATAATAACAATATGCACTCTGTCATGCTGCTTTGATTACAATAAAGAGAAAATGATATCATTAAATCCATTTAGTACTCTGTGTCTCTCTATGGTCTATGATCTTGGTCCGATGTGGACTCACCCGTCGTGCCGCCGCCTGGTGGATCGCTGGAAATGACGCCCGGGAAGCGCAGACATCTGAAATCCAAGCCGAACTTATGATAATAATATTCGCCAATGAGCTCGGCATGCACCTTGGAAACGCCGTAAATAGTGCGCGGCCTTTGTATCTGCAAGAGAACGGCAACGAGACCCAATTTGAATATCGAACAAACCGAAACGAGAGCAGCGCTACAGCACTCACTGTGATGTTCGGTGTGGGATTGCGGGGACTATCGGGACCGAAGGCGCCAATGGTGCTGGGCACAAAGATGCGCAGCTTATACTGTTTCGCCAGCTCGATAACATTGTGCACGCCCTCAATGTTGACCCTGAAGCGGTTGGGTAAGGTTAGGTAATGCTCGCGGCTGGACGGGACTACTGGGGCACCTACCTCACAGCTAGTGGCACATTCTGTTCGCCCACGGCGCTGAGCAGCGCCGAGAAGTGAATGAGCCAATCGATGCGCTGATTTACGACAATCTTCTGCAGACCCTTGAAATCCAGTATATCGGCAAAGATATAGGGTCCATTCTCCAGCACAGCCTGGCTGGGCTTGATGATGTCCGAGAGTATGACGTTCTCGCTGCCGTACTGCGAGCGCAGCAGCTTGGCGCACTCAATGCCCAGCTGGCCGAGACCACCTGGAGCCGAGGGAAGCACACGTGAAATTAGCCTTGAGGTCTATTCAAATTGAATTGTGCACGTGTTCTCTTAACTAACCGGTGATTAGAATTTTCGGCGGTCTGCTGGCTGGCACACGCTGGTGCATGAGACGCAGCTTCTGCAACGGCTGCATCTGCCGCTGAGTGGCCACCAGGCTGCTGAGGCACTTGCGCCACATGCTGAACTACGAAAAGGATTGGGCTACGAGCGACACTGGAACCAGACGCGCCGCAACGCAGCGAGTTACAATTTTCAACTGATTTTAAAACTTAGCAAATCATTTTTACGAACGTCGAGCATCGAATATAATTCACTATATACTCGCCTATTCGCGCATAAATCGGGTGAGCATTCGGATTTCCATTCGCCCGTTGTCGACACTTGGCAAACGCTCAATTTTCGCGTTTTTTTTCCCCATTTTTTTGATTCATTATGAGACGCTATAGTTGTTGCTGTCACCATGGCAAAAGATTTGCTCGCTTTTGCCATTTATAATTCAATAAAAGCGAAAGCAGCGCGCCACCGAGAGGAGGCCCGCCAATTGACAATAGCAACGGCAACAGCAACAACAACAACAACCAAAGGAAAGACAATAACAACAACAACAACAACATTAAACATAGTTTAGCTGCGCAGGTTTCCTTTTGGGAGGCAGGTCTATGTCGCTATTTCGTCAGTCGGTTATGCAAAAAAAAAAAAATAATATATGAAAGCATATTTATACAGGGTGCTTCACATATGATGTATGACAGCATAGACAGCATATGATTTAGAATGTCAAATTATATATACATTTATAAATTCTTGCTAAAAAGTGTATCTGCAGCGTTGCATAGATGTTTTATAGTTCTACTACTATTACATGTTTTACTACTATATAGTTCTACTGCTAAAAAATATACGTCTTCAGATATCATGCTACGCCACTGCCTTTGTGAACTTTTATCTAAATGCTATAGAAATGCTTAGATTTAGCTGGTGTAATAGCTTCTTCTGCTGCACTTTTTACTATTCGTGCACTTTCTACTACTACTAATAACTATTTTAAACTATTATGCTTTTTATTACTATTCTACTTTTCACTACTAGCATACTATTTTTCACTACTATTATACTATATACTATATACTATATACTACTATACTATATACTATATACTACTATACTATATACTATATACTACTATACTATATACTATATACTACTATACTATATACTATATACTACTATACTATATACTATATACTACTATACTATATACTATATACTACTATACTATATACTATATACTACTATACTATATACTATATACTACTATACTATATACTATATACTACTATACTATATACTATATACTACTATACTATATACTATATACTACTATACTATATACTATATACTACTATACTATATACTATATACTACTATACTATATATTATCTACTACTATTCTACGTTATACTACTTATATTGTTTTTACTACTATTTTGCAATTATACTATTTACTACTTTTTAATATATACTACGTTTTACTACTATTTCTATTTAGACTACTTAAATATTATATATATTTTTATGCATTTTTAGATATTTTTAATTCAATTAAATATTCTACTACTATTACAGGCTTTACTCCTTTTACACTTCTGCTACTATAATGCTTAACGCCCTTCTGTTACATCAGTCTCTGTTGGGCAGTACTTTCTAAATGCTTTTCACAGCTCAGTTGCTGTTCACTAAATTAAATTAACCTTGAAAACAGAAATAAATAAATGCGTAAAGGGCATCGAGAATTTAAATGAATTTAATTGAGTGCTAGGGCAAGGGCCTCTTAATGGAATCTGCCCACTTGTTTGCGCTACATTATAAAGAAAACTCGTGCTACGTTATCAGATAATGCATTGAACTTGCACTAATTTTATAGCACATAATGCAAATTGTTTTTCACAAGGGTTATCAGCACACGGAATGAAAATTTACAAAACATTCCAACGAGCGTACAGGGTGCGTATGAGCAATACAATTATAGATCGTTTCGTTTTTTAGCCTTGACAATAGTTGACGTAGTTGCGTTTTGCACTTGGGAAATGTGAAAAATACGTAAATTCTATGTAGAGACTATAAATACTTGGGCGTACGCTTTCCCTCTTTGAGAACTACAACTAACTGAGTGGACAGACAGCTGCTATATATAATTGGATATATTTCGTATAAATATTTGAAAAAAAAAATACATTGTTTAATGGTGCCACATATTGGGGAAGTGTTGTGTGGCATACACATTCCAGACAACTTGGGCAGCCAAGCGATGCCACAACTGGAGCCAGATTTTTATGTAACCAACATAAAGAGACAACAATAATGATGACTTTACAGCAACAGCAGCTGCAACAACAACAAATGGAAACTAAAACATGTGAATCAAGCGCTTTATGAGGCCTTTAATTGAATTTAGCAAAAGTGAGCCGAGCATAAAGAGCCCCTGAAGATAGCGTGAGATATCGGGCAAGGAAATGAACGACAAACGCCCACAAATGAAAGTGAAATGAGAAACAGGTCTGAAAAGAAGTTAAATTTCGAGCCAATTAGTTGACTTGAAATTTTGGTTTGTCAAATATATTTATAAAAAATATATATTACTTACTTTAGCAGCACATCAGTCTAAGCAATTTAATAAAATATTATATAAAAGTATTTGAATCACATTTTTCTTTGGTTTTCCTAACTGTCGCTTATAACCAATAATTATTTTCATTAAGAGTTAATTGTATAGCTTGTAGTAAAAGCTTGAGAGAGTGCGCAGTCACATAAATAATAGAAATCCGTTTTCAGTTTTCAATATTCCTACTTTCAGCAAAACTTTTTAACTTTTATCCAAAATTATTTTTCTAAATTTAAAAAAACTTCATTTTGTAGCTCTGCACTTATTAAATATTTCGTTTTCAAGCAGTTTTCTCAGGCAGAAACTCTTCGAATAATATCCCAACTCATTTGGCCCACACAATGCCAAATTTCTGCCTAAAGTCGACAATTTTTGCTGGCCTTCACTGCTCGACTAGTAATTTGTTAAGTTAATTTGTTAATTTCACTTGCAATTTCAATATCATCTTGAGCATAAACAACCTCGCACCGACAGCAGCATGACCAGACAGCTTCGACCCCTGTAGCCTGGTCACAGTTCAGGTATCAACCAAGTTCCACATACGATCCACAAACGCTGTGAGCCAAGTTAACTGTCGTGTGTGAGTGAGAATCAGCCAAGTGTGGCGCCAAATGTGCTCCGATATTGCACAGGCAGGAAGCATTCGCTTCTTGGCGCTACTCCCCCGCATTCCAGCTAATGTTGAACGCTCAAAACAAAACATAAAAATAACAAAAAAAAAACGTTTGTAGAAATCTTGAGTAATCCGTTGGCTTCGCATAACGTTTTGAAAACAGTTTTAACGCGCATTCCAAACGAGACGGTTCGGCTAGTTGGCTCCTCAAAAATAAACGTCGAAGCTTTAGTGCATCTTTAATTAAATTACTTAATTTTTATAATAAAAGCAAAAGTGCGCTTGAAAGTAAAGCGTAAATTAAGAGAGGAAAAGAAATTTGTGCTTATGTGAACGCTACCAAAGGCTACCAAATATTTTTAAAGTATTTAAATAAATTAAATGTTAACAAAATAAAAGAAAAAAACGCGGATTTATTGGATACGCTCTTATTGGAGTAAGCTAATTGGAAACACTAAAATGTAATGACAAAACTCCTTTGCCTGTTGTGATTTGCAAACTGACGCTAGATGGCGCTTTGCAAATTATCAATGCCTAACTAGCTAAGACTGTAGTTTCTCCTGCTGCCAATGGATGGCGCATAAATATGTCATTTAAAAGGGATTTTGTTCTGAAATTTTACTGAGCTTACAGTTAAATGAAATGTTCCATGTTTCTTATCTCACTTCGCAAATCTTGGCTGCATTCCACACAAAACACAGTTTTACTCTACAGGCAAATTCAAAGAACTAACCGTTATTTAATTAGGAGAGACTCAAAAGAAATCAGAGCAAAGTAAGAAAAGTACACGCAAATGGTGAAACTGTCGCCGCAGCTGGCTCCAGTTGGAGCTACAAACAGACCTTCAAGTCACACTTAGTTGCGGCAGGCATAGATCCATATAGCAGCAGATACAGCAGCTCCCAGGTATACGAAGCTCAGCCAGCTCTTAGAGCTGAACAGCAGCTGGAAGCCAAAGAAATTACAGACAATGATGAAAACGACAATAATTTCAAGGTTCGTTTGATGTAAACTCGGCGCGCATGCGTATAGAGCGACTCTGTGGAGTGGCAGCAGCAGCAGCTCTTCAGACCGTTTCACGCCTTGCCTTAGCCACAACTTCTATTTTTCTACTGTTTTTTTTTTTTGTTTCTCTTGTTAAATGATTACAAAATTTTGTTGAAAAGCCATGTTACGCTTCTCGGCGCAAAAAAGTTTCTTTTTTTTTGTTGTTGGTTGGAGTTGCGCAGCTGCATAGTGTCTATGGCTAGACATAGGTACACCTGACAGTCAGCAGGTAGCCCTGGATTTTAGATATGCATGTTAAGAGCTTTGTTTCATGAACTCTTTTAGGCTCTTGCACAAGACGTCGCTAGACTTCCTATCGAGCCAAAGAGATTCATCCAAGCTTGCAGCGAGATTTGAAGCAGATTTTCGAGTATATGAAATGTCCTTTAATTAACATTTAAAAATTAGCTAACGACTTGGACTTATAATATATAGGCTTAGATTGTAGGAGCTTAAGTAGCAGTCATGCGACGAATTGATTGAATTTGTTATCATTCTAATCTTATCTAAGAAGAACCCCAATAAGTTTAAGCTATAAATTAGCTTGGGGTATTTTTGGTTCTTTATGTCACGCCTAACAGTAATATATAGATCAATTACAGTTCAATAGATCCATTAGCGGCCTTCGTAGCCATTGATGCGGTCAACAACCAAATCATTGACCAATTCCTTCATATTTCTGGCCACAATGAAGTCCAGGTGATTGAAGCTCTCGAGCGGCACACGATGATCCTCAGTCAGATGGATCAGCTCGGCGACCAAGGTGTCGACGTCCTGTGGACCACACAGCGCATCGTTTTGACTGGAATAGGAATGCGTCTTGGCCGTAACTTTGCTTAGATCATAATCTGGCGGCAGATCCTGACCATAGATCTCGCGATTCTTCTTGGTGCCCCAGTCGTACTGGCGGAACTCATGCGAAGATGCCAGCTGCAGATAGTGAATGCCCTGATTGCTCGAAGAGCCCGCTGGATGCGTTTCAATCAAGAGCTGCGCGGAAGTCTGTAGAGCGAAATCGATTCATTGAATATATATTAGGAATATTTGGGAATCGTAGGCATTTACCAGATTGATATTCTCATAGCCGCCGTTGGCGAACATCAGGAATCCATTCTTGCAGATGGACTCGTAGGGACTGCCGCTGCCGCAGCTGTTGTCTGCCAGGCGATTGACCAGATTGTTATACGGTATCAGCTCAGTGTCCACCAGCAACTGATTCCAAACAGTACCAGGTGTGCCCACCAGTGGGCCGAACCATCTAAACACCGCTGACCTGCCGTGATCAAAGAATGCGCACGGGGCCAACAGATGGCCCGACTTTATCTTGGCATTGTACTCCGGGCGCTCGGACAGAAGGACCAAATAAACCGTTGTGCCCTGCGAGTGACCCGCATAGTGCAGCTGCTCGTACTGCGTCTCATCCAGAATGTAGTCAATCATGGCAGCAATATCGATTGTGCCAATCTCATGCCAGTCGAAGTGCCAGAACTTGGGGTGCTTCAGCGAGATCAGCTTATTGGCACGCGAGTAGATGTTGCCACGAGCGTTGCCCAGCCAGACATCGTAGCCGGCATCGGCCAGCAAATAGGCCAATGAGTTGTCCGGTCCCGAGCAAAGAAAGCAGTCCGAGTTGCTGAATAGGCCATGCTGCAGCAGCACAGGTGGACGCTTCTCATTCTCGTTGTTCAGCTTGTGGGAGTAGGGAATGCGAAAGAGTTTCAGCACGTAGCCATCCTTGGTGACCACCTCATGAACCTCAGCCGGATAGCCATGGGAGCGTATACGCTCATCCGACGTGAATATGTCGCGCAGACTCAATTTGGGATCAGCGTGTGCCTGGCTTAAAGCCAGCAGCACTGGCAACAGGTAGATCAAAACGCGCATTGTCGACTCCAGAAGGAACCTCTTGGACTCTGACTGCAACAGCTGAGCGGGTCCCTTATATAGCCACGAACAGAGCGAGAGGGGTAGAGAGAGGGAGAGCGAGACTCTCCACTCAACTTATCAATTCAAATTCATTTGATTTACCTCACAGTTGATAATGCCTGAGTTATAGATAGCTGTAGATTATGTTAACGTTTATTTAGGACTTGCATTCTGCTGGAATATTTCCCTTGGCTGGGGGCAGGTCTTACGATCTATTAATTATTTTTAGCAACGAGCTAATAATTTATGTACCCCTTCCAATTGATTTATGATCAACAAGTTTTAAAATACTATGAAAATCCTTATTTTATGTCGCTGATATTGTTTCAGGGGAACAGAGTTAAGCTACAAGTACCAGCAGGTGTTTACATTTTTGCTTAAGATTACTATGAATGAACATTATCAAATTATTAGTAATACTTTAGCATGCCAGACAGCAGACAGCTTAATCCGTCTATCTATCTAGCTATGCTGTTATAATGTAGATTTCCGAGTTTTGATTAGATAATTTAGATTTGCTAATATAATAGATGTGTATGGGTTCTAATATATATGTAATATATAATATATAATATATAATATATAATATATAATATATAATAGATAACAAAATATATAATAGAATTTACTATATTTAACTATTACTATAGAGTAATGCCTTATTTATAAATAGTTCATTTATAAATAGTTCGCGAAATTTGTAGTTATTAAAATATTTTATTGTATAAAAAAAAATTGACTAAAAAAATTCGAAAATATAAAACAAAAAAATATTTACCACAATTATATAAAATATTTTAAAAATTATCAAATAATATTTTAAAATTATTTGAAGAAATTCAAAAATATCAGAGAGGATTTTTTTTATTTTTTTGCTATTTTTAAAAATATTTTTAAATGTCGTAAAAATATAAATATAATATAAATATAAATAGTTCATTTATAAATAGTTCGCGAAATTTGTAGTTATTAAAATATTTTATTATACAAAAAAAAATGAACTAAAAAAATTCGAAAATATAAAACAAAAAAATATTTACCACAATTATATAAAATATTTTAATAATTATCAAATAATATTTTAAAATTATTTGAAGAAATTCAAAAATATCAAAGAGGATTTTTTTTATTTTTTTGCTATTTTTAAAAATATTTTTAAATGTCGTAAAAATATAAATATAATATAAATATAAATAGTTCATTTATAAATAGTTCGCGAAATTTGTAGTTATTAAAATATTTTATTATATAAAAAAAATTAACTAAAAAAATTCGAAAATATAAAACAAAAAAATATTTACCACAATTATATAAAAAATATATTATATAAAATATTTTACAAATTTTCAAATAATATTTTAAAATTTGTTGTAAAAATTTAAAAATATCAAAGAGGATTTTTTTATTTTTTTTGGCTATTTTTTAAAATATTTTTAAATGTCATAAAAAATGTCTTCGGCTAAGCTCAAACCTTAGTCTGAGTTTTCATTATTTTGTTTTATATACCTGCTGCTTCTAATGGCTAATAAGGAAGTTAGCCAATCAACTACTTGGCTAGTCTAAGTCTCTAATTGTTAGGTTCAAGAACCCTTCGTTCTACCCATTTCATTAAAATACTACGCCCATGGCAGACTTGTCTTATTCTAACTACAGTTTCTTTTGATGGCCCTCAAGCTATGAGCCAGTCAGGCCAAGCTGTACCCATAATTTGAAGGATGCTTTTACTGCCGATTCTACTGTTCTATGCCGGCTGGACAGGACTAGTGCGTGCTGATAGCTGTCCACCGTCCGAGGCGATACTGCCCTGTCGCTGTTCGCTGCGTGGCAAGGAGATACAGATATGGTAAGTGAATTCAGATGAAGGAGTCACCTCAACTTCGTGCTAAGCGTCTGTTTGTCCAGGTGCTCGCACAGCAATTTGCCACAGATAATGGATGGCCTGAAGGCCGTGGAGCGCAACATCAAGACCCAAATTGATGAGCTGGTGCTGGAGAACAATCAGCTGCCCGCGCTGCCGGGTCGCTTCTTTGGCAATCTGCAGATTGTGCGGCTGATGCTGCGCTACAATAGCATCGAGCGCGTCTCCAACGGCTGGCTGAACGAGCTGGAGAACAGCTTGGTGGAGATCTTCATAGTGGAGCCACAGCTGCGCAGCATACCTGCCGAGAGCTTGAACGGCATGATCAATATGCTGGCCATAACCATACAGAGCGACGAGCTGAAGCATCTGCCCGACTTCTCGGGTCTCCTTAGCCTGACCTATGTGAGTGTCCAAAGTGGATCGCTGACAGAGCTGCAGCCGCATAGCTTCCGGCATCTGCCCAAGCTGCAGCATATTCACATCACAGGTGGACCAGGCCTAACGCGCCTGGAGGCTGGTCTTTTCGATGGTTTGATTTCCCTGAAGAGCCTGGATCTCAGTCGGAACGGACTTAACTGGATTCACCTGCGCGCCTTGGCGCGACTGCCCAACTTGGTCAGCCTGAAGCTGTCGTATAATCAAATCAGCGATGTGGGCATGATTGGACGCATTGTCAAGGACTTGGAGCACTTGAAGAAGCTGCGCCTGGATCACAATATCATAAATGTCATTGAAGATGGCTCCTTCGTGGACTTGCCAAATCTCTCCGAGCTGCATCTCAACGACAATCGCATCACGGAGCTGCAGTACGGCGCCTTCCTGCGCACTCCACAGCTGAAGACGATTCATTTGCACAACAATCTGATACGTCGCATACATCCGGAGTCGCTGCTGCAAGCCTCTGGCAGCGGCGTGGAGGCTGTGCACATCTACAACAATGAGATTGGCCATGTGGAGGCGCTGCGAGCGCTGCTCGATGCTTTGCCCACGCTGCGTTTCCTGGACATGAGCGGCAATCTGTTGAGCGAGCTGCCCTATGGAGCTTTACGCGGTCATGGCACACTGGAGCAACTGCATCTGAATAACAATCAACTGCGCTCGATCGAACGCGATGCTCTGATGGCCATGCCCGCTCTCCGGGAGCTGCGCATGCGCAACAACAGCCTCAGCTCGGATCTGCCTTTGCCGTTTTGGAATCTGCCTGGTCTGAAGGGCTTGGACCTGGCTCAGAATCAGTTTGTGCGCGTGGACGCACAGCTGTTGGCCGGCTTGCCTTCACTGCGTCGCCTCGATCTCAGCGAGAACGGCCTGAGCGATCTGGCTGCCAACAGCTTTCGGCACAATGGTCTGTTGGAAACGCTGAACATCTCCTCCAACGAGCTGAGCCACATATATCCGGGCACCTTCATGCACTTGGAGCGCCTCTTCGAGGTGGACGCCAGCTACAATCAGTTGACTGCTGTGATTCCAGGTCTGCCACAGATTGTGGAACGCATCTCGCTGCGTGGCAATCGCATCTCAGCTTTGCCTGCAGCGGGCAGCAAATCGCTGCAGCTGCCCAATCTGCGCATGTTGGATCTCAGCCAGAATCACATTGAGCAGCTGGCACGGCATGGCTTCCAGGCGGCACCAGAGCTGCGCGTGTTGAGTCTGGCACAGAATCAGCTGCGTCTGCTGGAGGATACCTCGTTCATAGGCATCCAGCGGCTGGAGCTGCTGCACTTGCAGGACAATCAGTTGGGCCAGGCGGATGAGCGTGCGCTGCTTCCACTGGCGGAGCTACGCAATCTCAATCTGCAGTCCAACAAGCTGGAGTCCATAACGGACAACTTCTTCTCGAACAACAGCCGCCTGGAGCAGCTGGACTTGTCCCGCAATCTCATACGCACCATTTCACCCACCGCCTTCGACAATCAACGCTCGCTCGAGTACCTGGATCTGTCTGGCAATGCGCTGCTCGACATCTCAGTGGGCCTGGGCAATCTGCACAGTCTGCGCGATGTGGATCTCAGCTACAATCAGATCGCACGCGTGCATGCGGATGTGGTCAATGCCTGGCGCAATGTCGTGGAGATTCGCTTGTCCAACAATCTCATCGTGGAGCTGCAGCAGGGCACATTCCGAAATCTGCCCAAGCTGCAGTATCTGGACCTGAGCAGCAACGAGATTGGCAGCGTGCAGCCAGGCGCGCTCAAGAGTCTGCCGGAGCTGCAGGAGTTTGTGCTGGCTGACAATAAGCTGATCGAGCTGAAGGATCACGTGTTCGAGGAACTACCCTCCCTGTTGGCCTCCCATTTCCAATACAACAAATTGAGATACATCTCGCCAGAGAGCTTCCATCATGCCAACTCGCTGGTCTTCCTCAACTTGTCCAACAACCACTTTCGCAACATGGAAAACATTGGACTACGCAGCATGCGCAACCTGGAGGTATTGGACCTATCCACCAATGGCGTCAAGATGGTCTCCACAATGCCACTCAAAGCACTCAACTGGCTGGTCGAGCTGAAGATGGACAACAATCAGATATGCAGAATACAGGTGGGTCTACATGAGTGGGTTTCTCTTGACATGTACTCAACTAGCCACATTCCAGGGCTCTCCATTCGAGACTATGCCCAGGCTGCGTGTCTTATCCATGCGCAACAACCAGCTGAGAACTATCAAGGAGCGCACCTTTAGGAACTTGAGGGGCAACATTGCCATACTCGATGTGGATGGTAAGCGACTAGGACTAAGTTTTAGACTAGATCTCTCACACTGGTAATGTGCCCATCACCTAGGTAATCCCATTGACTGCAATTGTGAGATGCAGTGGCTCTCCGTCTGGCTGCAGGAGACAAACTTCCCCTACCCGGGTCCAAAATGCAAGGACGGTCGCCTGCTGCGCGTTGCTCGCATGGAGCGCAGTCTCTGCGCTGGCCTGGAGCTCTACAATGGCGGTGACAACAACGAGCGCAGCGAGGGCAATCACCTGCCGCTGCTCAACGAGCACGGCGATGTGTTCCAGCGTGATCTGCCCGAGGATTTCAATGACGACTGCGATGCGTTTAACGAACGACCGATGGTAGGGGAGAGCGAATACTTTTACGAGCAGTATGTGGACTCCACGGATGTGCCGGATTCGAGCAACGCGGTGGTCAGCAGCTCACAGCGGCCCAAGCCCACGTCATCGGCAAATCCCAATATAGATCTCAACAATACTTTGCTGCATACCAAGTACTTTAATAGGCGTCCACAGCCGGCGGCAGGCGCTGGGTCTCCCTTCACCTTCTTTGGCTATCCGATACCCAGCTTGAGCTTGGGCCGCTTCTTTGGCTTTGGGGAGCGCGGACGGAAGCAGCGCACGGATCAGGATGATCCGATGCCAGCCACGCATCGCATGGCGCATATTAATTTGCCCAGTGGGCGTGGCAAGACGCGCATGTATCAGCCGAACAGCGCAGAGTTCGAGAAGTATCTGCGGGAACAGCAGCAGCAGCAGCAGCATCAACCGAACGTGGCGAACGCAAGGAATCGCTATGGCGAATCGGAGGTGACCACCAACTCGGGGGAGGAAGCTCTTAGCAATGAAAGTGGTGCATCCACCACAACGGGCGTCTTTCGCACCACCTTTCGCGAGCCGTCGAGCATTGAGCGCGGCGGCTTTCGACCCATTGTGCCGGCACATGTTGGCGGTTTCACGCCAGTGCATGATCCCCAGCAGCGACGCGGCCTGGTGGAGCAGGTGAATGTCACGAGCAAGCCACACATGGAGCGGCATTTTGTGCCCATTGCCGTGCAACAGGACCAGGTGCAGCCCAGACCCAAGCCTACGAGCGGCGTCGACAGTAGCGAAACGGCCACCTATGAAGTCACCGAAATGACACCCGACATAACCACCCAGATGCCAATCGTCAAGAGCACCAGACCCATGACAACTGCCCGAACCACATCAACAGCCGCAACAACTACAACAACAACAACAAGTAGTTCTACAACAGAGGCTCCCATGACCAGCGCTTCCAGTGAGCAACAAATGGAGGACTCGCAGTACGATGATGAGGATCTGGAGGCGCAGTCCGTAACGTTGCTGCGTCCACCAAAGCTCTATCAGCCAACAACAGCAGAGACCATATTATTGATACCGCCACCGGAAGAGCACGTGGCACAAATCAAAAGTCACTCATGGGTTACGACCACAACAGAAGCGATCACTGATTATAAGGCTACGCCCAGCAGCGAGCAGGTGACAGCTGCGCCTGCGCGAGGAGCTGGAGCAGCTGGTGTGCGTACACCAGGCGGACGTTCCACTATCACCAAGGTGTACACCTCACATCAGCAGCAGCAGCAGCAACAATTGGCACAGCCCACGGCTGAGGAGTATCAGCGCACAACGCCCAGTGCGGACAATGAGAGCTTTGCCAGCGAGCAGCAGGTGATTAGACAGGCACAAAAGCGTACGGATATACTGCCGGATCTGTCGCAAGTCGCGGAGCCAGTGGAGCGTAAGGATGGCATGGACTGGTACTATGAGAGCTTCAAGAAGAAACGAGATTTTACTGATCATGCTACAGCGGTGAATACGCCAGCCAACAAGGAGGTGCTTTATGGCAATGTCCTGCCGGAACTCAATGGATGCAGCAGCTGGAGTCAGCCAGGCAACCGATATTTAATCCTACTTGTGTTCCTCTTGCTGGGTAGTCGTTGATGAGGAACGTTGTTGGCAGTGTTAAACAGTTGTTTAAGTTGTTTTATAAGTTTATTTTTACAATTGATATGTATATTAATCTATGTTGTATATTTAAATAAAACATTAAATTCACGAACATTCGCTGAGTCAATTAGGCCTGTACCTGAAAATATGTAAATTATAAAAAATTAGTTTAATGTATTCAAATTGAGAGAAATACATCATTTTGTATAAAAATCAGATGGTGATGCATGTTAAATAGATTTCAACATAATTTCTCTGAGTTGGTATGAAGATATCATCAGTAAACAATATGTGGAGGGGTTGATAATAGATCGAACTTGGCTTACTTTTCAGCAGAGACTGGGATACCAACCAACTTCCAGCTCCTGTTCGGACGATTAGGTGTACACATAAGTCTAAAAAAAATGTACATAAATTAATTACATGATCTTCGAAAAATAGTTTAGAGTTTCGTGTGTTATAATCAGATGGTGATGCATGTTAAATAGATTTCAACATAATTTCTCTGAGTTGGTATGAAGATATCATCAGGAGATATGAAAAACTACAAAATTATGTATTATCCTTACTTTCTCATATAGGCTATGTGTTATATCCATATGTAGAAGTCCACTTCACTTCCACGTGCACCTAAAATTAAATAAAGAGTACTGTTATAAATATGGACAATAAAATAAGGCTTTGTCTTAAAGGCAAATTGTTCTCAGATGGTGATGCATGTTAAATAGATTTCAACATAATTGCTCTGCTTGGGTTATGAAGTTATCATCATTGCACTTTATTTAAAACAATTCCAGAATTAGTAGTAAACATACCTCGTGCAACATTTCTCAAATTGAGAATTTAAAAGTTCCAGGCAAAATACAAAGACCACGTGGTCCAAGCAGAGACCGCTGTTCAATCGCCAAAGTCCAACAGGCCGGCTTTTTTATAATGCAGCCAATTAACGGTTATGCGGTTCTTCCAAAGCATTTCTCTTAAATATTTTAACAAGCAATTCGATTTTATTTAATTGAATAATTAAAAGCAGCGCCACACGTCGTCACCCTTAACGAAAAGATTGAAAGAAAAGAGCGATGCTGCCAGATATTTTATTTTGTTGAGACCGCGCGTAGTGTTACCATATCAATTTGTTAAGAATATAATGACAACTCTATACTATTGGTAGCCCTGTGCGAGCTTGCCATATGAATTGGCGCAATTTTAGCAAACAAAACTAAACAAAATAAAAATAGTCTAACAACGAACAAGGTAAATGGCCGAGTCGAAAACAAATGAATATAATGAAAACAGAACTCTTCAAACACAATGGAAGCACTTGAGATGCAGCCTGATGACAGTTAATTCTCTATTGAATTTTTCAGCTACAGCTACAGCTTCTTAGGCTACAACAATGACGACAACGACGACACCAACATTGCAGACGCGCATGGCACTAGCAGAAATACCCGATCGTTTAGAGGCACTACGTGTTGCAAACACACCAACAAATGCCAATCGCCGTACGCCCGATGAACCCACGCCGGCAGCTACAGCCAACACGCCTAATGGCGGAGTTGGTGGAGGCGGCGGTGGAGGACTTGGACTGCGTGTGGACAATGATATGAATGTGGCACAGGCACAGGACTTTAGTTTCTCACCGCTACCGTCACCAGATGAGCTAATCATACGGCAACGTGGGCGTCGTCGTTTCACAACGACCTTCTCACCGGACAAAGTCAATGGCGGTGTCAACGGCAACAACACTTCAATACGTAGTCCCTTTCAGCGTACGCCTACGAAAAATCTGCAATTGACTAGTGGCATGATATTGCGCAGTTCGCCACGCAAACGCCTCACCATGGGCAGCACACCACCCGAGCCGACGCCAATGGAAACATATTCACCCATTAAGTTGTCCCACACAAAGCAACAGCTATGGCCAGGCACGCCCATAGTAAAGAAGCTGAAAATGGATGATCGTCCCGTGGCGCAAACGAACAGCGAGGTACCATTACCAGCACTCCTGCAGGGCCTATCACAGCAACAACTCATTGACTTGATAATGGTCAATATCAAACAAGAAACGGCGACGGCCACACAAAGCGCCGAGGAAAAGATACGCGCCCAGCTGCCGACACCAGATATAAGGTTAATTATTTACTTTGACGAAATATTGACATATAACACTTGCCTTCATTTTTCAGTTTGTTGGAGCAGGAGCTACATTATGCCAAACGGCTCATATTCAAATCTCTGCCTACGTCCCGGCTGTGCAAGAAAACAGATGCCGCTGCCTACTCAAAGGCAGCTATCCACCTAAATGAGTTTAAACGAGTACTGCAAACGCAAGCGAAGCGTTTGCATGATTCTACACACTGGGACGCACTGGTGGACTATGTCAGCATGGCCTGGCAATGTGTGGCAAGCACGCCCAACTGGGAGAGCAACTCTCACAATGCTGTGCGTAGACAATGCTTCAAGCTGCTCGCCTGTTCGTGCTATGCGGCTATCAAGCATGGTGGCATGCGGCTGGGACAAACGAGACTGGAGACATTGGAGCGCAATTTGCGTGAGTGGTCCAAGGACTACGAGGATGTGTTGTCCTGCGTGAATGCATTGCAACGTACGCTTAACAGCCGCACCAGCTTATAAAGCCAAGAGAGGTGGTAGACTTTAAAGTAGCCTTAAGGCCGACTTGCTGAACTCAAGGTTTAGTGGACCGTTTAGATTTAAGTTTGCATCTCCAATTAGTATTTAAGAGAATCTATTTGCCATTTTTGTATAGGCATTTCAAGCAACCCACAGCTTGAATGCATTGTTTTAAATTGTGTTTATATTGTGTTTGTTTTATTTCCTCCTGTTTACAATCTGTGCACAACACATCATCATTCTACCATTTTGTTACACATACACAAACAGAGCATGCCCGGCCACAGTTAATTTAGAGATTAAAACTTAAATAAATATATTCTTTAACCACATACTATGTACATGGTTATGTATAGAAAATAACTAAAAACCCACACACATTACATATATTCTGACATACAAATTTATATTTATTAACAATTAAATATATTAATATACAATTGCTCACCAAGCATATTTTTAAATAAGTACACTTAAAGATGGCTGGATAATAACTATGCATAAGACAATGACTACGTTTCACTAGATCGTATGCAACGCCTTGGTTACACCCAATTACAATACAATTTTAGCGCCTTCTCCTGCGCCAATGTAAACTTAGTAGCGCCAGTAGGCAGCTAAGCAAGGGGTGTGCTCTGCTTAATGAAGCACTCGAGATGCGACGCCCTGCAAATTGGAGAAGAAATTACATGACTATATTATAATATATAATATTAATATTGTTAATATATTTAAATAAGAACTGAAAGTTGGTAAAGATGAGCTCTAGACTATTAAAACTGAAGCATCGTAAGAATTTAGCTTAAGCATAAATTATGTACATATATGCATACTATTTCATAGATCATCAACATCATCAGATGCCAGAAAGTCTTTATATTAGACATTAACGCAGTCGAAATGGAATGTGTTTTCAATGTCAAAAAAGTTAATTTATTTTGTAGCACTACTCGAATATTTTTGATGAGCGTGCACTTAACTTATCGAAAGTGTTTTGTTTCTTTAGAATCAAGCTAAAAACTTTGCAAGAAAATTTATAATAAACACTGTGAAAGAATAATAAACATTGTAAATTATCTTCAAAAATGTGATGATTTAAAACGTTTCTATTATTCGATGAGTTAGTTCAATTAGCGTTATAAATTAAATCTAATTATCACAGATTTTATGCGATTGCGCATGCTGAAGATCATCTTCTCGGTCTATCCGTGACTATTTACATTATAAAATTAGCATTGCTTTGTTAATCTACAACTGGGTGTGTATGGGTGTTGAGTGTTTGTGTACACACGTTATACATATAAGTATTTTATTGATCATCAACTGCTGTGCTGGCCAAGTAGCAAATACCAAATCTTGCTGCAGCTCATCCATAAACATTCCAATCTCACTTACACTCTTTGAGAAAAGCGGGCACACAACAGCATTCCTTGACCTCCTCGAAGAAATAGCATGAACCCGTCGTAGGCTTATAGATCTTTTCATCCACAAAGCATTTATGCGCCTTATAGGGCAAGCCCTCTGAAAGAAAGAAAGAAATCTTATAAATATTTAATTTCAAATGTAATCAAATTAAATTATTTGTTTATAAAAAGCGCTTATTTATATATTTATCGAGCAGATCAAGGCCCTTGGCTACTCTTTTTTAATGGATTCTAATTAATTGGGACAGGTATCAGAATTAAATGGATTAATACAAATATTGTATGTTTATTATTATTATTATTATACATATCAAATTTAGCATCTATAGCTTTGCTGCCCTTCAGCCTATTTATATACAAATACAAAATTTATAATCAATTTCAGGTCTAGAGCTAAGTACGGATGTAACACCGTGATCAATAATCATCTGTCTGGCCAGACCAATATGGCTAGATTCAGTCAGTTTGTTATGTGTATAATGTCGCGTTCTACTCAGCTGTTACATAAATCTGCCATAATATAACGTTCTTATTACAAATTTTGCTGCAGTTCATCAAGCTATGCATATGCCATATAAAGTTAGTTAAGATCTCTGCCAATATAATAAATATGAGTATTTGTTTGGCAAATAGTTTAAATACATTCTACACTGAAATCTCAGTGAAACTAGGCAACGAGCTTTGCTAGTCTAAACACAGCGAAATCTATGGATTCCAAATAGACATCTGGACATGGAACTGATTTTATATGATCAGCTGTCGCTGTCAATCATAAACAAATGCAATGCACGCTGCTGCCAGTTTCTTCTGTATTCTATATTTTACATACATTTGGAAAATAAAACATTTTAAAGAAGAAGCAGAAAGAGCACTTAAATTAATATCAGTCGGTTTTAGTTTTCAATATGTGCTTCTCTGTTGGCTGTACAACTGTTTTAAGTAGAAACGGAAACTAATAAAAAATTAATAGAAAAAAATGTTTATTGGACGCAGCGCCAAGATCAACATATAATTTGGCAAAACAATACAAAACTGGCCAAATTACTATGAAAATTCTTCAGCTTTGGGGGCCGTCGTGTCGAACTCTCGCATTTTGTTTACACAATCTGTTTATAAAAACTAAATGTGTTGATTTTCATAAAGTTCCATATTCCAAATTAGAATAATGGATACGAACTCATTGTTTCGCTGCTGCTGCTGCTGCGTGTCACAAATATTTATTCAATTATGTAATTATATCAAATTCAATGCAAATCGACGTGAGCTTCACTATATCTGTTTATGCATACATATGGACAGACAGACCTGATCGCAATTGTGTTTCTAATCTGTTGAGACAGCTGACACACTGCGAGGACATGACAAAAATTTCAAATTCAATGAAAATCGACGGCTCGTTAGAAGAGCGGAAAAAATTGATATTGAAATTTAAAAAATAAGCGCAGAATAATTATGATTGATTATGATGTAGTCTGAACCAGAAACTTTTATTTAAATACAAATCAGGTTATTATATGGCAAATGTTTTACGTTCTACATAAAAAACTGTCTAAATTGAAGCAAATATAAAATATAATAAAGTGCAAGCGACTGCATAATACTCGCTCGTGGTTAAAAGACAACAAATAATATCGGAATATATTGCTGTAAGCCAATTTTTTGATCCTAGCTCTAAAACTATGCAAGATAAACGTAATTACTTCATGATTTACCACGATTCCAAGGGCTACAATTTAAGCCAATGGTTTGATTAGGCGTATTATAGACGATTATATATATAAAGTGCAAATTGGCTTGCATAATGTTAACAACAATAACATCAACATATAGTAATCACAGATGTGAAACATCTTCAAATTAGGTTACACACAAGTACATATACTCTCTTTACACTATATGCACGAGTATAATAAACAGTTTAATTATTCATCAAAGCGTCAACACTCAAAGCCGTCAACTCAAAAATCTAATAAAAATTGTTCAAATGCAAATTATTTGACAACTTTTTCTGAGCGTTGGAAATGCGCAAAGTCTCAAAATATTATTGCCTAAAAATCATAAATACTTAAAAATTGAGTGTTGTTTTACAAGCAGTTCCTAAAAAGGTGCTTAGACGTCGTTACAAGACACAGCCAATAACCACCCAGCGAGTGGCTGAAGCAAGTGCTTGAGTATATAGATTGTAGAATTGTAGAATTGCAGAATTCTAGACACGTCTGATGTCTCTGGCTAAGGCTGTTGCATATTAATTACAAAAACCAAAGTATTTTAGTTCCAAAAATAAATATAAAAAAAAAATATATATATATACCATTTCCTTATCATATTGATTAGAGAATCTAAAATCTAAAAATTCCTGTGATGTAAGCTACTAAGAAAACAACTACTTTTTATAGAGCTCTTGATATAAATATATATGTATATATTATCTAATCAATATGATGGTGGAAGTGGTCGATAACTTATAAACAGAGTTTCTTTGTTGCATTGTTAACTTTTAATAACAACCATAGTTGGGTAATAAAATAAAGAAAAAGCCAAAACTACTACAAATTAAATTTAATGAGCGCATTTACTAGAACAAACAGAACACAATCTGAATGCGAGTACATTTGGAAAAACTGCACAACGGAAAATTGTGCACGCCTTGAAGAAAACCATTGAAGTGTAGAGAATACGAACGCAGTGCCGAACCCCCAATGGAACGCAGCAAAACAAGCATAAAAATAACTTGGGGGAAAAAAAGGGGAGAATTATATGTAAGCTGGCGCTTGGACACTAGGAATGTCAGTCGATGTACGGTGACAGCAAACTAAAGTGGATAAGCTACACATATACGCAATACATATATAACCACTATAATGGGTAACTACTGTAGCTCTATGCAAGTGAAGCAATGAAGCGTAGCTGCGGTTAAGACATGTGGACCACAGCTCTAACTACTCGCAACTTCCGCAGTTGTCACGTGCTAATGAAAAGAGCAAGACAGACGAGAGAGAGAGAGGGAGAGAGAGAGAGAGAGAGAGATGGAGAGAGAGAGAGGGAGAGAGAGAGAGAGAGAGAGAGAGAGAGAGAGAGAGAGAGAGAGAGGGAGAAAGAGAGAGAGAGAGCGAAACAGAGACAGAGAGAGAGAGCGAAACAGAGACAGAGAGAGAGAGAGAAACAGAGACAGAGAGAGGGAGAGAGCGAAACAGAGACAGAGAGAGGAAGTGAAAGGGAAAGAACTAGCAAATAGAACCCCATCTATTTTGGAGAACAGTTTAGTGGGGCCACTTAGCTTGCATCATCTCATTGAGCTGCGTCCATTGCGTGCCTCTCGCTCATTAGCCAATGAAATTATTGCCATAATGCAGTAGGCAAATGAAGCTTTACTTAAGCTGCACTCAAGTGGGTTAGTGGCACTCGCCAACGTTTTTATTTTTAATTTTTCATATAATTCTTGTTTTTGCGTTTTTCAACTCTTTTGTTTATGTGTGAGAAATAGCAGAGTTTACAGTGCGCGTCTTGTTTGTTATTGTTAGGGCGCCATGTGTGCATGAACGCACCTTGTCAGGCAGCTCATAAATATCATATAATATCATCATTATTAGCTATCTGCGGATCGCTGTTGACTCACCTTCTCTATGCTGCAGTTCGCACCAGCAATGATCTTTCTCGAATTGTGGAGTCCAACAATAATTTCCAACTTGTGTGCAGTCTATAGAGTCGCAGGAGCTCTGTGTGACGGCACGAGCTACCAAATAAGAGAGTGGGAGAGAGAAGAGTGAGTACACTTTACGGTCAAAGGCCCATTCCAGCGCATAGTTGTGCAAGCAACTGCAATCGGACGCTATCGCAAAGGGATCGTAAGTTAGAGGAGAATCGTGTCTTACTTGCATTCAGCTTTCGTAACGCCTGCTCAGCATCCAGTTCTGATACTTCATGATCAAATTTTAATTCCTCATAGCTTTCACTGATGACGGACTCCTTATCCGTTAGTTCCTCCAGAGAAGAGCTGTGCCCAAACATTAAGAGCAGACATAGCCACAGGAATGTTGCCTTCGATCCATTTGCTAGTGTATGGCAGGAACTACGTTTATCACTCGATTTATGAGATATAATGCAGTCGGAAGACTTCTCTGCAGTTTTCCTCATTGTTTTTGAAGTTTTTAGTCTGTTATATTTTAGTCACATTAATTGGTTTTTTTTATTCCAAGTAGTTTTGTTGTTGTTTGTGCTCGTTATTTGATATGGTTCTGTCGTAAGTCGTGCTAAGTGCTGGAGAGCACTGGATGGAGAAAAGAGACGTCATTATAATATATTGAAAACGCGGTCAAATAGCCTATAGAGTATGCCAAGCGTGTAAAATGTGCATTATGTATTGGGTTGCAACTGTACACAGCTGATTGGTTCGTAAATATTTAGCGCTCGACTATAGCTCAGATTCTTAACGCTTAAATTGGAAGTGAAACGAAATGCATAATAAACTTAGTAATTATTATGAGGGAAGCATATTATTTCTGTGGAACTCATTGATATTTTAACAAAACGATGAATACATTCAATTTTTTCATACTAAATCGCTTTTATACTTTTTCACTTTTTTTTTTAAATTTTCTTCTAAAGAATTTCCCCACTGCTTACTTCATTTGTTGTTATTTATTGTTATTATGTTTGTTTCCACACATCACATCAATTATTATTGCACATTTCTTGTATCTTTCAGCTCTTTGGTTACGAATAAGTTATTTGGACTTTTCAATTTAAAATACGAAAAAATTTCTTTGGTATTTGGCGCTTAATTTATTGTCCAGCGACTCGACGATTCGCCCATTCATAAATTAAAAGTTACATGGAACAAATGCTTCAAAAATCTAAGAAAATCATTTTTCAACCGAAAAAAGCGCGCGCGCGTTCGCGACGTCTTTCAGCATAAAGCGAACAGCTTAACGAAACGGTGGACAGGCAACGACTGCGACGTCCGCCTCGGCGTCCATGCAAAATCGTTCTGATCGATGCGTTGAAACGTTTCAAAGTAACGCGAACGTAACGCGTAACGTAACGTAACACGACGTGTTATTTAATATGTTTTTGCCTCTCAATATATTTAATATCATTAAATAAATACTGAATTGAATTCTTTGAATTGCCAAACAAATATTGAATGAAAAAAATGATTACTTTTGGCTTATCTTTAATATATATGTAGATACGAATGTGTACGCATTCATTTCATACGGTATTTATTTGCAAGCAACTTATACATTAGTATTGCTTGGTCCATTTAGTGAATGACACTTAATAATCTTTGATAATTTGTTGGAAATGAGGCGCAGCAGATTGTACAACATTCCTGGGCTGCCTGACACACATTGAAATATGCTTTTATAATTTATGTGAGCAAACTCGACGAGGCGAATCCCTTTCATTGGAGATCTGGGCACGAGTCTCATAATTTGTATGTATAAAAATACTCATCAACTATGTGTCGGGCAAGTTCTAACCATAGTCTGTTTTGTTTAGATAAGATTATGATGCTGCTGCTGCTGCTGCTGTTGCAACCTGTTGTACCACCCCTCCAGATCGTAAATCTTGACTAGCGTCTGCAGTTTTTTTCGGCTTTTGTTTGGAAAGCGAAAGTTTATGGCCGCCACTGTCTAGCATTACAAGACGACTATTAAATTCGTAATTCTGCTGGCCTACAAACTGTGGGCGGTTATTGTTTTCTTTATTGTGGCTGCCCAAAAAGCCTTTGGTTTACCTTGCAGAAATTTCCACTCAAAAATATGATGACATCAAAAATATAAAAAGAAATGAGTTAATTGAAATTCAGGCAACTCAATAAACAGGATTTTGAGGCAACTTAATAGTGTCAAGGTAAAGGGAAAGTCATCAGAATGATGATGATGAGGAGCTGGTTCCAGTGGGAGGCACGTCCAAAGAGGGCTGAGGTACATAGAGAAATGGCTATAATGTTCGTATGGCACGCAAAGTAATGAAATATATTTGTTAAATTTACATACAAATATTTCTTTGGTACTGATAAAACTGCTTTAAAAAATGTAATTCTATTTTATGATTATATTTCATTTTATCTGTATTTTTTAAATTTATTTTCAATTGTTTCTTCTAAACATTCTACAGTTTGAGCATCAGCTGCACAGTTTCAAAAGCACTGAGACTATAGCGCCCATAACAGCTGGCTTAAGTTATATTTCATTCGGACGCGTCATGGCAACACTTCTTTCAGAACTAGACAAAACACTAAAATTTATGATCATTTTCACACTGAACAATCAATCAGCAAATCGACCTGAATATAAATACATATGTATATATAAGAGTATATCATCATGAAAACTATTTATAATAGGCCCGCCCCATCCAGCAGCAACTACATTAAAATGCTCTCAAAGCGTGAATTTTTCAAATTGTTTCCTTGCCGCGGGGGATTTATCTTTGGCAATAGACTCGTTTTTTAAGATTTTAATCAGAGCACAAATTTGTCAATAATTTTCTCCTTTTTTTTAAACAAAGCACAAATAGATGGCGACGTACGATTTTCAATTTTCTGCTTTTTTCCCGTTTTTTACTTTGTTACAAAACTAGCTGCAGTTCAAGTTCGTTTAGTTTTCAATAATAATAGAGAAAAAACGCGCATAAGCAGTTTGCATTGTTATTGTTAATGTTACTCTGCTTTTTAAATGGAATAAACAATTTTTGTTTTTTTTTTTTTGAGATTTTTTTGTTCGTAGTAAACGAGACTCGGCAGGCGACTGAAAGCGTGACGCACTAGACGACGCGGCGATGCGGCGCCGACAGCTTGCGGCTATGGCAACAACTTCGTATATCCTTTGTCCTGAGTCCTTGCACCCTCTCAAGCCTAAAGACAAGCAACCCCTGCAAACTGGCTTTGCTTTCTGCTGGCAATGCCCTAGCGCAGAGCAATGGAGCGCAACAGAGCAAATGAGAGTGAGAGAGACAGGGACAGGGAGTTAGGGGAGCAAGAACCAGACAAGCTAACGGTAGCCTGTGTAATATAATATTCCTATCGTAAGCAACAGGCTACCCACATCAAACCCAAACAAACCTGCGCAACGGCGCAAAAGGAACAACCATCGCCAGGGACAACAAGTCACAGATATTAAAAGCAAAAGGAAAGTTTGTTTAGGTTGAGAAAATGCGAAATGGAAGATATATATATATAATATATATTAAATAGTGTTTGGGTAGGACGAGTAATAAATACTTGATAGATGGCAGACTGCTTGCGTGTGCAGACAGCAAAAGACGTGCAATGAAATTGCGAAAGGTTAAGGTAATTAAACTTGACTGAGTTATTGAGTGAAATAAATCTGGATTATGAATAACCTGATTAGAGTACAGATAACCAGGATTAAGAATTCCGTTTTCAGGATTTCGAAAACCGAATTTATTATATGATAAGAACGGATTAATATGGCATTTGTATTTTTTCTATATAACAAAGCTTAAGCCTATGGGATAGCCCACTTTCTTATCTTATCTTATTCTTGTCACCTTGGCATAGGACAGTTCTTGACTGTTCTAAATGCTCTGCTCGCCCTTCATTTGACAAATGACTCGCAATCGAACTGTGGCAGGTATTTGGCAATATCTAATGCTGCACTGTTCATAAATAAAGCTCTCGTCTCGCACCATAGAAATCGATTTAGCTATAGAATCTATAGAAATACCGAGCACACATTTCGTATGAGCAACGCATCATCTCAAGCAGTTAAGCGTTAAAGATTAGCCCCAGACAATGAAGACCCCAGCTGCTGCTGCTGGCGACTAGCTAATGATGAACTGACAGGCTGTGCCTGCCTTAGATAGGGGCAGTGGAGAGCATGCTTTGGTTCCAGCCAATGGCTGCTGATAGTGCTCTGATACGTGCCATTGGCACGAAGCCAATTCGATGCTTGACATTTATTATGATTGGCTTATTAGGGCAGCAACTCGCAGTAACAACCTGGGCCGTCATGGTGGCGGGTAGCTGGCGGAGGTTACAGGGTATCCGTGCCATGATGGCATATGCCAATGGTGCCATTAACAAACGGTCCGAGAGCCAAAGCAATTTTGTAATCGTTATGCGAAATGAGTATCAAAAGAAATATACTAAGAATGTTTCAGATTTATAAGCCAATATATAAATATTCCATAAATATGTATATAAAATGAAATTAATTGTAAATCAAATATCTTTAGCAAACAATCAACTACGTCAGAAATTCTGATAAACTTATATGGATCATATATATAGTTGTTAACAATATAAATTATAAATAATTTCTCATAATTCTCCGTTACTGATGCCTGCTTTTGTATATCATTTGATAATTTTTTTATTGAACTCTATTTAGTTATTTTTGAAATAAAACGAAATTGGCTATTTTAGAATACCAGAAAATATTGTTAAACTAATTTTGAAATCATTAGAAATACATATCATCTTTATAGATGTGTCATTCTATTGTACTGAAAGTACAATATAATATCACTATATGCTATATATAAATAGATATATGTAAAGATATATAAAGTAACCAACTCTAGCTTTATTGATACTTGCGGGTTTTTAACTTGAATTACTGTCAAGTAATTTCTTGAATAAAATATATAAATACTAATTTAAATCATAATAAAGTTATTATTAATAAGAATTCCACAGCTCATTGCGTATACTTAAGTCATATATGAAACATTTTTGGGGGCTCGCAACAGAAGGCAGGCAACGAGCGCGTGGCACATGAATATGTATGACACACACACACATATATATATACATATACATATATATATATATATATATATATATAAATATATATACAGGTTTGTTGGGGTGTAAACTATATATATACAAACCTGTAGAGCTTATGAATATTTAAGCGCCAACCGGCGAATAAAAATCCAAAAAGGCAAAAAAGCGAGCTGATATCAGTAACAATTTGGTTGCTTTGCATAATTTTCAGAATTTACGTTGAGCAAGGGGAAACTCATATAGTAGGGCAACAACTTTATAAGCAAAGATAAGCCCAAAACATAAATAACAGAACTTGCAATGTAATTGCGATGAACAAATAAACAAATAATATGCAGTTCATGATAACATGTAGCAGCACCTGTTCCAGTAAACAAATTCTGTAATTTGTATTTAAATATGCGAATATCTAAACGTATAATAACAATAACAGCAACAGCTAGATTCTTAATATATGTTAGCTTTGTGAAATACAGGTAAACAGAATACTAGTTTGACATATATTTAAATGAGCAGGATTTTCAACTGATCAACAAGATCAACAAGAACAGAGATCACTTGGCTATGGGGGGCCTATATAAGGCCAGATTTCAGCATGGCTTGGCCATAGTCTGTTTGTGAAGATCTACGGATCGTAGCCGAAGTCTAAAGAAAAAACTGTTAATAACGCGTGTGAGGAAGAATTTTGCATAAATTGAGTCTGAGTGATAATGGTAAAGATTTGTTTTTGAATATATTAAGTGTTTTTATATAATAAGACAAAGTGAAGGAATCATTCAAACATGAAAGTGTTTTAAATATATTTTATATGAATGAGAATATACCAATGCTGACATCTCCAACGAGCTTGTTGCCCAAAGATATCGATCGTGTTATATTTAAGTCTATCTACAACAATCAATCTTCTGCAGTCAACTAAAACTAATTGATTTCCTTTGCTCTAATATTTCTAATATTTCAGACCAGCTATACTGACAAAGGATCCAAAGTAAGTAATTCATAAATTGTTCAACTTGATAAAGAGTTAATAGCCTATGATTTTTATAGCCAGAAGCCGGAAAATTCTTAAGCTTTGATCATCTAACGTTCTACGTTGGCAACGCCAAGCAGGCGGCCAGTTATTATACGACCCGTTTGGGCTTTGAACCACTTGGCTATCAGGGATTGGAGACGGGCGAGAGACGCTATGCGAAGCATGCTGTGCGCCAGAACAAGATTGTCTTTGTGTTTGTATCGGCGTATGAGACCGATAACAAGGAGCATGGCTTGCACTTGATGCGCCACGGCGACGGTGTCAAGGATGTAGCCTTCGAAGTGGAGGATTTGAATGCAATCTTTAACCTGGCGGTTTCCCGTGGCGCCGAAGTTGTGCGCGACATCTGGGAGGAGAGCGATGACCAGGGTTTTGTGAGATTTGCCACCATTAAGACGGTAAATTATTGACTTTTGAGTATAAATTAAACTATTTATAATATGGAATTCTCTTACTTGCTTTGCAGTACGGCGATACGACTCACACTTTTGTGGAGCGCAATGGCTATAAAGGTGACTTTTTGCCTGGCTTCCAACGGAGTGTCAAGGATGTGTTGCTGGAGCATTTGCCGCCGGCAAAGTTGAACTTCATCGACCATGTGGTGGGCAATCAACCAGACTTGCAAATGGAGAGCGTGGCTGCGTGGTATGAACGCATTTTACAGTTCCATCGTTTCTGGTCTGTCGATGATTCTCAGATACACACGGAATACTCGGCGCTGCGCTCGATTGTCATGGCCAACTATGAGGAGACTGTGAAGATGCCCATCAACGAGCCAGCCAATGGCAAAAAGAAATCACAGATTCAAGAATATGTGGACTACTATGGCGGAGCAGGTGTGCAGCACATTGCGCTCAATACAGATGATATTATTGGAGCTGTCAGCAATTTGCGGGCACGCGGCACGGAGTTCTTGACCATACCTCCGTCCTACTATGATATACTGCAGGAGCAGCTGTCACATAGTCGCACTAAAATCAAGGAGGATATGGAAATACTAAAGAAATTGAACATTCTTGTTGATTTCGATGAGAATGGTTACCTGTTGCAGATCTTTACGAAGAACTGCCAGGACAGGCCAACGCTCTTCCTGGAGGTCATTCAGCGTTTTAATCATAATGTAAGATTTCCTTTCTGAACTGATTCAATTTGTTTTTGATTATCAATTTTATTCTAGGGCTTCGGCGCTGGCAACTTCAAGTCGCTATTCACTGCGATTGAGATCGAACAGGCCAAACGTGGCAATTTGTAACTTACGATTAAAATGCAATGATATGTTCATATAAATATACAGCGTTTGCAATTTCTGGGCTATAAATATCATCTAAGTCTTATTTCTTTCGCCGATCAACAAAGCGACGATCAACATGAACCTCATTGCGTGGATCTTCATCTGTAAATGAAATCATGTGCGGATTCCAAAAGCCAGGGGGTGTGTTGTTTTCAAACTCTCGCTCGTGTCTGCAATTATTTAGATACATTTGTATCTTTTCGTCACTCAAGTTCGTACCCATAAATGTGATGAACTGTAATCGAATGCACAAATTACTACGTTAAAACAAAGAACAAAGAGTATATGACAAACTTACCTTTTCGCACTGCGGGCAAGCAAAATTGTGGCGTTGCTTCAGGCTCATATCATGCTCCTGTTTGACTACAATGGGGCGCGGAAATACTTCCTCCTCCTCGTCTTCATCTTCTTGTTCATCATCTATTTCAAAATCGGCTGGAAGCTTGGTTGATTCATTGCCAAAAGGGGTTGGCAGCTCTGTTAGAGGCTCATGTTTTACTCTAACAAAGTCCGCAGGAGATTTCGCTTTGGCTGCCTCTAACTGGCGCTTTCTTATTAGCTCTGCTTCGAACTCCTGCAGCCTTGTCAGCGAAACTTTGTCGTCCTCTTTAATGGCCTCCTCCATAAAGTCCATAGTGTTTAGCGTGTTGTCCGTAATACTGTCATCAACGAACACAATATCCTGTGTGCCAGGTGTGAGTAGAACTACACTTGATGTATCGGAAGCGCCACTCAAAGGGGGTAGAGTTGCTCCCGAAGCTGGCTGATGGCCTGACGGATCTGGACAAAGTTCAAAGAATGTTTCATCGTCATCCATTTCAAACACAGGCTTCTTATTACTGATTGGTGTCTTGGCGATGTTTGCGGCAGGTTTGATGTCTAAGGCGTTTTTGTTGTCGGCTCTGCAAACTTATTAAAGGTTACTCTTTGTTATAATAGAACTTAATATATTAACCCAGCATACTTACCTCTGTAAAAGCGAACGTGAATGCTTCGCATGTTTTAGCGAGGAATATAAATTTGGACTGGATTCAATAATATCTTTATCGCAGGCTGTATTGTTGCTCTTGCCAGCATCAAATTGCAAACGGGTCTGTTTTAGTCTGGGTGAATCACTACGTATTGTCAGCGACATTTTTGTCTTGCCCATTGGCAGCCTGTCTTTAGGTACTTTGCCCAGCCAGGGGTTGTTGGCATCTGTTGATTTTGCTGCTGCTGTTGATGTGATTGTCGGTTGCTCGTTTTCGCAATTTCGTGTGTTTGATTTGCGACGCATATTCCAGGGCTTGTACGGACTGATAGGTGGCTCCGTTTCTGTAATGATTTCTTCCTCGTCCTCATCTTCATAGAGAGCTATATTCATATTCAGTGAACTCTGACTCTCAGGCAGCAATGGAGACGTCTCCGCTTGTTGTGTGTTGCTACGTTTTATTTGTTGTTTTTTGGGCGACAGTCTACGACGTTTGGGACTTGACTTGGCGCGTTGCTCATGTCCCTGTCGCAAAATATCGAGTGCATTATGCAGTTTTTCATTACGCTTGTTTAATAGTCGAATTGTGGTTTCCTTTTCCACACACAGATCCTGCATCACTATAAAAAACAACATTAAATCTGCACCACCTCAAAGTGAACAAAGCGGCTTACTCAAAAAGTGTTCTTTAATGGCATCCAAAGCTTTCATAAAGCATTTTGCTGTTTGCTCACTTTTGCCTTCACACGTTGCACACTTCATATTAGGAGCACGAGTTGGCTTTATTACTTAGAAAATAAATATATGAGTTCTAATCTGTGACTTATTTTGGGTGGCAAAATTCTGTAAGACTAGGGATGGAAGCTCAAATATAAATTTAAAAACGTAAGGGCTGTTCATTGTCTGGCAACTCTAGCAACCAGTGCTTGTTAACAGCCGAGTTACAGTGCTAATAAGCGACAGAGGTAAATCTATTCATTATCGTGTTGATTTTTAGTTGCAAAATATAATTTCAATCAATTAAACTTTAGATGGCACACTTGCGTGAAAGCACAGACAAGGCTTTAAAGCTTTTACGTACCTTGCCGCGCGTACAGATTGGCAATCTGCGACCAAATCCCAACTCGAAACAAAACGTGAGTTGAACCAGCGGCCGGTTAAATAACATTACAATCACTTAAAAGTTCTCATAACACTTTGTTCGATTTCTAGGACAAACGCGGTCGCGCTCAGCATGGTGGCGACAAACACGGTGCCGGCAATAAGGGATCTGGCCAGCGACAAAATTTTATGCGCTTAGGTTACGAAACTGGCAACCAACCCTTCTACTTGCGCTTTCCCTACGAGCCATACTACAAGGGACACCACATGCGCCGAGAATATCCCCCCATTTCGATGCTACAACTACAGGTGCTGATCGACACGAATCGCATCGATATTAGCCAACCGATAGACATCGCCACCCTATGTAATTCTGGTCTAATGTCTCTGAAACCTGCAGAACTTCAGTATGGATTTCAGTTGACAGACGATGGATTGGACAATTTCAAGGCCAAGATTAACATCGAAGTTCAGCATGCCAGTGAAGCGGTCATAGCAGCTGTGGAACGCAATGGTGGCGTTATCCGCACTGCTTACTATGATCCACGCAGTCTTCACATACTGTCCAATCCGAAAAAATGGTTCGAAAAGGGATTGCCTATACCACAGCGCATGCTGCCGCCACAAGATGCTGTTGAGTATTATACTGATGCCAAGAATCGCGGCTACTTAGCGAATCCCGAGGAGATAAGTAAGGAACGCTTAGTTCTGGCACAAAAATACGGTTACGAGCTACCCCGTATCGAGGATGATGCCAACTATAAAATGCTCACAGCAGCCAAGGATGCACGACAGCTGTTCCATGGCTTGGAACCAGGATGGCTAATTAATTTAGTAGACAAAACAATCGTTAAGTTAAAAGCAACATAAACCTTTTTTGTTTGTTACTATACTTTGTTAAATAAAGATTGTATTGTAAAACGGTGTTTTGGTTACAGAGAATACTAGTATATATATATATATCTATCCACTAATTGTCATTTTATATAAACACCTGTTTAGCCGATAGATTCTCCATAAAGGGCTTGACCAAGAAGTTTGTGGCGAAGCAAAAGATCAGACCAAAGGTTATAGAAATAGGCAGAGCGGGCAAGGCCTTGCGCCAAATGGCCAAGAGCAGCAGAGTCAGGCAAAGGCCAACCAATATGGCCACGAAGCAGGCAATTGTAGTCGTCCAGTCGCCATAGGTGGATGCCTTACCGACCAGCACAGAATAGAAGATGAAATCGCCCAGACCAAGCTTGATGCCACCTATAAATTAAACAAGATGGTAATATTTAGTATAGATGCAAGAATATTTCTGCTTTGTACACTTACGTTCTTCCTGAGTCTCCGGTTGTTGTTGTTCGGGCGCAGGTACTGTGCGGTATTCATTGGCTCGACGTGGATTGCCGCTTTGTGTGCTTTGTACCTCAATTTGGCGCCTCGCCACACGGTCGTTTAGATTCGCAGACCATTCCTGTGTAAAACCTGCTGCTTCCTCTGTAAAGTGATTCAAAATATTTAAATGTTATTTCTAAATACGTTCAAAGTAGATTTAAACATGTTCAGACACCACGTAACTTATTAAATTAGAAGAAATAAAAGCATACGCTAGTATTTGTAGTTAAAACAGAAAACTGATAATACAATCAATTCTCAAATTGAAAGGTAATCTAATTTAGGGGCACAAAGCAAGTTTACAATACACAAGCCAACTAAGCTTTTAAGAGGTTAATAAAAATAATAAAAAATAAATGCATATGTACCGTTTCCGTGCAAATTTCTTTTAAATGTCACAAGTGGCATACCTTCAGCAGCCGCCTGATTGTCCTGCTGGCGTGGATTGCCGCGCGAGGAACTTGCACGCGAAGTACTTGGACGACAGTTGCTGGAACATGTCGGCTGTTCCGGCGAAGCCAACGAGTTGTGTGTGGTTCGCGTGGTCGCAGTAGAATTACTATTTGACGGCGATGATGAAGCTGTTGGCTGTGCCTGGGGTTGCGATTCGGATTGTGATTGCGGCTGCTCAGGTGCATAGTGTGTACCCATATAGGTGTAAATGACAGTGGCTGCAAAGACATTGGCAATGAGGCAGTGATTTAATCGCGCATCAGCTTACTTACAGGAATATATCAAAGCAGGAAAGATCTGCTCGTTGCGCTCCTGTGCGGTCTCTACCAATATACGCAGAGGTCCCCGGGGTGATAATACAGCTATGAGATCTGTAATCCAGATATAAATTAAAAACTAGCCAAAAATATAGAAAATGAGCAAAACTATACCCCATACGGAGATGGCTGCTAGCACAGCCCACGCTGTCCACTCCGGCAGATATTTAATAAACACCAGTGCCATCAAAGCAGCTACGAATATAAGATAACCCTGTTGCAATCGCAATGGGCCCTGCCAATGTATGGCAATCATGCCAGCTACGCCAAAGTTCCACATAATCAGCACAGCCGTTGGATAGTCCATAGGAATGTTGTATGCACGGAGCAACTCCTCCAAGTACAAGTAAGAGAAAATAAATAGGAGCATAAACGAGGAGAGTATAAGCCATCCGTGTATGACGCGATAGCAGCGTTTCTTGTACAGGACAATTAGTAGTATGGTCATTACAACCACCACGCTCATAAGTATCAAGGAGTTGCCTAAAGCATTCCAAAACTTAATACTCGGCTCCGGCGATAGCTCATGAAACGGCGTGTAAAGTCTGTCAAATAGAAGGTGAAATGTGAGACATAAATATTGCAAGTCTCTTGCGGACTACTTACAGATAAACATCCGTGCTGTTGTAGAAGCTGATCGAGTTTATGGTGGCCACAACCACCAGCATGCACAGCGAAACTGGTACGAATAACTTTATGACATGTTGGGCACCATATTTGAGGCCCTGTTCCTCTTCGACAGGTTGTCCACATTCACCATCACCGCCGCCACCGCCTGCGTTAAGTCTTGAAGGCCGAGATGCGGATTCGCGAATGATAACACTGGGCACGGCTAGCACAGCCTACAGAATACATAAATATTAGATGTATAATTAATACAAATAATATATGAACTAACCCCATCAGCTTGATCTGCATTGTTGATTCCCTCCTGCGCATTAGAACCGTAATTGCTGCGTTGTTGTGATTGTTGTCGCCTTGGAGGACGCTCCAAACGCTCTGCTGCGCCGCTCAGGCTGCCATCAGCGCCAGCCGACGCCGCCGACGATGACGACGAAGATGGAGCTACGTGTGCGTCCATGAGCGGTGTGCGTTCGTTAGCCGCCGCCTCCTCAGCGTTTGTAGACGCCCACCTTGATGCCGTAGTTGGATGACGCTACTTTAAATGTTCGCAATATGGAGACCGTCAGTATGATGATTGAATGAGTGTGATGACTTAAATATTCTCTACATACAATTACTGGTATTAAAAATTAAAAGCCTGTCAGCTTGAAAAACTTTCTTCAGTTTCCGAACGACTCATTGGCTGTTAGAGATGGGCAGCTCAAAATATAAATTTATCGAATGTGTCAGTGCACACAAAACAAATAAATTTCAAAACAGTATTTGAATATCTTTGTAACAAGAAAACAATTGCATCATTGACTAGTTAGTCAAAAATAAAATAAATGTAAAACTCATAATTATGACATAGTTGCAGCAGGTTTGAGCATATTTTGCTTATAACATGACGTCACAATATTTGATATGTACACTTGATATCCACAATCTATCGATTAATAGATATTCTTATTAGCATTCGATATGCAGCTGTTGAACAAGCTCAGTGTTCTAATAAAAAAATAAAACGACAATCGTATAATTTTTTATTGCACAATAATTTGCTGAACTTAACGTTTTAAATACTAGCCAAAAATAATAAAAAAGTATAAAGGGCCAATTACAATTTACCGAACGTACACGGTTCGCAACAAAGCGAAATGAAAAGAATCTAAACGCTGCATTTTCTACCGGCCTTTCGTCAATATCTTGTTGCACTTGGAACTCAATGAATGCATGGTAAACGTGTAACGAATTGATATTTTACATTGTTATCATTTTTTTATTCGTGTGGGTTCAGTATATAGTGCTGCTTTGTTATATGTACCTGCTTAAATGTTCAGTTGAAATTCACAAATAACTATAAGAAAAATATGAAATTTGAGTGTTTGCTGCTGTTGTCGTGGCTGTGGGCAGCAGCAGGCGACGATGACTCGCTCGTCGCCAAAGCTCGCTTACGCCGCGCCTCTATTGTGGTGGACGACGGCAAGGCAACAGATGCCCAGCAGTTGCACAGCATCATCGATCTGCCGGACTGCCAAGATCTGCAGAAATATTGCGCCCAACAAAAGTCAACTGACAATTTGGCCATATTGGAGTGCGCCTTGAGCTTCAGTTCCAGCCAGTTGGAGGCACTGCCCGACACCTGTCAACACGCACTCTGGCTGCAACAACGTCAACTGCAGCTCAATTCTTGGGTGGAGCACACATTTCTGCCCAACTACTGTAGCGATGAGCAGACAAAGCTATTAACCTGCCTTAACTCGGTCGATCTGTGGGCTTGCTTGGAAGATAAACGTCAGCAATTGCCACAAAGCAGTAGCTGCCAGCAGCAGTTACGTCGTGCGCACGCGTCTCTAGGTCAGGATTATGCCAGCATTGGCGACTTCTATGTAGCCTGCGGTGGGCAGGTGGAGCAGCTGAAGTGTGGACGCATGAATGTTGAGCATTTGCCAGCGATGCTCTCTCAGCTGGGCACGGCACAATGCCTAGTGGCGCATACTAGCCAATCGACTCCCATGGACATCAACTGTAAAGTGGCTATCAATGCCATCGAGCAGCAACGTGGCATGTTGGAACTGTTTCGAGTGTGCACTGGGGATCTAGCGGCGCTCTGTCCACAAGTAGGCTAATAATTAAATTCCATTACAACTAACTTATGATCTCTTGCACAGGAACGCGCCGGTTCGGCAGGCTCCTACAAGTGCCTGGTCCGGCACAAAAACGACCCAGCTTTGAGCAGCCAATGTGCTACGCAGATAACATTGCGTGATCAGCAAATGGGCAAAGATTATAGAGTTTCGCATGGTCTGGCTAAGGCTTGCAAGGATGACATTAAGTTGCATCACTGTCGACGCGGCGTTTCCGAGGACAAGCAGGTGCGCCTGGCGCAAATCTTGCTCTGTTTGGAGTCCGTGTCGAAGAATGGAACGAAACTTGCACCCGAGTGTCTTGTGGAACTGGATGATCATCGACGCATGCTTATGACCGACTTTCAGCTCTCGCCCGAGTTGCTTAGCGATTGCGCCGATGACATACCCAAATTTTGTCCAGACGAACACAAGTCGCAGCTGGTTAACGGCCTCTCCAGTTCTGGTGGGGAAATCATTCACTGTCTTATGTATCATGTGCGTGCAAGGCGACCACAGCGACGTGTCACGGCTCAATGCCAGCGTGGCCTCGAAACATTGATCAAGGTGAGCGATGCGGGCGAGGATTGGCGTGTCGATCCTGTGCTGAGACGTGCTTGCAAGAAAGTAGTTGATGTTGCCTGCAAGGATGTGGAAGGCGGCGAAGCACGTGTCATGAGTTGTCTAATAGAACATATAGGCACGCCCGCTATGCGGCCAGAATGCGAGCAGGCGCTGCTTATCATTGAGTATTTCGTAGCGCGCGACTTTAAACTCGATCCACAGCTCTACAAACACTGCCGCGACGATGCTGTTAAGTACTGCCGTGCCAAGCACCAATGGGACGATATACAAGATGTGCAAATGGATCCCGAACGTGGCCCCATGATATTGCCCTGCCTGCATCGCATGGCCTACAGCGAGGACGAGCATCATACGCTGCGGAAGGACTGCTTCAGGGAGGTCAAACGTGTAATGCGCCAACGTGCTATCTCTGTAGATCTTATACCAGAGGTAGAGGATTATTGTCTCTCCGATTTGTCACAGTTCTGTGGCGAGCTCACCGAAAAGGGTTCCGAAATGGAATGCCTGCAGAACAGGCTTGAAAAACTTCAGCCCGAGTGTAAGGCTGTAGTAACCAAATACACAGAGGAGGAGGCAGCCAACATTGAGATGAATCCGGTTATCATGGCAACTTGCTCGGAGGCAATGCAGAAACATTGCTCTGAAATACTTAATGCTGGCAAGGATGGCGGTTAGTCTAGTTAGTTTACTTACTGTTCCACACTTAATGCTCCCTTTCCTTTAGGCAACATGATGGACTGCCTGATTTCGCACAAAAACGATGCTGACTTGAACAAGGGCTGTCGCGCTGCCATCGAACACTTTCAAATTATCTCTCTGAAGAGCTACCATTTCACCACCAAATTCAAAGAGGCGTGCCGTCCACATGTGTTGCGCTTCTGTGGTGCGAGCGCCACTAAAAACGAGGTTGTCGCCTGCCTCAGTGAGGTCATGCGCAACGATACGATACGTGCTCAGCGGCATCAAATACCTAAGGAATGTAGACAGCAGGTCAAGTCTCAGCTGTATCAGCAGCGCGAAAGTATTTCGCTAGATCCCAAGTTGGCTAGCGTTTGCAAGAATGAATTGAAAGAGTTCTGTGCGGATCAGAATGGCCCCGGTCAGGTGAATAAAAATGCAAGTCATCCAAGTCAAGTCATTATTAATCCACTAACCACCAACACACACCCAATGATAAACTTAGAGCAGCGAGTTCGTGTGAAGCGTAATAACTAAATTCGATTCTCTTACAGGCCTTGGAGTGTCTGATACAGAAAACATCGCGCCTGGGCAAGAACTGTCATCATGCGATATTCATGATCAAACGCTCGGAGCTGGGCGACAGTGGCACGGACTATACGCTAGTCAACACCTGCAAGGAAATGATCTACAAATTCTGTCCCAACACTGAGTCCATGCAGCTGCTGAACTGTTTAAAGACTTACAAGGATGATCCCAGCTTTGATCAGCGCTGCCATTTGGTAGTCGTCAATCGAATGATCGAACAAAATACAGACTTTCGTTTCAATCCGACGCTGCAAAGTGCCTGCGGCAAGAACATTGATCGTTACTGTTCCAATATTGTCATACAATCACAACCGAATGAGGAGCTCAATGGCAAGGTGAGCATTGAAAAGATTATAATTTTATATGAGATATGAGGAAGATAAAGGAATGTAAACATTAGATTCGATGTGACTAGGTCTGATTGGGATATTCTGTCTAACTTTAGAGTATTACTTTATATAAAGCTAATCGTCAAATGAATCAAATCCTTTCATACTCAAGGCTTAAACAACCGCTAGCCATTTATTAATTAATTGTCTAAGACACATTCTGATCCTTTTACTCAAGCCTAATTCAGCTCGATTAATATTGCATATATTGTATATTTTTTATATACATCAAACTCTTAAAAATCCACATTTTTGCGCTCTAAGCGCGAATTGTCTGGATCATCAATTGTTGCTGTCAGCGTTTGCAGCAAATCTGCATCATTCGTTATCTGAAGTCCGAGGCGATTATATGGTCCACTGGGACTGGTCAGAGCATTCAGATCTTTGGGCACGCCGCTTATGGCAAACGATGTCCACAGCTCGACCATGTTCTGTGCCATGAGTGTGTCCTCCATTTGCAGTGGGTGGGTGGCAAATAGGTATATATTGTCGTTGGAATGATGCACGCCACCATTGAAGGGATAGTGCTCATTGCCAAACTCGTAGCCAAAGCGCGTATGTTCACCCTCGTACTCAAAGCTGTAGACATAGACAGGAGCATCTGGTCGATGCGTGTGCAGCTTGCTGGCCAGGCTAATGACAGGCGACTTCATATAAATTGTCGACGTGAGCTGTGTGAACGAAGAAAGAGTTAATTAACTAAAGTTCGATTTTAAGCTCCAATGACTCACGTCAAAATAAGCAGGCAATGCAGCTTTGTGGGCGTAGCTGTCCAACAGCTGCGGTGTATAGAGCAGGCGATATAATAAATTATCTGCGAGACCCGTTGAATCCTTAGCGAGGTCCATTAGGCCCTGTGTAAACTGGCGCACGCTTAGAGCGCTTACATTGCCGATCTGGGTTACCAGAGCATCGTAATATGCTTCAAAGGATTAGATTAAAGATATAGCAAAGAGATTCATTTGTAATGTTTGACTACGCACTGGCAAGCACAAAGGAGCCATCGTGCTGCGTAAAGCCTGTCATGAGCGGCACAGCACGTTGACGCCGCTTGAGCAGTTCCTCTGGATGTTGTGGCAATATGCCCTGTAGATCGCCCACGAGCGGAGCGAAACTCTCAGCCTTGGTAGCCAGTAGCAGCTCCAGCACAGATGCAGAGCGCACGCAGCGCAAGAGCTGTTCCTGCTCCTCGCAGCGCTCGCAGTGCAACTCCTTGCAAATTCTCTGTGCCTGCTCAGTGGGATCCTTTACTAAAGCCCAGTTGGCGAATATCGAACCGGATTGCACAATAGCGCGCTGAAAATGCTGCTGGGAGGTGCGTGGACTTAGCAGCAAAGCGCTGGTGACGCCCGCCCCAGCACTCTGGCCGAATATGGTCACCTGGCTGGGATCGCCGCCAAATCGCTGAATATGACGCTGCACCCAGTCTAAAGCCAAGAGTATATCGCCTATGGGCGCATTGCCAGGCAATGGCTCGGTGAGCGTTGAGAGCCAACCCAAAGCCCCGACGCGATAATGTGGCACAACCAAAACGATATCACGCTCCAGCAAATAGTTCGGCGGATGATCTTGCGATGAGCCATTGTAATAGCCACCTCCATACACATAAAACATCACTGGCTGACGCGCGGTGAGCTGTAGGGAGAAACAAAGAATCGTCCGACTTATAAAAACACCTTTCCATGCGATTCTCAAAAGTCAGAAGTGAAGTGTGCTGATTAAAATCTTTCCAGCCATATTTCAATTTCATGCATCGTTAGACGATTTATCGCCAATTGAATTGCAACAAGCGCAACAGCTGCTTAACACTATTTTCATTAGATAGCTAAAAATAGGGACTTAAGTGATCTGACTGATTTATGTTCAGCTCATCGAGTAATGAACTCGATCTAATCTTTATCAACTTAAATGCGTAAATTGCTTGAAGTTAATTATGACTGGTTCAAAAGTAATTAGTAACTTAATCTTAAAACAAATTTGATTAGAATCTAATTGAATTACTTTCATGCATTTGGATGGCACTTTCAAAAAGCTTTAAGCAATTTCGATGCAACTTACATTCTTGGTGTAGACGCACAGATTTAGGCAATCCTCTAGCTGAGCATCGGACATCTTGGCATCCAAATTGGTTATCACCGGGCAGCGTTGGCCAAAGTCCAAGGTATCGAGCGTCTCGGACCAGGGGGAGCGAGCAACCGGTGGCTGTGTTTTGTTTTTGTTTTGTGGAGGGGAACAAAAATATATAACGTCATAAAGGTCGTTTATCAGTTGTCGTATCACTAGTCGACAAATTGGACTATTAACCCACACGAAAGCGCAGATTTCCAACGGGTGCCTCTGCATAGGGTATACCACGGAACTGCATGAACGTCTGCCCTGTCCACGCTGTCTGGCCGTAATTGCCGCGCACTGCGCCCTGCTGTCCCGACAGATCTACTGTCATCGTTGACATTGGCGTTTGGGCATCCGCAACCGCATTCAGCGAGACCAATAGCCAGCCGGCAAGGCCAGCAAGCCCCAATCCGCAAAGAGTTAACATCACGTATACGACTCGTCTACGCATCGAATTGAACTGAACAAACGAAACGTTCGAGCCCAACTAGCTCGACAATTGCGATCGTTTATTACGGTTCGTTATCGCTGTAAACATGTCTATCAACAGAGCTAGCAAGAATATTATATTATATTCTATATAAATCGGAAAATGCATGAAAATGAGTTAGCGCAGGCTATTAACGTTTCAGATAACACGAGTCTAATTGAAATAGAAGCAATCTTGATATGGATTCTCTTTACTAAATCAAATTATAATTGGTTAATTACATTTCCCTTGCCTTAGGTTATTAAATGCCTAAAGGAAAAATTCAGACAATCAAAGCTGGATAAACAATGCGCTCAGGAAATGATCAAAATACTGCAGGAGCAGGCATTGAACTATAAGTTGAATCCTGTGCTGCAGCACTTCTGTAAGTCTGAGATACAGGAACTCTGTAAAAAGGATATGGATGCCGATGAACATGGCCAGGTCGAGGAATGTCTGAAGGCCGCCTTTCTGCGCAAGCAGCTCATCAATCGCGAGTGCCAATTGGAGGTTGCTACGCTGATTGCCGAAGCCAAGGCGGATATTCATGTTGATCCCATACTGGAAATGGCTTGTACTGTGGATCTTCTGCGCTATTGCGGGAATGTTGCCAGTGGCAATGCACGCAGTAAGTTGGCTTGAATACTCACATATTCCAGTATTTAGTATATATATTTTCTCTCTGTTCCATCTAGAACTAGATTGCCTGCGCAGATTGTTGCGCGTGTCGCCAAAATCACTTGAGTCGGACTGCCGCGAGAAGCTGCAGAAACGTATTGAAATGTTTCGGAATGCGGACGATACGCTGGCTCTGCCATTGGAGGATATGGGACAGCTGGTGCAGCAGGTGGTCGCATCACCGGCACGAAAGTTCTTCCTTGTGATATTAATGAGTGCCACGGGCTTAGTCTTTCTGACTGGCATCTTCCTTGGTCGCGCCACCAAACGTGCAATGGGCTTAAAGAATAAATAATGTAAACAGACTGTAGTTGATAATTATGTAATAATAGTTGAACTGTAGTATCGTGAAATGTGTGTAGGTTAAAATTGTGCGCTTCCCAAATTCATTCGCGCTTTCCTTTTACGATTTTTTCACCTCTTCCATTGGAATCTGCTAGTTTTTTGAGAGCAATTTGTGGCTTAATCGTTTATAAGACCAAAAAAGTGTAATTAATTTCGCAGAAAACATAAGTAACTAAGTAATTTGTATGTTTTATTATTTCTTGTGTACTCAATTCAACTGTAAAATAAATTGTATTTTTATAAATAAAATTTAGTCGTTACTGTTTTAATTTTAAACCCCGCGCTCCGCTGACGAAATTATCGCAATTCTTCGTAATCGACGAATAACTATCGATTTACAAATGAAGCCAGCAATGGAGGACATTCATTACCAGAATAGCGACTGTCACACCATTTTATAGCGTTGCCACAAAGCTAAAAGTTTTTATCGAAAGGTTGAACATTTTTCGCTGCTGCTCTAAAGGTCATTCTAAATGGCTTTAGATATTTAATATAAGTGACATATTTAAGGTCAAAGTGTAAAGTAAACATAACATTTGTTCTTCGAGCTCGAAAACAATGTTTTTAAAACATTTCCGAGACGTTTAATACGATTAAAACAAAGAGCGCACGTATGCACACGCATACATGCACACAAGCGTAACGAAAAACAAGTTCTAATAGGAAAGGCAAACTAACACAAAGAAGCAACAGCTTGCAGTCTTCACTTGGGCTTCATGATGGGCACAAGCAGCGGCATTAAACTCGAAGGTGAGCCAGGCTGAAAAACTTGTAATGCGTGTAAAAATGTGTGTTATTTCTCGTTGTATTTTTTTTCTTCTCTTCTTTGATCTTATTAGCAGAGAGCCGAGCCATGGGCCTGAATCACCCAAGCGGCAGCAACAACAGCAGCAGCAGCAATGCAGCAGCAGTTGCAGCCGGAAATGCTGCCAGCTCGGCGGCTGCCGCTGCTTCTCTCTCATCCGTGGAATTGTGCCTGGTGTGCGGAGACCGTGCTTCCGGTCGTCATTATGGCGCCATCAGCTGTGAGGGCTGCAAGGGCTTCTTCAAGCGTTCGATTCGCAAGCAGCTGGGCTATCAATGTCGCGGCGCCATGAACTGTGAGGTGACCAAACACCATCGCAACAGGTGTCAATTCTGTCGGCTGCAAAAGTGTTTGGCCAGCGGCATGCGAAGTGATTGTAATTTTCGTTTAAGTCGTCGTCTCAAAATTTCCCAAAACTCAAACCAACATTGCACGCACACTCATACATCCCCAAATCCCCCTCCACAAATCCATTCTCACAAAAGCACACTCGCACACACATTTACACACTCACGCACTCGCACACACAGAATGCGACATTTGTTTATTTTATTAATTTCATTTTTTTTGGCTATGCAAGCGCACATCTGGTAACTTTGTTTGCTGACATTCTATGTACAGTGGTAGTCGGCGCAGTGCTGCCACCTGGCTATCCATATTGCTTGCATTAAGCGTGCTATCATTAGGCGACAAATTTCCAATTAGATTTATTACTTATGTGAAGTGTAATTGAATTCAATTTGAAATATTGAACGTACGCTTCTAATTTGATTCGATTTAAAAATATTTAATTATAAAAAATTGTCAAAATAATTATATAATTAACTATTTGTTTATAGATCATTGGACTAGATTTTAAAGCAGTCGCTGCTACCCATACTAATTCAGCATGCTGCATACCTGCATACATACGCACACACATACACATAGACACACCCACTGCACATCTCTCCACAACTAGCTGCACATCATGTACCGTTATTTGTCTGCAGCACTTTACTAACTGCTTTCTCTTTACTTTACTTTTCCATGCCATCATCATCGGCAGCCGTGCAGCACGAACGCAAACCGATTGTGGATAGAAAAGATGGCATAATCTCTGGTGCAATGGGCAATGTGTCGGGCTCGTCGGGCAATGCAGGTGGCCCCACCAGTGTCTCCTCGACTGGCAAGTCGAGCTATCAGCAGGTGCGTGTGAAGCAGCAGCAACATGCATCGGCAGCAGCTGCGGCTGCTGCGTCGGCTGCATCCGCTGCATCACTCTTTCAGCATGCAGCCACGCCCGCCGTAGGCAACACACCAACAACGCCCTTTGGGCTAAGCGAGAATCTGTTCCCAATGAGTCTGAATTTTGCGGAGCTGACACAAACGCTGAGTAAGACCAACTGCAAATTATGCCTATTAGATTCTTATAAGCAAACATTTTGCTTGCAGTGCTCGCTTCGCAGCAACAACAGCAGCAGCAGCAGCAACAACAGCAACAACAACAAGCAGCCAGCAGCAATGCAAATAGTCACTGTTACTCTATAGAGCTGACCAAGCCGGAGCTAGAGGAGGATGACGATGATTCCATGGACAATAGCAGCACCTTGTGCCTGCAGCTGCTGGCGAACAGCGCCAGCAACAATAATTCACAGCATTTAAATTTCAATGCAGCAGCTGCTGCTGCCGCAGCAGCCGATGCGTCCACTATACCCACTCCCGCCACGGTGGGTCTCATTCAGAGCTCGCTGGACAAGCGAGCCATAGATAAGGCGCTGCAACTGCTGCAGCCCATACAGCAGCAGCTGGACAGAAATCAGACTGGACAGACCACAGCTGCATCGCTGAGCATAAAGCCCGAATGTGATTCGGATGCAGAGGACAGTGGGACTGAGGATGTGGACACTGATCTGGTCGAGCACATGGACTTGGATTTTGAGTATTGTCATCGTGGCGATTTTGTAGCCAATGAGGCGATATTTGCACAGGATCTGTTTGCCTCCGAGGCGCAGTGTGCCTTCCTGGTGCAGCCGCCCACGTTGGTCCATTCGTATCTCAATATGCACTATGTATGTGAAACCGGTGCCCGGATCATCTTTCTGACTGTCCATACGCTGCGCAAGGTGGCCGCCTTTGAGCTGCTCGATGCGCACACTCAGATGAAGCTGCTGCGGGGCGCTTGGCCCTCGCTGCTCGCTGTGGCGTTGGCTCAGTGCCAACGTCAGCTGGCGGTGCCCACTATCATTGGGCAGTTGGTGCAGAGCGTGCGCCAGGTGGCGGACATTGATAAGATCGAGCCACAGAAGATTGCAAAGCTGGCCCAGATCACGCGCACTCTGCACGACTTTGTGCAGGAGCTGCAGACGCAAGATGTGACTGACCTGGAGTTTGGACTGCTCCGTCTCGTGTTGCTCTTCAATCCGTTGATGCTGCAGCAGAATCGACGCGAACGCTCGCTGCGCGCTTATGTTAAACGTGTCCAGCTCTACGCTCTGTCCACGCTGCGTCGTCAAAGCGGCGGCGAAGAGCGTGCAAATGGATTATTTGCTAGTCTGTTGCCGTTGAGCGTGCTGGAGTCGGAGCTAACCGAGGAACTGTTCTTTGCCAATCTGGTAGGACAAATGCAAATCGATTCGATGATACCCTTCATCCTGATGATGTGCAACAGCAATGGACTGTAGTGGAAAGGGAGACGACCCAAAGCAAGACTGATTGGAGGCAGAGAACGTGGGTGGCAAGGGGCCAAAACTGCGCCAAGTGCGGACAATACTTAGCTTATAGCATATAGAAATTATACAAAATATGATTGAAACCAGCTTTGAAATTCATTTTTCTATTAAAAAAGTTGAACTTTAACTTGTCTTTTTTCAAATTAGATCAAAATTCTAATACGAATATACGAATGCCAATAAGATACCGTATAACAGCTGGCAACGCCAAAAGCGGCTAGTTATAAGTAGAAAAGGGGAAGGGGCATTTGGTATTTTCCGGAATCTGGTTAATAATTCAAATAAGATGCAAATGCTAATAAGATGACAATAAGAAATAAACAATGACGTTTATCTAGTGAAAGTCCTGGCATGTCTTACAGCCATAAATGCTGCACTTTAATAACTTTTAAAACTAAACTAAAACAGACAAATCTGTTGCTATTCCTCATTGAGCGGTCTCCTCGTTGCTTTGCGTCTTCTTCGTGGGGCGATGGCTGTTGTGCACCTTGTCGTTGTGGCCCTCACGATTTCGGGCAATTTCAATGGCCAAGAACTGAACGCGAAAGACGAATATCGAGTTGTCTGGTGAGAATTCCTTGCTGGCGTCAGCACGCATCAGAGTACCATACGAATAGTCTTCCATTTTATTGAATTTCTCAGCAAATTGACGCCATTTCAACTTTTCTGCCGCCGATTTGAGAGTTTCATCGCTGAGTCGAGCCACCTGCAAATCGGGAAAGTCTTGGCGAAAGGTGGCATAGATTTGATCATCGTATGGCGTCAATCGCAGCTGTGTGGGCGGCACACTTGTCAGGAGCTATACGAACATGTTGACTCTCATAATTTACATATTTTAAAGTTTACAATTTATTCTACTTACATTAAAATGCACTTCGGCATGCTCGAGTGCTTTGGCCGCCCACATTTCCTCCACAAGCGAATCATTTCCGAATTCGTCGGCTGGCCTCGAAAGTAGTGACGCGCCATGCTGTGTTCATTAAATACTATAATTTACTTTAAATTAATATTTATATTGCTCAACGTACCAATAATTCCATTTTCTATTGTGTTTATTAAAAAAAACTGCACGTTTCAGCGGCTCCAATCACAATGTGCGCCGACGATTGCACTTATCGATAGCTAAAATATAATCGATAGTTCACTGATGCAGACTTCAATTTGAATACCGATCAGTTGAAGTCGTAACTAAATTATAATTGTATACCATATCATTTATCGATAGTTAAGCAATTAAGCTTTTCGTCGATAACTTAAGCGCTTTTAGAAACTAATTTTTGAAGGAAATAAAAGTAATGTTATAGCAGCCCATGTTTTCTGTTGTTTTCTATTACACTTTTCGTTTCGATCGAGAAATTCACTTCACTTGTTTATTGATTTAAAAGCAGACACATGTTAAAAAGAATCTTCTTATTTTTTTAGGGGAAAAAATGTTTCAAAACATTAGTGTTACTTTTTTGTGCGCCTTGGCATTTATATCCTGGTCGCTGCTGTGTTATTTACATGCGATTAAGGACCAAAAATCTCGCTACGATTACAAAGTGGAGCTCTACACAGGTAAGTTCATTATAATTGTTATACATTTTTATAAAAACTAAGACTAACCGTATTTTTCAGAGAGACCTACTTTCGCAGACGAGCCAAAATCTTGTACCATTGATTCGACTGAAGTTCGTTTTCTACAAACTTCCTATAATGTTATGAATTATGGCATGATAGTTATCGTCGCTATTGTAGTCACGACATTTTTGCAATGGTTGGCAAAATGGGCAAGATATTGCATGCAAAATGTTCCTCTTAGCGAATGCATGCCAACAGAATTCCACGAATATAATGATCGGAATGTGGAGGAAGATCAAATGAATACTGGGGGAAAAACTGATGAAAAAGGGGTAAATCATAAACAAGATTGGAGGACAGAACAAAAATGGCAAGTGGAATACAAATTGATGATGCAGCAAGAGCAGAAGGCGATGCAATTGGAGATGGAAAAGCTATGCAAAATGAAACGTGGAGATGTGGAAATGAAAAGATATATAGAGATCGAGCCAAATATGGAAAATACGTCTAGAAACAAAATAGAGAAGAAAGTGTGCGAAACTGAGAAGTCGCCGTTGGCTCATCAAGAAAATAATGAGCTACGAGAGCAGTTGAATGATTTGCAGCAACATTGTCGTGAATTGCTTCAGGAACTGCGCGCTGCCAATAGCTCCAGCTCCAGCTCCAGCCAAGGCAGTGTCAGTGCACTGGGTTCCAATTCATCCAGCAGCAGTTTCAGCAGCTACGAATCCGATGATCCAACTTGCGTTCTTATGTGGAAGCCGCCGGCTGCAGTATCTTCGAGTGGTTTATCTGGGTCTCAGAATACGGAATCTGTGATCTTACCGACACAAAAAGTTTATGTGACGCACAGTCACTATCATTTTAACTTTAATGGGCCGGTGCACCTAACAAAGCAAAACATAAACATTGGCACGTTGAATCCTAAAAAAGCACTAAAACGAAGCGAATTTTTGCAAGTGTGGGGCACATTTATTAGTGGTCCGGAAGAGCGTCCCATGCTAACTGGTATCAATAATATTTTAATGTAAAAGGCGCACAATTTTCAAATATATTATTGTTTTAAAAAAAGTCGTTACTGTTTCTTTTGGTATTTTAAACGTTGCTGCCACACTGATTGTTTGCGCGCAAACTATCGATAGCCCGAATATTAAGCGCGCAATCGATAGCGGTGCTCACGGCTTTTGCGGTGCATTAAATTTAACTGCCAGTTTGTTTCTTTCGGTCGACGTCGCGTGACTTGTGTGCGCGGACTGTTTTTATCAGCGACAGTTCATCTTAAAAAAGTTCTCCGCTTTACAAGAATTAGATTAAATATAATAATTCGCTATTCATACTGAAATCTTCGCCATTTCAATAAACGCTAATTCTATTATATCACGTAGTTAGTGACAAAATGGACATTGGTCAAATTTCAAATTTGAAATTTCAAACTTAAATGTTTATTTGTGCGATCGTGAATGGAAAATGCAAAAGTGATTGACAAGGAAAACAAAAGAAAAGTTTGCGTAAAGTACGCTTGTCACGTTTTCTAGAAATCTTATTGTTGCAATTGTTGTTGTCGTTGTTGTTGTTGATGATGTTGATGTTGTTGTGGTTCGAGTTGATGCAGATGCGCCTTTTACGTTATGAATTTGCATTTCCATCAAAGTCGTTATATGATAACTGTTTGTGTTTCTTCTTCTTATTGTTACATTGCGGTGCTAAGCTCAGTTTTATCTCGTTGACTGCAGCGAGTGGCATTGTTTGCCTTTTACTTTGCATTTTGTTTGTGCATTATCACTCCCACACACATACACTTGTAAGCATATGCACATGTCCAGAACACACACGCATACATCCAACCTGCGGCATAATCATCCAAAGCACCAACAATAATGTGCATCTCTCCTTTCGCTGTATCTCTCTCTTTAACCAGTGTTGCCTTACTTAAAATCGTTTCATGTTGAAGACATTTATTTTTGTCTGCCAAAATAAAATCTAAATTATTATGATATATTTTGGGAAAGTTTTATTTGGATTTTATATTTTTGGTGTTCTACTGCTTTGTGGTCGCTCTTGCGCTTGTCTAAAAATAGCCGCCTGCCGCTGATAAAGCAACAGATCACTCTCACTATCGATGAGTGCATAAGGCTCTCTGCTGCTGCTGCTTTTCCTCTCTTTCTTGCTCTGCCACTCTCATAATCTCTCACTGCCTCTCCCGTATTAGCTTAATGTGTGTGTGTGTGAGTAAATCTTGCGGCATTTTGATTCTTGTGTTGTATTTGCCGTGGGGCAGATAAAACAGCTGAGCCGTCCTCCGCCCAGGAATGTGCTGGCGCTGCATTATCCATTTTTATAGTTGTAATGCACACACCGTTTTTTCGTTTTGTCCCACTGTCAACAGCGTTTTACAATTGAATCATCAACAAGTTGTTGCTGCTGTTTTTGTTGTTGTGTTTGCTATTTTCTTACCTTCTGCTATTGTTGTTTATGTTTTGTTTTATGCGAATAAATCACATTTGGTTTTGATTTTCTTTAGCCTATTGCAAATTCTTAGCGGAAATGTCAATAAATAAAACGTTTTAAGCGCATTTACACACTTAGATATATATGTACATATGTATATATATATACATATATTATTGTGTACATTTATATACATATATATATATATATATATATATATATATATATACCTATGCATGTTCATATATGCATGTGTTTGTATGCAGCTTAACTGCGCTGCTTACGTCGCGCATAATAAAGATTAACGCATTTCTTATCAAGCGTTGATAGCAGAGCAGACGACATCCACAGCAACAATAATAACAACAACAACATCAACAACAAACAGTCAAAGAGCAGAGCGAACATTTGAGCTTCGCTTTTTGCCTCCTTCGCTCAAAGGCACACACACAACCCCAATCACGCTCACATGTCCACTTAGTAGGCACTGATATCTCACGCGTTGTCGTTGACTTCGCTGATTAGCATTAACTAAGCCACACCAGCAACAACAACAAACGCGTTTAGTTTTGTTGTATTATTTATTTGTTTTCTGGTTTTCAACTGCACACCCACACACACACATGTGTATACATATATACATATACACCTATATAAGTAAATTGCAAGAGAGAGATAGATAGGCAGTGGCTGTCGCAGCAGCCGCCGTCGGCGCTTTATTTTCGCGCTGCTGCTGATAAAATAAAGAACAATATTAATTTAAGTTTAAAAATAGAATTTTGCTGCAGATGCCTCTTTTCTGCATGTATATTTGTACTAATGTATGAATGAATATATGTCCATTTGCATTAGTATCAGTGAGCGGCAGAAAAAAGTTGCTCACGCACACAAAAGCAAGTAACAGCTCTGCTTGATCTGCCTGCCAGTCTGTGATTGCGCTGCTCGCTCTTTCGCTCTCTCGCTCTCGATGTCGCTCTCAGCGAGGCGACGTTGGAGCCAACTCAGCGTTCGTTTTGCTTCACGCTTTTCAGTATTATTCTATTCGCCTACGTTTCAAGTTGGTCTTCACGGATTGCAGCCTACGTGCACGCATACATACACAAACGAGATATATACATACACATATGTACGCATGTATGTATGTTTATTATATATTTTGATTGGATTGGGGCAAAAGAGTGCGCCATCGTTCGGTGTGTTTTCTTGTTTCTGGGGCAATAACAGCAGTAAAGTAAAATATAAACAAAATACATATTAAAAATATTTATGCAACAATTTTTAAATGTTCGGCAACTTGTGTATGAATGTGCTGTGTGTATTGTTTTTGTAAAATACTTGCAATAATTATTGTTAAAAAAGTAAAACGGAAAAATGTGTTAATAAGAATATTTGCACATCAACTAATTTCTGATAATTAATATTTAGTATTCTCTTGCTCTCTGCTAATATCGTACTGGCGCGCTCTCTCATTCTCCTATTTTCTTTCTCGTTGCGATCTTGATGTGCATGAGTGTAGGAGAGTGTGTCTCTCCCTGTGTGTGTGTGCATGTAATCACAAAACATGCGGAAAAACGCTTGGTAAAACAGAAAAACAAATACAACAAACGAGTGATTTTTTAGGCGCTTAAGACGTAAATGCAAAAGATAACAGAACTTCTTGATAAACGCAGTCGAATAAAAAATCGCATTCGATGCCGAAACCCGATGCATGCCATTTTTTCTTTATCTGAGCTGTAAATAAAATAAATTAAAATGTCCCTACGTGTAAAATTACCTATAGCACAGTTCGAAAGGAAATTAAAAACAGAATCCATTCCAATCTTCATCAAAATCTAGTTGAATTTAAATCACGTTTTATGTTTAGAGTTAAGTTTTGAGCTCTTTGCCTTATTCTCAGTCCCATACTCTTCACCTTCTAGTCACTTGCTGACTTTGTTGCAATTTACCGCTAAAAGCATCATTAGCGCTGTCTTGCTCTGTTCGCTCTCTTTTATCTACAGATTCGTTGTGTTTTGAATGTGTCTGAACCTATGTATGTGCGAGTGAGTGCGTGCGTGTGTCTGCTTGTCTGCCAAATAAATGCACATAATTAACCAGAATATTTTTCATTCAAAAAGCAAGATTTATAAAAATAAACACCCAATCGAATATATACGAAAAATAATAACAAATCCAATTGCGGCGCGATAACAAAAATGTAAAAAAGAAATACAAACAAAAACCACAACAAAGTGAAACAAGTGCTAAAGCAATTAAAACGAAAACCAAAAGGCAATTAGAAGAATTTACAATACTTATGTGCGAATGTAATACGAATGTGAATTACATTAAGAAGCAAATCAAAATCAAGCAAACGCTTTATCTACATAACTGTAAACCAGCAACGTGGGAGGCGTCAAGAGAGTAATAGACCCCGAACGACAAAGAGAGAGAGATAGAGAGAGCGAGAGAAATTGCGAGATCGTGGCGAGCAACACACAAGGCCATCCCATCCAATAATGTGAGTAACCCATCCGCCTTTGTTCCTATATAAACACAAATACACACACACAAACATCAGCATTAATCTTTCTGCTTTTGTTGATATTTATTTGAAATATGTAGGATTTTTCAATATAAATTGGAGCAAGGACACAATTTTAAGATATACTAATTTGCTTTTATTATTGAAAAACAATAACAGTAAACTTTTAAACCAAGCCCAGCAGAAAGTTATGCTAAAGTTAAGCTATTCCTTTTTACATAAATACAAATACAAATAAACATTAATTAACTGTACACAAAACAAAGTTCTGTAAAGGCAGCCAACTCTATTAATAATTTACAACTGTAATTATGCGAAGAAAAACTTTGCTTTTGCTGGACATTTGTTTTCGAATTGTTGGGCATTGCAGAGTCAACAGTTGCGTAGCCGCTGAGCTAAGAGGTCAAAAGAATTGCATTTCATGAATAGAAACCTTGATAATGCATCTTTTTCTGTGCCTGGGATGCGCTCTAATTGCTGCTGCTGCTTCTACGACTTCGGCATCGGCATTGCCATTGCCATTGCCATTCGGCATCGGCATCGGCATTGGCTCCCATTCAGTTTGTGGTTGCGGCTGTTCCACAAACTATTTGCGCAGGGATTGCCGTAAATATTTTAATTTTATCGAGTTTTTTCTTCATTTCGTTTTTGTGCATATGAGAATTTTGTATGCATACGAAATGTAAATTAAAATGTTTGATTCAAAGTGTGTTTGGCTTCCTTATTTGAAATGCCACGAAATCTCCCTTGAATTGATAATGAAATATTAATTAAATATAGATATTGAAAAACCAAAAACCTAAAGAGCTGTGCCGTCGCCACCTTAAGCTAAGCTGTTTGTCATTTGAGTATTTACTGTGAATGTTTCTTAAATGAAAGTTTAAAGAGATCTCCGGTAATTGAAGTTTTACTGTTGGCTGAGTAGTTAAAAACATATATAAATTTGTTACTGAGATTAAAGTGGAATAGAATTTTCACTGTGAATTCAGCGCCAAAAATATGCAGATGTTTATTTTTGGCCACAGACAATGGAAATTTTTTGTGTTTGTAATCGACTTCGCATTTATCTTTGCTGCCATTTGTTTGCCAGCAAATATTA